GGAGACCTCTGAAGAAGAGGCTGATGAGTAGTTCCAATTAATTTCGTACGATGTGGCTTAACTTACTTACACAAATGGCCGGAGGGTATTTGGAAGTGGCCCGCTCGCTATGATGGCCCACTCGCTATGCATGTACGTTAAAACTTCCCGACGGAAAACTGACTCGATGTAAGCTAAACCGCCCCTAGAATCAACTCTGATGTAGTAGGAGCGGCAACGTGGAATAGGGAAGAAAACAAAAGAGCGGCAGCATGGCCCAAAAGGGAAGGAACAAGTTTTTCTTCACGATGTCGATCCGTGATCTCTTGCAGGTGGAAAGTGCTACAATCCGGCACATGGTTGGAAAATTCCTACCCATACAGAAGATCACAGGGAATAGGAAGCAACACAAAAGCAAAAGCTGCAATCCGTGCCTTTCTTACCAGAAAGTTTGAAGGGGAAAAGAATCAGACGACCTCTAGCGAATTACGAGCTTCGGAAAGTTCCAGTGATTCCGCTAGCCATCAGCGTACGCTAGATAACAGGTGGTATGGATACGGCGTATCGCATCGCATGCAACTGAGTTGCAGGGCATGCGGCCGTGGCAATCCAGCCAGGCCACGCTGATAGAGATGCCACGCTGATAGAGATGCCGACTCTTCTCTCTAGCAAATTCCAAAGAAGTTTCAAGCCCGCCCAATAAGGGGTTTCAACGACGGTCACTGCTTGTCCCCAGCAAATAAGTAAAGTGGTCGGTCGAGACTGGAAGGTATTGCCGGGCCTAAGCAATGCACATCATGCCCGTCTGAGCAAGAGCTCAAACCAAGGCACACCGGAGCGGGTTCCGACGACGAGAAAAGAGAAGCTCCATCCTTGCCAGGCTGACCGAGGCATGATTGATCCTGAGGGGTTGTTCAAGTCAGTGCGTAAGCTCCTGAACCCCATGACAGCTGGCACGGCCATATTGGGCCTCCAATACATGGGACGAAGAGGGACAATTCTCCCGGCTCTTCCGCCATGGCTAACCAACACGAGGGGGATGCAGAAATAGAGTCGGAAAATTACTCGCTATCGCAATCGTCGAGATCGCAATTTGTTCCGCTCTCGGTTTGGACATCGTCTTGCCGGCGGCCGGAAAGCGAGAATTTACTCCCGTAGTGCGCCCGCTTGCTAGCGGCCACGAAGTTGTGGTAATTACGTGGGGTGATTTGACTACAGAACCAAGCAGAGTTCGACCGACGGCGAGGAAGCTTCGATCGGGATCGTACAAAGTTCGAATGGTCGACGTGTCCTGCAAGGGCGGCCTCTGTTGAGCCATGAGTGTTGTCCTACGCTGAGTAACATCAACGAGAGCGTATTTTGTTTGCGATGTCTCGTTCCGTCGAGAAGATGTGTAGAGGATGGTGTTTCCTCGATTCCGTGACAGGAGGTCTGGCGTCGCTTTTGTAGTAAATCTGCATCATCTCGAAAGCATTAAGCCAAGCAAACTTGGCAGCTTGGAGACGTCGCTTGGCCGCGTGGAAATGATGCTTGACCAAGCGCTTGATCGCGCGGGAACACAAACGTCTTGGCTATTACGCGGACTCAAGCGGATCGTCAGGGGCATCAAGCTCAATCTCGTTCTCGGCAGTGTTGTCTGCAGGAGGGCGTTCCGGGTCTGCCGCCATCTCGTCTATCCGCGGACTTGACCCAAGTCAGGTTCGTGGATATCCGCCTTCCCAACGCGAGTAATCTTTGGCTGTACACGCGTCTCCAGCTCCTTCATCCCACAGAAGCAGCAAGGTTAGAGTTTGCTGCCCACCGACTCCCTAGCACCTGGACGCCATTTTAATCTCCGAGCGACCTCGATTGGAAATCTGCCCAACTCGTCGGGTTCTTTCTCTCAAGAACCTATGACGACTATCATCCTCTGGAGCTCTAGTTCCAACTTCGCTTCCCAAGCATGCCCCCTGCCCCGCGGTTGTCGAACGCGCACCCTCATCGGCTCCACCTTCGGCATCTCCCCCGAGCGGTTCTCTCCTTTCGCGAAACCTTTCCCATTTTCTGCTGGGTGAGGGGCAACGCGGGGTCCCTCGCTGTCGAGACCGTCCGAAGAATCAGGTGCTCTCGAGTTTGTCAAGTCGAGCCCGCCCAACACCCCTCTTCCGACGGAGCTGGTGCTATGTGCCAAGACTCCTTTCGGAAGTCAGTGTTCTCGGGAAGGTCCAGTATGATCGACACCATTTCTACTATTCTCCGGGATGTTGCATGTTGTTTCTAAAGCTCACGTCCTAGCTTCAAAAACTTTCCTACGGAGCTGTCCCTGAAATTTGACTATTCCGATGCAGTTGTTTACTAGAGTCACGGCAAGTTACCAACCATAAGCAATCACATCACTATTCAGTCGATCGACTCATTCGCTCCAAAGGCTGCTCAACTACACGCTTCTCAAACGGCTGCACGACACATGCCAGCCGGCAGGCAAACCTCATTTGGGTCTGGGTGGAACATGGAGGCCGTCTCGGTCACCGAGGCTCTGCGGTTGAACGAGGATGCAACCCACGTGTAGGAAGCTTTCGCTTCACCTATATGATCTGCAGAGGTTCCATTATCCCGGATCCCCGTCAGCATGTCAACTCAACAACGACGGAATGTCATTGACGAACGACATCTGACCTGAAACATCGCACTTCGGATCAGATAGCTGAGCATTCTGAGCGGCAACGAGAATGCAGCTAAACGATGCTGCTCCCATTAGTCGAAAGTCGTCCAGTCTTTGAGCTCATTACTGCATGTCCGACTTCTTTCCACACCTGAACTAAATCGGAAAGCTGAGAGTTGATCTCCTTGGATTCCACTCGGCACACTTGGAAAGTTCTCCGGTATTCTGCGAGGTTAGAGAATGCGATATACTATGGCAACTAGTCGACGGGATTCGAACCGCAGCGAGCAAGGATGAGCTCACCTTCACGACGTGGACCTGATAGCATGTTCTAAGCTTTGCACCATGCATTTCTACCCAACAAATCCCTAGCCCAAGTCGCCGACTACATCGCGTTCTTCGCAAAACAGTATTATTTGACTTTACTTAGCTTCACCGCTACAGTGAGGGGCGGACTATTTTCGCCCTGTGCTTTAATGTTAAGTAAGCTTGTTAGTATTATGCGCAGCATGCACAGCAGGTCAAAATACAAAAGACGCTTGCGTATACCCGAAGCTTGCCAACTCACAATGACCAAGTTGGTGCCTGGATGCCCCTTACCCTAGACCGCATCCAGACCGAGGTCAACTCGGTTTGGTCCCTATACCCAGCATGTAGTCATCGTCGATCTTCTCAGTTGCCGCATTTTTCGCATAAGGATTTTCAACAGCTCCCAGAAGTCAAAACCTGAATTTTCTTCATCTAGCTCAACTCAAAGTCCCTGCTAGGATTCTCAAAGGTTGACTCACGATTACGATACATTTTTCAAGCAGCGCATTCCTCGTCTCACATCCCGAGGAGGCCGGTGAGTGAGAGCGGGAGTGATCATGAGATCCTCTTCCCGACTGCGGAGTTGTTTCGTGCGTTCCCCTCAGGTTCTCGTTCAAATGGATCAGAAAAGCATGTGGAAATGGTTCGTTGTTGTTCGCTTCGCACGGGTATAAAGCTTGAAGTGTTTCTGCCCACGTTCGTCTCTCATAATCTCATTCCTCGAGCCAATTTGACTGGTCAATGACTAGCACCACACCACGGCCTGATTCTCTCATCGCCACCTCAGTCAAACTTCACCCAGCTCACTTCAACTCACATTTTCTTGAATACCACACACAAGCACACTCTCAATATGCGTTTCCTAAGCACCTTCATTCTAGTTGGCCTCACAGCCAGCGTCTCTGCAATACCCGTCGCGCTGCCTCCGGGCTTCTTTCACCCCCCTGTTCATGCTTTCAAGGACGAGACTTCAGTCGAATCCATGGACGCTGAACCCATCGAAGCCAGGAGCGGCATCACCGTTGACAAGGTCGACGTGGCGTCTACCCTCAATGCCAGAAGTGAGGACGCAATGAACTTCATGGACTCAGAGCCAATCATCAACGCCAGGAATGAGGAGTCTGTCGATGACTTCATTGATACAAAGCCACGCATCCAAGCCCGGAGCGAAAGCAACATGGACCTCACGGATTCAGAGCCGCAGATTGAAGCCAGGAGTGGGGAATCCGTCGACTTTGTGAACCCGGCCCCCGAGCCATACATCCAGCCCAGGAGCGAGGAGGTTGTCGACTTTGTGGAGCCCGCACCGGAGCCATACATCCAGCGCCGAAGTGAAGCCATGCACGATATGATTGAGCAGGAGCCAAATATTGAGGCCCGCTCTGAACCAGTCTTGGACGTCGCTGAGCCGGAAACAAACATCAAGCCCAGGTCTGAGCCAGTCTTCGACGCTGTCGGGCTAGAGACCAAGATCAAGGCCAGGAGTGAGACCATGGTTGAAGCCGTCGACTCAGCAGAAGGCGTGGCACAGGGAAACGAAGAACCCCGCATCCAAGCAAGAGGCGACACCTCTGCCGACTGGGTCGATCCTGATTATCGACCCCCTCTGGGACCAGCAGACGAGTGGAAGTACCAAGACAACCTCAGAAAGCTTCATGCCAACGATTGTGGGGTAGACTGCCACCGATCCATCAACTCATACCAATCACGCGTCTCGCGTGCCAACCGCGCTAACAAGGGAATCTACGACGGCCATGACTTCCAATACGACTACCGCAACAAGAAGGACGTTCCTAAGTATCCAAAGTATGACCTCACAACCGTCCAGAGGAACGTGGCTGGACACAGCCCAAACACATACGACCACCATCCAACAACGTATGACCACCACGACTACAACGGCTACACGAGGTCCTCTCGCGCTTCAAGAGGTGAACACAATACACCCGCCGACGACTGGAAGTACCGCGACAACCTCGTCAAGCAACAGACCCATGACTGCGGTGTGAACTGTCACAGGTCTATCAACTCATATCAGTCGGTGGCGTCCAAGGACTCGCGGCTGTCTCGAGAAGCTCGGGAACGCAATGGCTACTACGACCATCACAACAATGGCGGCTACCATCCTAACACGTATGATCACCACAGCGTCGGCAACGGCTACCACCCCACTACGTATGATCACCACACTGGTCCCGTCACTTACGATCGTCATAATGGCGGTAACAACCATGGACTGTCGAGAGCTGAGAGGGGAGTGCACAACACGAAGCAAGATTATATCAACCACGAGTTGAATCACATAAAGGAAGACAAACACCAATGCGGAATTAATTGCCAGAGGTCCGATGCCTCCTTCCACTCGGTAGCCTCTGCGGACCACAAACGGTCGCAACAGTCGAAGCTCGCACATGGCGGCAGCTACCATGGCCACTGAGTGAGGGTTGCCTGTTGGATTCGACTTGATTTCTGAGGCTGCTAGATTTGAAAATTGAGGAGTGCGGGACAGTCTGTTTGGTCGCTGAATGGGCGCTGGAAAACTTGTAATTCGTGAGAGGTCTGGGACCTGTCGATGTATACCTAGGCAATAATAATTCAAAGTTACCCCAATTTCTAATTATTTTGACTAAACACACCACTCGCCTGTGAAGAATGATTTGCAGCATCCCAAAGGTTGACCGAAACACGGGGCTCGTCATCCCATATTCAGCATGTGGCATCGACAACCACGTTGTAGGTTTGAACGGTGTCTTCCCATGATGCTGCAGGTAACTTGGTAGTCCTTGGGCCGACTCTGGTAGCAACGCAAAGGATCGCGTGTGGCGGCCAAATCTGGGGCTGAAGATTGCTGATGATTCGTTACATAGTAGCAATCACCATATCCGCCCCTGTATTCATAATAGGCCGATAACCTCGTATCAAGATCCATTGATAGCGGAAGTCCGCTGGGTGAGTGGGAACGAGGGGCGATAAAAGCCACAGCTCGGGAAATTCGCAATTCTCACGGCCCGTCCCGTAGGATTCGTTGAGCTAACCAAGAAGAGAGCACTATTAGTTGATCTGGGCAAGGGCATGCATAAGCCGCATGAACGCTTGCTCTTTTGAATCAACGAGCTGAAAAGAAATTATATCTCAATTGATCTGAGACTTGCATTCTCATACTCCAAACATCGCTGAGGGACTTGGGGCCCATATCTTGATGCCATGGTGTACTGGCGCGTTTTTGGGAATAGTCTCACGTCCGCCATTACTGTGATCTCAAAAGAGTCTGGCCGTCAGCACTTAGAGACTCACATTTGTAAAAACACAGACGCCTCGAAACGGTACCCATTAGGTCCAAGAGCTGCAGTTACGCATACTCACAATGCGTCATGGATGGGCGTAGCCCAGACTAGCAGTAGCCTTCCAGTTCATTCAAGCAAAACACAAGCAAAAAGACATACAACACCGGGCATTCGCCGGTCGTCACCGACCCGACTACTACTCCAGCCCTCATTGGTTTATCTAAGGGAGAGCGGACGGGATCCCGAGTTTTCCAATGGGTATGGTCGTATGTGGTGGACACGGGCGACCGAGACGTCCATGAAGCTATCGTGACGGCCTGCCAAGACAACGTATCCCATCCACAAATCTTGGCTACTCGAATCGATCGAAACGATGGTGATTACCAAATACAAGCCTGCTTTTTAGCTGGGTTCTACAACCTTAGGTCAAAGTTGGCGTTCTAGTTCACGTCTGAGGCTTCACTAATTTCATGCTAATCACGCGTAAAGGCATGTCGGATGCGTAGTGGTCAAAAAGCTCGATGACGCCCTATCCCTTATGAAGATTTTCATGACAATTGCCAAAGCACTTAAAACCTTGGTCCGCTGTTATATCCCCAGTGCAGTGAAAGCCAGGCACCCGTCATTCCCAAAGAGGCCTGTCCCGACAGACGAACATCCATACTCGTGTCATGCGGCAGGCTGCCGGTCGCAACATGAATGAGCCCTAGCTGTTTTGAAGCGAAGTCGTAAAGTATATGTGTAAAGATGTGCTTGGTAGAAGATTAAAGATTAAGTCGTAACATCTTGGCTGGCCGCTCATCAAGGTCGGGCAATTACCACGCCATCAGGCTCGCGAGCAGGACTCCAATGACGATGGCCGCCTTGGAGTTGCCGCCTGACCTCGGCGCGGAGTTCTCGTCGGAGTTCTGGGTGCCGGCGCTTGACTCTTGAGCCGTGGCAGCCGATGTTGTCGGTGTGTAGTCCATGGCGAAACCTTCGATGGGGTGGTTGTAGGCCTGGGCTGGGGTCGTAGTCGCGACCCATGCGATGGTGGTGGAGAGCTCGACGGGGTTGTAGACGGTGACGGTGGCGGTCTGGCTGAGGTCGAAGTTGCTGTAGCAGGTTCCGCCGTAGGCAGGACGGTCGCGGTCGGCGGTCTTGGTGGGAGCAGCAAAGGTGAAGCCACTGATTCCAGTTTATTAGCATAGTGCTCAGATCAACATTCAGGACCGAAATCAGACGTACTCAGCGCAGCAGGCGATGTAGCCGCTTGACCAGGTGCTGCTAACAGTGTTCCATCCGCTGGGGCAGACCAGAGGGCTCATGACGGGTGCCATGGAGCTGGACTTTGACATGACGGAGGAGTATCCGTTGACCCATTCCGTAGGGTAGCATGATGTGATGGTCGAGTTGGGAAGGGGCACAGGCTCGTTGATCCAGATCTTCTCCAGCGCGCCGACAAGCATCGTCAGGTGGTTCTCGGTGCAGTGAGCGGGCGGGGTGAAGGTCGTCGTGAGAGCTACGGTCGTCGCGACCTGCTTGTCGCGGAGCTCGAGACCGGCCGCGGTCGGGATCGGGGTGATCGTCATGGGCGACACGGGCACGGTCGGGGTTGCGAGGACGGCGGCTTCCATTGTGAATGAGGTTTTGTTTTTTAGGTTATTAGGTTTTGCGGGTTAAACGAGCGGAAGTCGAGTGATGATATCGATGGTCGAGCTGATCGTCGCTGGTTTAAACTTAAAAGAGTGGAAGGCAGTTGATCAAAGGAATGACTTGCAGAAACGCAGAAAAGACCAAGGCGGCGACAAGAAAGAGTCAAGAAACGGGAGACATGGATGGCATGGTAAACACTCAGGAGTTTTAATAATCGAAAATCTTGCTTGGAAACAGGTTACAGCAGGCCTCTCTGCCCGCTTTGGCTACTACTCCGTTTCATTTAGATCGCCACATAAGTGGTCCGGAGGCCCGCTGCTGTCGCCGGAATGCACCCGCGAACTTGGAATTCGTGATATTCCCGTCCGCAGTTGCATGCAAAGCTGCGGGGATGGGCCCACCACACAGCCATAGAGGCTTCTGGCCACTCGTGGCCGTTTGCTTCAAGGCCAATCTTCGAGTTCAGCTTCCTTCACTTCGAGAAAACACGAAAAAGTTGCTTTTTGTGAGACATTTGTTTGCCGTTGAGCCAGTGCTCGGCAAGAGGCCGTTGGCCTAAGCGAAATATGGAAATGTCGCTTTCAAGCTACTGTTGGTGTTGCGTAACACCGCGTGGAGACGTCAGGGATCCCACGACTCGACAATTGGTCCTTGGAAGCCCCCCTGACGGCCGCAACGGCATTTCATCAATGTTGCAGTAGCGCTAAAAAGGGGGCGCTGGGGTTTCTGTGGGCGCCCGGTGTCGACACTGCCCAGTGATGAACAAGATCATGTGGACAATGACCGGGAGAGGCATTCATGGCGGAGGATCAATGAAATAAAGTCGGACTCTTCCCGCAATCATTCTCATGCTGTCTTCAGATGAACCCCTTCTGCACGGCCTCTCTGATAGCTCGGTGCCAAATGGTTGCCATCTTCCCGTATCCCTCATCGTTTGGGTGCGTTCCATCGACCAACTCATCGAGCCTAGGTCCGTCTGAACCGTGCATATCCGCTAAGACTAGCCTCCGGTGCTCCGAAATTTTCTGCTGGGCTAGAATCTGGAATCGATCGTTCGCTTTGAGGATTCGCCTCTCTGTTCTTTCGTCCGCGTTGACAAGCAGAGTTGACAGGATGATCGTTGCTCGCGGAGCCGCTGCCCATAAATAGTCCATTAGTCGGTCCATTCGATCTCCGATTCGATCAACCTCAAAGTCTTGAAGGCAGTCGTTTGATCCGGCATTGACCGTGAAGACATTTGGCATGTGCACCGGCACGGATTTCCTGGCTTTCTGATCGATCTGGTCGACGCGGAACCCACGCCATCCCTCGTGAGCACTGCCCAGCGCCCCCACTTTCCGGGAGCCAACCATGTCAACCTTGAATCCGTCAGCCATCAGCAGTTCTCGGAGTTTGCACCGGTATCCATTTCCGTCCGTTGATCCTTGGCCGAAGGTCACGGAGCCGCCCAAAGGCATCAGCCGCAATTTGGTTCCGCGTCGGGAAGTTTCTGATTCTGTTTGCGTCAGAAAATCATCACTCGGTCCCAGCGCGCAAGTCTGTATGTCGTGGGAAAGGCTCACCTGTGCCATAACGCCGAATGCTCCATGCAAATATTCGGCTTGCAGCCTGGAGAGATGCTGGACCTCGGAAGGCAGTAGGTTGCTGAGTCGTCATCATCGCAGCACCGAGTACGGAGAAAGGTCTAGAACTAAGGTGGCTGAAGCGTAAAACTTTCGTCGTCGGCTCCCAGCAAAAGTCCGTGATTCGTGTCCACGGGATGGTGGTATTGAAGAAACTTGATGTTTCAAGCTGGCGAACTCAATTAAAAGCACGAGCCACCCTAAAAACGAACGTGTGTGCTCTTACGACGACATGGATTGAGTTAGCGCTGATTGAAGATGTTTGACCTCGGCTGGCCCTTCTTCAGAATCGATATGTGAGATTGAGCGACGAAAGACAGCGTCGCCCTGGGGATAATGATTTATCTACTTCGGTGAGATTGCGATATCCCGAGATTCTGAGATCACGGGCCAAAAGTTGGAGAAAGCGTGTATTGTATTTTTCGGCGAAAAGACTCAGCGCCGAGCAAACTACACTTCTCATTGGCCTGCGACGGCATGTGCTCTTTGAGTTCGGCCTCGGAAAGACCCCTTCTATTCTTATTCAAGATTTGTGGAATTTCTGATTTGTCAACACTACTGATTTACGAGCATTCACAAAACGGTCATCGACATTCATGAACTGCTAGAACCAAGTTTTCATCAGAAACGGTCGTATTCGACCAATTGATGGCCCCCTCATGAAGTTCCAAAACAACAATATCGCCTATGTAATCAATCATAACATGCCATGCTATCCTATGCCTCATAAAATGCCCACATCTCTAATCATTCTAAACATCCCATTCATCCCCTATTAGAAAGCAATCGCCTCGTCCAAGCATAGTGGTTTCTTCTCCTCCATTTTGCTCTTGTTCCTGCAGCAGTCGACGGCCGAGCAGAAGTTGGTGTCTTCTTGGCTTGCTGTGGCGGTCTTGGGAACTTGTTGCTGGGCGGGCCAGATCTGGGCGCCGAGAGCCTGCTCCTTCTTGAAGTGTGCTGTGAGGTTCTCACGGACCTTCGACTGGAAGAATAGAGGGCCCTTCTCCATGGTCGGGTGCATCTCGCCATTGACAAACACGCCAGCGTTGATGTTCTTCTGGGCGTTGTCGCAAAGGTACTTGTCCTCGGACATGATGCGCTTGTACATGTCGCTGATGACGGTGAAGTCCTCGTCGCTGGAGTTCTTGTTGCGGAAGACTTCGTACCTCATGGCTGACTTGCCAGGTCCGCTTGGGACGAAGCGCTGGATGAAGAAGAAGTGAGGGCTGTGGGTCTGTTAGCATCTGCTGCTGCTGCTGCTGCTGCTGAATACCAGGGTTTACTTACGAGACATTCATGGAAGCATTGGGCCAGAAGTAGGTGGCAGCTACACGGAAGCCCTTCTCAATCTGCTCTGGTGTGGGCTGGCCGAAGTGCTGGATGTAGGCGTCCTTGGTGTTGACGTAGTAAGAGTTGAGGTCGGCAATGGAAGGAATGTCGGGGTGGGCCACCTTGCAGTGGTAGCACTCGTTGTAGTTGTCGGCAAGGATCTTCCAGTTGTAGTCGCCCTCCATCTCCCATTGGTGGTCAAAGACGTAGTCGTCAAAGTTGTAGTGCTGGAATCTCTCCTGCTCGTCGATGCCGTAGAAGTCGTCGTTCCAAGCAACCTCGGGCTGCTCGTTGGCATCGAGGTTCACCCAGACGAAGCCATTGCGGTCAATGTGAACATGAATAGGGAAGAGACCGTTCTTGGACTTGTCGAAGCCATCAAGGTCTTGGTAGCCAGGGGCCTTGGCCAGGTTGCCGCTGAGACCGTATGACCAGCCATGATACTTGCAAGAGAACATGAAGCTGTTGCCGCCATCCTCGGTCACAACAGGGAAGGCGCGGTGCCTGCAAATGTTGTGGAACGCATTGATCTTGCCCTTGCGGTCCTGAACAACGATGAAAGAGTAGCCGGCAACGTTGTACTTGATCCAGTCTCCCGGCTTAGGGACTCTGGCCTTGTGGGTAATGAGGAGCCATTTCCTGGAGAAGATGGCGCGACGCTCAAGCTCGTACATCTCCTGGGATGTGTACCAGGAAGCGGGAAGGGCCCTGACAGCGTTCTTCTCATCCTGGGCAGGTGCAGCAGCCCCACCGAAGCCGATGTAGTTCTTCAGGAATGACATTGTAAGTGTCGATTTGTGCGAAAGAGTAAATCAGGTGACTCTGATAAGCAGGATTGAAGGAATTAGGAGTTGCGAACTTCAGATGATGAAGCTGCTAGTGTTGTAAACTCTGCTTTGTATTGTATTGCTGGTTATCAATCTCATCCATCTCGGAGACGACGGTCCTTCTATATACTTAAGATAAGCACGCCCGTCGAGAGTCATTGTCTCACCCCTTATCCATCCAAACTCTGACTCTCGCACCGTCGCCGCCGCCCCCGGGCCACCACCGATCACTTGGGCGCGGTATTCAGTTTCGCTACACCGAAGGGGGCTATCACGATTTGGAGGCTGAATACTATCGAGTGGCTGACTCCGCGGTGCTGAAGCCGATCACATGACCGGCCACCCTGTTCGTCTTGGCCGCTTTTGCTTATCGGACGCCCTGGGCGCGGAGGCGTGCGGAGACACCAGTCCGGTCCGGGCGGCGCTGGAGCGCTTGGATGGCGTTCTGTTTACCCCAGAAAATCCTACACGATCATCACTTGATCTGGTCATCACTGTCTGAAGCTGTCCAATGCATGTGGCGCACATACCTTGAGCCTGAACTAGCGTCAAATATTACCTAATTTGGTGATGATTCTCGACATCTTCCGTTCACCGGCGCATACACCTTGTAGTGACGTGTGACAACGCCAATGGTTTCTTGAGATCATCGTGACATTATCTTGTCCATTCGATTTCGAGATGAAGTTTCGAAAAGCTGTCGTGTTGTCGGAAAACAGACTCCAGACCGCGCAGCGTTGGACCAGGTCTTCATGCACGTGTGGAGGTTGCTCGTTGACGATGAGTCAAGCTCCTGCTCAATGTCGGTTCCTGGAGCCATGGGTTGGCCGTTGGACGGGCCAGCATTAGAATTGCCGCCGGTGTTCACGGTCTGGTTCGCGACATCACGGACGGTGACTTTTCTGGGTTTTGGTGTTTGGACGGCTCCCACTCCATAACGCTTATCGAAAGGACCCCTTGCACTTGGCAGCAGTTGGGAAACTCTCCTATCAACTGCCACCGAACCAAACATGTTGCGAGGGATTGCTATTATTGGATAGCTAGATAACTATGTTCCGCCCATTGGTTGCACTGGTTGGCGCCACACTTGCTGATCAGCGTCTTATCGACCTAGCTGGGCTAGACGGTTGTCGCCATTCGTCAACCGTCAGTCACCGCCCAAAACCTATTGAACGATAACGGCGATCTCTTGCGTCGAGGTTGCATCCATGTCCATGGAAGAAGCTGTCACACCGGCACACGGCACACGAGGCACATTAGGGGTCCTATCTGTTCTAGAACACGCGGCCAGGCGTGGTCCCGTCTTGTGCTGCATGGCAAAAAGGTTAATGGCATTGGGTACAGGGGAGGAATTAGAGACTATCTGATACGTGGCATGGGTCCATTCTTATCACGATTCAGCTGTCGGGGTGGGGTTCCCTGTGCAGGGCTCCGATGTTTGGGCACCAAGATTCAGGACGAAACAGTTCAGCCTTTGTCTGATATCGTTATCGAAGCGCCAGTTTGTTTTTAGAGTCTCCGAGCCACTCGCTCGCCCCATTCACTGTCGCGTGCCCTTGGAAAGAGGAAGAACACCCATCTAGACGGCTTCGGGCGTCACGTGATCGGCAACGTGCGGAAGAGCAGCCGACATCGGGACCCTTTCCGGGGCGTTTGCCATACTTGTACGCGGGGAACCACCCACGATGCACCGATGAGCAGGCCATCGTGTCCGTTCCGTCCACGAGAAGATACGAGATCATCGGTGCATCATTTGAACTTATCTTCTGCCGTCTCCCATTACCGTCTCGTTGACTTGCTGCCGCCGAGACCGTCTCTGCTCAGTTGCGAAGAAACCCTCCTCTAAATCCTTTCCCTCCTTCCACCAATCACCTCCTCCCCCTTCACACATCATGTCCTCAGACAAGCCATCATATCTCATTGTTGGCGCGGGAGTGTTTGGCGTATCAACCGCCTATCACCTTATCCAGAAGTACCCAGATGCATCGGTCACCCTGGTCGACAGGGATGCATTTGACGCCGATGAGCGTGTGGCCGCTTCCTGGGACTGGAACAAGGTGGTCCGCGCCGACTACGACGATTTTGTTTACTGCAAACTAGCTTTGGAGGCACAAGACATTTTCAAACATGATCCCCTCTGGAAGCCCTATTTCCACCAGACGGGTGTCTACTGGATCTGCCGTAGCGATTACGCTCAAAATGTCATCAGCCACCACCACAAGCTTGGTCGCAAAGATGACATTATTGCGCTTCCCATTGCTGAGGCCAAGAAGCTGTATGGTGGCCTCTTTGAGGATGCCGATTACACAGGTGCCAAAGAGGTGCTGGTGAATCGCGCAAGTGGCTGGGCTGCGGCCGGAGACGCTCTTAGGGCTGTCACCCGCAAGTCCATTGAGTTGGGCGTCAAATACGTGGTTGCTGAAACTGCATCCCTGAACTTCGACAGCAAGGGAACTTGCACAGGACTTACAACAGCAGACGGCCAGTCATTGTCGGCCTCGCGCGTGATTCTCTGCACTGGAGCGTACACCGCAAAGTTGCTAGAGTTGAGCGCAGCCAAAAGTGGCAACGCTGCCTTGTCATCAGGAGACAGGATTCTGGCAGCAGGCATCACAACGGGTATGGCGCAGCTGGAGGAGGAAGAATACAAAAAGTACAAAGACATGCCTGTTGGATTCCAGGGGTACACGGCGGTCCACGGTAAGCTTAACCGCTCTCTCAAAATCCCTTGCGACTGAACCGACCACTTAACCGCTGCCACAGGTAAGCCTTTCATTGGCAGCATCCCGCCCACGGCGGACAGGGAGCTCAAGTGGTGGGGAGCTAAGATCTTCTCGAACACACGGGAAGTGTTGCCTGGGCGCAAGGTCTCAGCGCCGCCACCTGCAAAGGACTATGCCCAATGGAAGGTTTCTCGACAACTCAAGCAAGACATCATTGACCAACGGAACTTGTGGTATGGCAAGAAGAGCGAGGGCTGGAATATGACCAAGCACCGCATCTGCTGGTAAGTAAGACACTTCCGACTGACGCGCCACTGGCTGACACACGAGAAGGGATGCTTTCACAACCAGCTCGGACTTTATCATCTCGCCTCACTCGGGTGCCAAGGGCCTGTATGTGGCAACTTGTGGCTCATTCCACGGCTACAAGTTCTTCCCTGTGCTTGGCAAGTATGTGACCCAGATGCTTGAGGGCACTCTGGAACCGGAGCTCGAGGGACGGTGGGCGTGGGACAGGGAACGTCCGGACTCTTCGGACAACTGCGAGTATCCCAATTCAGAGATGAACGACCTCTTGGACACAGTGTCAAAGTTGTAGAGCATCGCGAACAAAAGGGTTTTGCCGCGGCGTTGGTAAGATATAGAAAGGGTGCGCACCACCGTAGTCTAATCTAGGTATGAATGATGATAGAGTCATGAATTGAGAACAAGGAACCTAACTCACAGACGCATGTTCACGGATCAGCTAGTGTTCCATTACGTAACGGACACGTGACCCGGATTGGTCCTATCTCCGTCATGCTTAGTGTGGCACTTGCCGTTTCTTATCGCATGGCCAGCCTTGTACCTAGATGTATAGGGAAAGGTGTATGGGAAGGGGTGTGAGGGGTGAGGAGGGGGGTTCCTCCACCCATTGGAGCGCCATGCATGCGGGGTTTGTGGCAAGGGATCAACTATTTAGTTGGAAGCACATACCTTCCAGGGTTGCTCAGTGACTTCACGTCGTCTTTTCCGGCTGAGAACCCTCCCAGTGCCGATATGCCGCCGCCAGAGGAGGGCACCAGTTCCATCAGTTCTCGGGGGAGACGACGCTCACACCATGCTTGCCTCACTTGCAGGTCTGTTATCATGATTGTGTGCCCTTTTGGGCTTATCGCACGGGCGGACCGGCGCTGATACGGCTGATGCAGACGGAAGAAGACGCGATGTCCCGGGGAGAAGCCGGCATGCTCAAGCTGCGTCCGGCTTCAGCAGTCATGCTCTTATCCCGCGATGAGGCCGTCCCAGAGCGGGCGATCGGTACGTCAATGAGATGCCGCTCACCCACTGCTTAAGTTCGCGCGTCTTAACCATTGCTAGGATGAGAGACTGCAACACCTGGAAGAGAAACTGGATCTCCTTCTCAGTGGAGGCGGCTTGTATTGCGACACCGCACGCGAAATGAAACGTTCAGACGATCTGACCGGGTTCCTAGGATGAACCAGCGCCCGCGACAACGACAGCAATCACTCGAGGCGGTCACCGACACGTCAGAGAAGTCTTACTCGGCAACTCCTCCAGGGCGCAAGCAGAGCGTCAGCTATCCGTCTGACAATTCGTCAACGGCGGTCGTGTTCGACCCCGATGACATGGAGACGGGTCTTGACCTGTACTTCAAGTATTGTCACAGACAGCCGATCTGGTGCTTTGAGCGTGAGGAGGTTGGCGACTACAGGACTCTCCCGGAAGACCTAGCCAGCAGCATCCTCGCCCTGACCTCACGATTCTCCGATAAGCGCGACCATTTGCAACTGTACAGTAATAATGCAAAGACTTTGATCATGCTGAGGATAGCAAACGGCACAGTAGACCTCACGACCATCGAGAGCCTTTGTCTTCTTTCTTATTCATCATTCATAGGTATGTTCATGCTTGGCTGACGTGATATGTGCTCGTTCCTAACTGGTACAGACGGAAACGTCCACCTTGGCCAATTTCACCTCGGCCTATCTCTTCAGCTCTGTCGATCTGCTATGCTTGACATAGAGTCGGTGTATCTTTTAGATGATCCGACGACAGATCGCAAGAAACGACTTTTCTGGAGTCTTCAGTTGCTGGAGCAATCGTACGGCCGGCAAGACGGTCTGCTCAGTGTGCCAACGGACATATGGCGACCGGCGTACTCTACGGGAGGCGTCAACCACACGGACGGAGAAACCAAAGCGCCACCGTTGCCCCGAGACAACCTCGGAACGTCAACACCAAGTGAGCCTGGAATCTGGAATACGAGTGTCCGTCTGGGATGGGTTTGGAGCCAGGTCAGGAAATACGTGTCCGACTGCTCCCATAACATCCTGAAGGAGCCATGGCGTCATGACTCCATGTACGCCAAGGTTCTCTCTGACTTTATGGAGACTGAGAACCGCATCCCCATGTGCCACCGTTACGATTCGGTCAAGTTCTACGAACGCAAGATCGACGAGTTGAAGGTGAACCGGGACTACTGGGCCTGCTGGTTGAAAGAACAGTTTACATACCACGCAATCCCTACCGTCTTGAATCATCCGTTTCTCTACATTGTCGGAGCACAGCACAATCCCAATCTGGGAATCCCTAATACGTTTTGGAGGAGATCATCTGAGCAAGCCCTGCTTCATGCCACTTGGATCGTTCGTATGATAGACATGGTTGTGGACAAGCAGGTGCCGCTGGTAGATCCGTTCTTTGGACATGTTGCGGCGATTGCAGCCACAGTACATCTGTATTACTGTTGTGCTGCAGCTGCGAGGTTGAAGCATAAGTCCAACACCGACTTCGCCAAGTGCAGGAGGTTTTTGAAGAGTTTCATACCTTGTTCCGCTGCTTGCGATGCCTTGGTAAGTTTTTCCACTCAATGAAAGCCGCAGATGCAAACACTCACATGTTGAAGGATCGCAACCTTGACAGAATGACGCGCATTGCCGCCGGCTCAGAGGGCATGGACGTTGAAGACTGGATGCCCTCCAAGATTTACCTCAGCGTCCCTCTCATGTGGGAGATTTTGCAATTCAACTCGACAACAGACTCGCAAGAGATTCCCACCGCAGGGCTCCTGGACGCCTCTCTCACACCGGCACTTCCACCAGTTGACACCAGTGAGAACTCGACGCTCGAGATCATTGTGGCAACATCCCCCGAAATCACAATCAACACTGCAGATGGAGGCCAAGAGGCGCCCACCTTGTCTTACAAACCGAGCGATAACAACAACAAGTTCAATAACAATAAGCACAACCTGTCTTCGGCCAACTCTTCCTCTCGGCAAAATGTCTTTGACACACCATCCGTCGAGCAAATTGACAGCCTTACCTTCAACACCACACCATGGCTGTATGCAGACTCTTCCCAACTCATCAACATCGGAGAACTGCCTGATCTGCAGTCGGAGCCCGGGAATGCGTGGTGGGAAGGTGACAACTTCAACAATATCATGTTTAATCAGTTCTAACGTTGCATTTTCTTCTGCTTGGGGGGCGTTTCGTGTACACAACGGTGTCTTGGTAGAGGACAAGAGGGTAAATTGGGGATTGCTTACATGCTTGCCTGTTTTGCATGCCGGTGTTCGGGGTTACGTGACGGCCGACACGAACAAGATGCTCAAGTTCCACTGCAGTTTTCCGATCATATCTTGGCGACGGTGGACTGCTCCGCATGTGATAGAGACATGGTTTAGGAAAAGGTTGACGGCATCAGGACCCGCTGCGAAACGTCTTGAAGACTGTGTTGCATCATGTCGCTATTGGATCGTCAGGGCGGAGTATCCATTAGGCAATATAATGATGATTCCCTCACCGAGGGGAACCCACCTACTGCACAGAATGCCCGTTACGGAACGGCGCGCCTCTTGTGAGTCCAGACTCAAGGGTGGATCATGCGGAGTGAACAGGGATCATCCCGCACAGCCTGGTATCTGCAACTGAGGTGTCACTGTCGGACTCTTGGCCCATTGGGGCTAAGCCGGGGTCGGACGTGGCTGAGAAATGGACTCTGAGTGATAGGGTCAGGAGTGAGGCGTCTGGGCTGCTCGAGCGGCTTAACGGCAGTTGGGAATTAGTAAGAACGGGTGTTCATCTCGTTCCCCCATGACCGGCCATCCATCCTCTCTAACCACTTGTTTCTCTTCTGCGCCGGCTAGCTTCGCTCCCTCCTACCTTAGCCTCCTCTTGACAATTCAGGGTCCGCACTTGTTTGCGCTCACCGCCAACACTTTCCCTTATCTGATCGTCTCTTCTTGGTGTCCTCGTGTCATGGCGTTCCCACCGTATGATAAACATCATGAAGGAGGTGGTTGGCTGGGGTGTGAGACGGTCGGCTCGGCATCCTGGTTCATCACATCAGTAATCATGGTGGTCTGGTTGGATCGCGGATCAATCGGACTCGTCCAGCGTGTCAGCGGCATCATGATGTTTCCCAATTCCGACAACGGAGGTTGGTTGACGAGAATGTGATCTCGATGTGTGGGTATGTGGAAGAAGCATAAGCCGGGAATCGGGAGGGGGCTGCTGAGCCCCACGTTATCATCACTCCACAGCGAGGGGCCGCTACTGCATAGTATGTACTGCATCAACCCGAAGAAGAATGCTTGATAAGTGCCCAACGAATGCTTGGAACCGGGTGATCTGAGAGGGGATCGTCCTGCTTGTCCCGCCAGCCATTGCCCGCTCTCCGCTCGCCGAACCCGGGGGTATGGTAAACAGATGTCGCGGTACCGGGGCTATCCGGGCTATCTTTGTTTGCGAAAAATGACCGTATCACGGCCGAATCGGGTGTGTATGAAGTTTACGTGGCGATGAGGTGGTGGTATTGAAGGTGCGCAGTCTTGGCCACGCGCGTCGAGACCGGTCGGCATCGGTTTCCTTAAGCCGATCATGTGACCGCTCCAGGTCGAGTTGACCGGGATACGTCTTGAAGTTACTATCAATAGCCGGGTTGGTTTCTAGTACCTTATCGGAACATGATGCAAACTAGTCTGATGCGGGGTTTGGACACAGAGCTGTGGTGAGCTCTACCTGGTTGTTATAAGTCATCGTGCAACTTGTAGAGCATGGAGTGCATTGAAGAAGGAAAGGCTTCCATCATTCTTCACACAAACTTCATTCGGTATCGTGATACTTCACTGATACGTGCCGACCATGGCTTCATCACAGCGCGTCGTCATTATCGGAGCCGGCATCGTTGGCACTAACATCGCCGACGAGCTGGTCTCGCGCGGATGGAGCAATATCACCGTGGTCGAGCAGGGGCCGCTGGACATGCCAGGGGGCTCAACATCCCACGCCCCCGGCCTCGTATTTCAGACCAACGGCTCCAAAACCTTGAGTTATTTCGCCAAGTACACGGTGGAAAAGCTGCTATCAATCGAGTGCTTCAACCAGGTGGGCGGCCTGGAGGTGGCAGAAACCCCAGAGAGACTCGAGGATCTCAAGCGGAAACACGGCTACGCCTCGTCATGGGGCATTGAGGCACACCTTCTTAGCGCCGATGAGTGCCAGCAGATCTACCCACTTTTGAACAAAGACATCGTCCTCGGCGGCCTGCACATTCCAACCGACGGCTTAGCCCTGGCCGCCCGCGCAGTCCAGCTGCTGATTGAGCGCACCCGGAAGGCCGGCGTTCGGTACCTCGACCGGACCCCAGTCACCGGCATTGAGCAGAAGGACGGCCATGTCACCGGTATCACCACCAAGAACGGCACAATCCCCGCCGATATCGTTTTGTCGTGTGCTGGCTTTTGGGGAGTCGAGGTGGGAGCCATGATTGGCCTGCCCATCCCTCTGCTGCCCGTCGGCCATCAATACGCAAAGACGACCCCTGTCCCCGCGCAGAAGGGGAAGAACTCAGAGCCCAACGGAGCCAGACTACCAATCTTGCGACACCAGGACCGCGATCTTTACTATCGTGAACATGGCGACTCGTACGGCATCGGCTTTTACGGCCACCGTCCTCTGCCCGTGGTCGCCGCTTCACTGGGCGAGACCCCGGAGCATGTCAACGAGGACAACATGCCCTCGCGGATGGACTTCACACCTGAGGACTTCAAGCCGGCGTGGGACTTGACCAAGAAGATCCTCCCGGCTCTAGGCGAGACGGAGATTGCTTACGGTTTCAACGGCATCATGTCCTTCACTCCCGACGGCGGACCTCTCGTCGGAAGAGCCCCCAATCTTGAGGGCTTCTGGGTAGCAGAGGCAGTTTGGGTCACACATTCGGCCGGTGTCGCACGCGCAGTTGCCCAGCTTCTCACCACGGGCAGGGCAGAAATCGACCTGTCCGAGTGCGACATCTCCCGCTTCGAGCAGGTTCAACTTACACCCGCCTACGTCAACGAGACTTGCCAACAAAACTTTGTCGAAGTCTACGACGTCTTGCATCCCCTTCAACCAAAAGATTCCCCGCGCAACCTGCGCGTCAGTCCTTTCCACACCCGCCAGCGCGAGCTTGGTGCTTATTTCCTCGAAGCCGGCGGCTGGGAGCTACCGCAGTGGTTCGAGTCAAACGCCGATCTTGTTGAGCAGTTGCCGGACAAGTGGAAGCCAAGGCAGCGCGATGCATGGTCTGCGCGGTACTACTCCCCGATCGCAGCTGCTGAAGCGTGGAAGACGCGCACAGCGGCTGCGATGTACGACTTGACGCCCATCCGTCGGGTGGAAGTCTCTGGCCCTGGAGCTGTCGATCTGCTTCAGCGCGTGACAACAAGCGACGTCTCTAAAAAGCCGGGCAGCGTCACTTTTACCCTGCTTCTCGACGAGCAGGGTGGCGTCAAGAGCGATATTTTCGTAGCACGTCTGCTCCAGGACGTCTTCCAACTTGCTGTAAACGGGCCTACTGACCAAGCATACCTGGCGAGGGAAGCTCGTCTGCAAGCCAAGAAGAACCCGAGCAAGTGGGCTCAAGTGAGAGATGTCACCGGCGGAACATGCGGCATTGGACTCTGGGGTCCTCGCTCGGCGGACATCGTGGCAGCCATCAGCTCAGACGACTTCACCAACAAGGCGCTGCCGGATTCCCACGTCAAGGCCGCCATCATTGCGGGTATCCCGGTGCTGGCGATTAGACTGTCCTTCGTCGGAGAGTCAGGATGGGAGATTTACACGAGCGCTGAGAATGGCCAACGTCTCTGGGATGCACTTTGGCAAGCTGGCCGATCGCATGGTGTTATCGCGGCTGGTCGCAGTGCATTTAATGCCCTGCGGCTTGAGGCAGGGTTCCGGAGTTACGGCTCCGATGTCACGACGGAGAACAACCCGTTCGAGGCAGGACTCGCTTTTGCCATTGACACGAACAAGCAGGGCTATGTTGGCCATGCTGCTGTCAAGAAGCTGTCTCAGTCTGCGCCGGCAAGGAGACTACGCTGTCTCACAGTTGATGACGGTCAGTCTGTTGTGCTTGGAAAGGAACCGGTGTTCTTGGACGGCAAGGCTGTCGGTTATGTGACCAACACAGCATTTGGGTACACAATCGGCAAGCCGATTGCATACAGCTATCTACCGAGTACGCTTAAGGAGGGAGACGGAGTTGAGATTGAGTACTTTGGCCGCCGGATCAAGGCAACTGTGACGGCAGAGCCTCTGTATCAGCTGGCTGCGGGCGTTAATGATGGATCAAAGGTAGCAATTAGGTCTCGTTTGTAATTATTCTAGCATTGCGGTTGGTTTTATAATGATTCATGAAATGAAATTTACCTTTAAGACTTACCCCTTGCTTCCGGTTGCATAGAGATGTGACTATATCACAAAACCTTTGGTTGCACCTCATTGGCTTCTACCCCTCGAATCTACAAGCACAACATTTCAGCAACTGAGCACGCAATCACCATGACTCAGCATTTGAAAATGATTCTTCAGTCGGTTGCCCACACCCGGGGGTCTGCAATCATGATCTTGTACAATGTCCTGACGCCCAAGTTTTACCCCATATATCAGCAAAGGTTCAACGGTCGCCAGCCCTGTCAATAATCGCACCGGCGCTGGGGAGTCCAGCCAGAATGGTAAAAGGAACAATGTTACAGACCCACCGAAGCTGGTTACAATTTTATCGGTAGATTCTGTGTGATTCGCGAGACATCCGGCGAACATTCTCCGTGACGCGCTGGCTGCCACGCCGTCGACCGCAGAGCAGGTATTCAGGAGAACTCCCAAAAATCTCCACACGGGGATTTACTGGCATCCTGGCTTCAAACTTTCTGTCTGATGATTTCACTCGGAGTCTATAACGAACACCGAGGCACTGACAGTAAGCTGACGGACTATCATACGCCTCGGGTACTGCCGAAGGTAGATGGTGGGATCTTCCCTCGCCAGCGCCCGCCAATGACGTTTCCTGACACTGAACATTCCGAAGTTTCATTCTGGTTCGACGGCAAACAAACCACAAGCAATCCCGTCTGCCCCCATTACAAGGAACAGGGGTGGGTACAAAAAGCTGTAAAATACAGCCTGTATTAACAATATCATATCACGCAGCTCAATAGCGCTACACTTACTTACCCCAGGTCGACTTGATGCGGAGAAACTTGATTTCGTACAGTATTATTGTCAATCATAGCAACCAAATGAATGGTGATATGAGAGCTTAGCTAGATCACTAACTCACTAAAGTATGTCAGGAGGGTTTTATCACTGAAGATGTCATATGAACCAGGCTATTTAAATTGACAAAACAAACATGAACTGTCAGTGTATCGGTATGTTAGATTTGACTTTGCGTATCTCAATTCTTTTCACTGCTCTTGGTTCATGATCCCCGCGGTAGGAGAAGAGCGTTTGAGAAAATATAGCAACATAGCCGGCTCTGCTCATATCGCGGCGGACAGCCGTGTTTACCCATTTTCGAGTGATGTTGTGAACGGCCCATGTAACAAACAGTACAGGCAAGCGTCATGTTTTCCAGATACCAACAGAAGGGGAAATGATAACACAAAAGGAATAGGGGCCCCTCGATCCCTGCGCTCAGACCTGCAGTCCGAAGTCCAGCTCCGTGGGGGAACAAACGTGCCCCCGGCGGCGCGTCTTGGCAGCCAATGTTGCCGCGGCAGCAGCCGGTTGGATGGTGCTTCGAAAAGATGGCCAGCGAAGAAGCCCTCGAGCCGCACCTAAATTCTTCCTCCGCATCGACGTAGAGTCCTTGCGCAGCTGCGCACTGAACAATTCTCCTGTCCATCCCACGCCGACTGACAAAATGCCAAGGGTGACGGTGGCTTCACATTACCAGAAATCTTCCGAGTGATCTGCTTCTAGCGCCGATTATCATGATTCACTGCCCAGAATAAAGCTGCATGCACGGCTTCTGTGCAACGCCAGCTGAACCGACTTCTCGGGTCGCTTCTTCGCCGTGCATCTATTCGTGCCAAACTTGGCAATTGCTTGACTCGCCGAGAGGTCAAGACTGACCCTAAACCTCGCGGGGATGCACAGTTTCTGCAGGAACGGCTGGGTTTAGGATGCGCTGACTGCCAAGGGATCATCCGATCACTGACGACCGCCAACGAAAGCCAGCGACAAAAGCCCAGATTCTCTCATCTTGTAGAAAAGCTGCAGTCTGAGCCACCACGCAGAATGTTCTTCGTTTGCATGCACGTTCGGACTGCTGAGGCCGGGAGCACAACAGCAATAGTCTAGACAGACACGCAACGCCACTCGGGTGATTATTGGTGTTATACGAACTTGCTGAGGATCTGGATGAGGCTCAGCGGGGGAAAGGGGCTCTCGTCAGACGTATATAGATCCGCAATTGCCATCTCTCGTATTACATGTTCTGGTTGTTCGCCAGTGAAGTTTTGTTTTGTGACGAACAAGGTCCTACTTCTCTCGTCTCTTCGATCTTTACCGACCCCGTCCAAAATGCTCTTCCGGGTTTCTCACCTCGTAGCCGCGATGGCCCTTTTCGAAGGGTCGTCAGCGAAGGACTGGCTGAGTCCCGAGTACAGGTTCTTTTACCAGTTCCCGTTGCCCATCCCGCCGGTGAAGCAGCCCAAGATGTAAGTTTCTGATGAGGTGACAAATGATGTGGACCAATTCTGACATTTTGTAGGTCAATCACCAACCCGGTCACCAACAAGCAGATTGACTACTATGAGGTCGACATTGTGCCCTTCAAGCAGCAGGTCTACCCGAACAAGGGACCGGCTTCGCTCGTTGGCTATGATGGACTTTCACCCGGCCCCACGTTCCTTGTCCCCAGAGGTCGCGAGACGGTCGTGAGATTCACCAACAAAGCCACACTGCCAAGCGCCGTCCATTTGCATGGATCCCCTTCGGTAAGTAGACCCGAATCCCAACTGAACTTCAACATTGAGACTAACACTACTGAAGAGGGCACCTTGGGACGGATGGGCTGAGGACAGGATCCAGCCGGGAGAGTACAAGGACTACTATTACCCCAATAGCCAAAGTGCCCGCTTCCTGTGGTACCACGACCACGCCATGGACATCGTAAGGCTCTCTCTGACTGACCTTTGAGCTAAACTAACTCACCGCCACAGACTGCAGTCAACGCCTACTTTGGCCAGGCCGGCGCGTACATCGTCCAAGACCCCGCCGAGGACGCGCTTGGCCTCCCAACGGGCTACGGCGTCAACGACATCCCCCTCGTCCTGTCCTCAAAGCAGTACAATGCCGACGGCTCCCTCTTCTCACCCGCCGGCGAGACCGACAGCCTCTGGGGCGACGTGATCCATGTCAACGGCCAGCCGTGGCCCTTCTTCAAGGTCGAGCCGCGCAAGTACCGTCTGCGCTTCCTCAACGCCGCCGTCTCGCGCTCCTTCATCCTCTACTTCAGACGCCAGACCGGCGGTGCCAACATTTCGTTTCAAGTTATTGCATCTGACGCCGGACTGCTCACTGGCCCGATCACCACAAGCACCCTCACCATGTCCATGGCGGAACGGTGGGAAGTCGTCGTCGACTTTTCCGGATACGCGGGGCAGAACATCTCGCTGCTGAACCAGAAAGACGTCGGCAAGGACACAGACTACGGCTTCACGGACCAAGTGATGCGCTTCATCGTGGGCAAGTCCGCCGCCGCCGCAGACACCTCCCTCGTTCCCGCCAGACTCCGCGACGTGCCCTTCCCGCCGCGACAGGGCGACGGCGTCGACCGGCGCTTCAAGTTCCACAGGTCCAACGGCGAGTGGCAGATCAACGGCGTCGGCTTCAGCGACGTGGCGAATCGCGTGCTGGCCCGCGTCCCGCGCGGCACCGTCGAGATCTGGGAGTTCGAGAACGGCGGCGGCGGTTGGACGCACCCGGTCCACGTGCACCTCGTCGACTTCCGCATCCTCAGCCGCACGAAGGCGAAGCGCCCTGTGCTCGCGTACGAGGCTGCTGGGCTGAAGGACGTGGTGTGGCTGGATGCCGGGGAGGTCGTCCGCGTGGAGGCGCACTATGCGCCGTGGGACGGGGTGTACATGTTCCACTGCCACAATCTTATCCACGAGGACCACGAGATGATGGCCGCGTTTAATGTGACAGCGCTGGGGGACTTGGGGTATACTGAGACGTCGTTCGCGGACCCGATGGAGGCGAGGTGGAGGGCGGTGCCGGTCTCGGCGGCGGCGTTCCAGGCGGACGCAGTTGTGCAGAAGGTGCAGGCGATGGCGGCGCTGCAGCCGTATAATAATGAGGCGGAGGTGCTGCAGAGGCTGGATCAATATTGGGCTGCCCGCGGTGGTGTGAAGATGAGGCGCGGAAAGAGGATGGAGCAGGTTGATGAGATTGAGGGGTGATGTTGCCAGGTAGGGGATGTAAGATTTTGTAAGATTGCGGCGATGGCATTTTCATTTACCTATACATATTACAACGAGTGTATTCTAGATTTCTTCAACTATTTGAAACATAGTTATGAAGCATTCTTCTACCAATGCCTTGGGACGAAGCAGGGTTTCCTTTCAGGACTGGTTGGTAAAGTAGGTCCATTGGGTGAAGTCTCTTAAGTCTGATCCAACAAAATGCCGTTACGACAACCTCGATCTGAAGTCTATTGCCTCATTTATCACCATCTATGCGCAAAAGTCCTCAACAACGTTTGTCATCACGGCAGTAACCTCGCGGAGACTCTCTACACTAACCCACTCTTCCTTTCCATGAAGCCCAAAGCCCTTTGGCCCATGTACAACCGACGGGATACCGACTTGATGCAACAGCGCGGCATCGCACCAGAACGGCATGCCATTCGGCTCAGGGACACTGCCGGTGACTCTCGACACGTGGGAGACAAAGTCCGTGAGAAATTCATCGTCCGCAGCCAGCGCGAAACAGGGGCGCTCAAATGTCACACGTGGCGGGGCGTACTTGAACTCTGGCGTGCTCGATGCTATCCCCTCGAGAATTCCTTCCACATCGCGCAGGATGGAATCCCTCGACTGCGACGGAACGGTGCGAAACTCAACAGTCAGTGTGCACTTGTCCGGATAGCTCGAGGGCTCCTCGCCGCCTTGTATGAGCCCGCCGTGCAACGACGCCTTCCCCAGACGGTCATCCGTCGGCAGCCCCTTTGCATACCCCAAGAGGGCAGTCTGCACCGCTCCAGCAAGCAAGATTGCGTCAACGCCCTTATCCGGCATGGACCCATGGGCAGCGACGCCGAGGACGTCGATCTCGACCCAGAGGAAGCCCTTGTGCGCAAAGATGACCTCCTGCTGCGTCGGTTCAGGGATGATGGCCGCATCGGCTCTCCACCCCGCCGCGAGGACCTCCTCGGTGCCAAAGGAAAAGTTCTCCTCGTCGGCCACAGCAGCCAAAATGACGTCTCCGCGGAGAGAAGAGCTCCCCCCTGAGTTGAACTGCGCCATCGCGGACATGGCGGCGGCAACACCGGCCTTCATGTCCAAACACCCGCGGCCGTAAATCCTGTTGCCGTCCTCCGCCTTCAACTCGCCGCTGAGAGGATCGAGGTCTGACGAGTAACTGCCCAGGCTGACGGTGTCAATGTGCCCGTTGAGCATGATTGACTTGCCCCCGCCCTTGCCGCGCAGGACGCCGACGACGGAAGGGCGGCCGGGTTTTGTGCCTTCCAGCCAGTGCGCCTCGATGTCACGGTGCTGCAGCCAGGCCGAGATGTAGCTTGCAATCTCCGCCTCGCCTGCGCCAGACGCCTTAGAAAGGTCAGGGTTAGACGAGTCGATGGTCGTCAGAATCTGTGTCAGCCTGACAGGGTCATCTACAGAAACATCACGAGGCGTCGTGTACTTCCTCCGGCCTTCAGTGTTGAGCAGAACAACAACAGAATCCTCCGACAGACACGCCGGCCGCGGGCTCACCTCCGCAAGACGCCGGAGCGCAGCAACAGTCGCGCCGCCGCAGGGCCCGCTCTGCACGCCCTCGGTCTCGAGATACTCGACTCCCCGCTGCGCTTCAAAGTCCGACACTGTAGCACTCGCGTCGACACCAGCCTGCAAATCCGCCCACGCCGTTAGGGAGACGGTGCCGCAGTTGAGGCCGTCCATGATGGTGCTCGACGTGTGCACCGAGACGGGCTCGCCGGCACGCAGGCTCTTCCACAGGCACGGCGCGGTGTCGGGCTCGACAGTCAGCACGGCGTGTTCGCGGCCGGCGGATTTGCAGTGGGAGACGACGGCGTGGGCGAGGGAGCCGACGCCGACGGGGGAGACCATCAGTGTCGGGGCGAGGCCCTGCTCGGCGACCTGCTGCTCGGCTTCGACGATGAGGGTGGAATAGCCCTCGACGATCCAGGCGGGGATCTGCTCGTAGCCTTCAAAGGCGTTGTCCTGGATGAGCAGGCCGCCCGGGACGGACTTGGAGGTGCGCCAGGCTTCGAGAACGGCGTCATCGTAGTGGGAGTTGCTGATGACGACGTGGGCGCCCTCGGAGGCGATGAGAGTCGCCGCGTCGCCGTTGACGCTGCGGGGGACGTAGATGTGCGCTGAGATGCCGAGGATGCGGGCCATGAAGGCGACGGCCCTGCCGTGGTTTCCCTCGGTCGCGGCGTAGAGAGAAACAGAATTCTTCTGGGCCGCCTGGGCGACATCGTCGAGGGGCGTGTCGGCGGGCAGGGCGAGATGTGCTGTTATGGCGCGGTAAGTGCCCCATGATGCGCCGAGGATCTTGAAGGCGGGGAGGCCCAGCCTGTTGCTCTCGTCTTTGAGGAAGACAGCTTTGACGCCGAGGTCGCGGGCGAGGGCATCGAGGGAGATGAGGGGTGTGCGGGCGAAGGAGGGGAGCTGCCGGTGGAAGGCCTGGACGGCGGATGTGTCCAGGTCGCGGCCGAGGGGCCCGGCGCGGGGGTTGATGTAGACGTTTCTTCGACCGGAGGCCATGACGATGCTCAGATGCGGGTTTGAAGGTGATTCAAAGACGATGCGTGCGAAGACGCTGGTGGCATGTGTTATTTATGTGCATCTTGTGTTGAAAGGTCAAAATGACCAGCGTGGGATTTGAGGAGCGCAAGAAAGCAACACCGATCTAAAAGGCGTTTTCGACAGTTTCCCAGGGCGGAGGACGGCAGACGGTTCCGCCCTTTCGTGACACCGGGCAGAGACCGGCGCCGATCTTCAGTGCTTGAGACGGGGGCCAACCCATGTCCAGGTCCATGTCATATGCCTACAATCGATAGATGGATGGACTTTTCATACCTATTTTCCTCTTCGTCTCTTCCTGGGCAGTGAGTAGGTGTGTCTTTAGTACCTAAGTAGTAGTCTTTTCCGGCAGTGGGAGTTTTTTCAATGAGTGAGATCTTTCTTAGTGAGTGAGATCTGCTCAATGAGTAGGGGCTTTTCAGCTAATTCAGTGAAGGTCAGTAATTACCTACCTAAGTAAAGGCTTGTGACTCTCACTGAGATGTTGCAAAGGAGGCGCATTCAGCGACCACATAGGTCATGGCTTTTGTGTATTTGGCAGCCATAGCGCACATGTTGCCCGCCGTTACAGCGCCCGGACATGAAGGGGAATAGGCCAGGCTACCTATCAAGATAAAGGTACAGACAGGCATCTGACTTCATTTGGCAGTCATTGTGCATATCCTGGCTGCCCACTGGACCTGTCTATCCCCTATGGTCCCTAATGAAACGCATTACAGGGCATCTCTATCACAAGATACAGAGGACGCAGAGGAAGAGCAATGAAAACATATGCTGTAAAATGAGGCACCCTAGACGACGGACCCCCCTAAAGAACATAACGATGAGAGACGGCCCAGTGAGTCACTCACTGTGAGTCAATCGACATGACATGCAAAGGCGCAAAGGGCGTGGCCGACGTGCATTTAAACCAGTGGAGGCCTTTCATCGCCATGGATCACTAGCATCATCTCATACACAATCTGTCATCTGAGCCTTAATTACCTAACGCACTCGTTAAGTAAACACCAAATCATGGAGCTCCCCTACACGACCGTCGACGTCTTCACCGACACGCCCTTCGAGGGCAACCCGCTGGCCATCGTCACGATCCCGGCCTCAGTGACCCTGACGCAGACGCAGAAGCAGGCCATCGCTCGGGAGTTCAACTACTCCGAGACCACCTTCGTCCACGAGACCGACGACGCCTCCTCCACCACGCGCCGCTTCGACATCTTCACCCCCGAGGACGAGCTGCCCTTCGCCGGCCACCCCACCGTCGGCACTGCCGTCTTCCTGCAGCCCCGCGGCGTCACCGAGCTCCGCGCCAAAGCCGGCCCCATCGCGCTCGAGAAGACCGGCCCCGACTCCGTCCGCGCCGCCATCCCCCATAACGTCCGCCTGCACCAGAACCGCCTGCAGAGCCTCGGCCCCGGCCCCTTCAGCGATGCCACGGGTGACATCGCCGCCGCCGAGGAAAACGCCCCCATCTTCAGTATCGTGAATGGCATGACCTTTGCCCTCACCGAGCTGCCCTCCCTCGAGGCCTTGGGGTCTGCCAAACACGGCCCCATCGACTTCCGCCAGAACGAGCTGCTGGACGAGGGCTGGCGCGACACCTTCATCTCGCCCTACTACTTTGTCCGCCTCGGCACTGAAACTGTCGACGGCCGAGAGGTGCACAAGATCCGCACCCGCCTCATCACGCCTACCCTCGAGGACCCCGCCACGGGAAGCGCCGCCTGCGCCCTGTCCAGCTACCTCAGCATCCATGTTTTGAAAGGGGAGTCGCTCAGCTTCGAAATCACCCAGGGCGTAGAGATGGGTCGCCGGAGTAACATCTATGTTGATTCCACCGTCACCACCGCCGCCGACGGCACCCGCAAACTGGAGACTCTGCATCTAGGCGGCAAGGCGACGAAGGTCATGAGCGGCGTCATCACGCTCAGGCAATAAACGCTGACGAGTGTTCATCTTCATCTACAGCGATGTAACAGAAGCAGTATACAAAGAAGTGAAAGAATATATACCACACGCACTCTCCAGGAGTCATCTCACACCCTCCACCTGTCCTCATACACTCTCCAACCCACTAAAGGTTAATTCTCAAGCCGAGCGTGTTGTTGAACGTGACAGTCCCCCAGTACGGCTCCATACCCGCGTTGCCGACGTTGACATACGTGCTCTCCGAGAAGACGCCCTGCTTCGCCAGCGCCACGAGCCAGTCCTTGATGTCTCCCTCGAACGCGCCACTCTCCAGATCGCCGAACTGGCTGTCCTCCGGCACCAGCAGCGACGACACCGTGATGCCCGTGTCCGTGTTCTTGCCCTGGTACAGCTTCCACCCGTCCTTGCCGTACAGCCCGTCAATCGTCGCCGTCGGGCCCTCCGCCCACCCGATCGGCACCTGCCCGCCCTCGTACCGTAGCCAGAGCATCAGCTCCTGCGCCGCCGACGACGTGCTGTCGCCCTTGGTGTCGGAAGTCATGAAGTCGTACACCACGTTGCCTATGTGCGTCAGTCAGTCATCATCCCTCTTGTTTGTCTTTCCATTGCTGGTGGCAGCACCACCCACCCTTGTATGCAGACGTGTTGGACACAGTCCAGTCGTAAGTGCTCGGGATGCTCGCGATGTCGCTCAGCCGCGTCTCCAGGTTCTGCGTGAGCCCGATGAACGAGTACCCCTTGACGACGTCCTTGTTCACCGTCGGGTCTATTTTCCATATGCTGCTCCACTCGATGCGCTGCGCGTCGCCCGAGCCCGACGTGCCCGCGTACCCCGTGCAGCACGAGCCGCTGATGGACTTGTAGTTGTAGTTCATCGAGTACACGATCCACGGCGTGCCCATGAGCACCTCGTAGTCGTTCGGCGCGCCGCAGAACTGCGTCTCCGCGACGGCGGCCGTGGCCAGCACGGCGGGGGCAAGGTACCGGGTGATTTGCATTGTCGTGGGAGAGGTCTGAGCTGTAAAGACTGTGGGTGGTGCAAAGGAGTGTTGTTCACCCAACACCTCCCATCACTATTACACGCAGCTCATCTTCTTTTAAACACATCCTGGCCGGCTAATCCGAGCCATTCGGATACGCTTCTCATGTCTCGTGGAGACTGTTAGGGGGCGAGCAATATGCAGACCATGTTGTCGTCGTAAACACCGGACCATATTCCCTCGTCAATCTGAAACCCGCCCGCCGATCAGCGCAGTCCAGGAGGACGGCAGCGGCAGCGGGAGAGCTGCTGCTCACTGGAACGCTGGGAATTAAACCCCCGGAGCAATCATCTCTCATGTCGAAAGTGAATGACCCTGGCAATCTGACCACCCGCTCCCGTAAGGCAATCTCTCCTGCCGGGACCACGGGTTCCTAGCGCTCGGCAGCTTGATTGACTTTTGATTGTGGAGCGCGTGGCAGCGGGGTCTAGACTCGGGAGTGATGAAGGTGCAGGGGAGATATTCAAGCAAGCGAATTTCTGTATAGACCTAGGGTCTGCGATTTCGGGGGAGTGCCATGGTCATGTCGTCCTTCGCCTTGGTATCTTTTAATTTGCAACTCCACTGGATTGCGGTCGTGATGCTGTGGCTTTTTCCGAGCAACTCGGGTGCAACGCGGAAACCGTATTTAACGCTCAGCTCTGTGTACGCGGATCACACATATCCAATGCATCATGCAGAGCGTCCGGAAATGATGGTATATACACTCGTGGTGTGGTCAACTCTGTCGGACGGACATCGTGAGGATGCAAATGCTCTGTCTGTAATGGAGCGATGGAAGACTGCCATTGAGCCAAGCCATGCTAGATTTAGACAGTCTCGCCCCTCGGTCGTCTGCAGCTTCCCAAACACTTAAGGGCATCGGCAGATCGACTGGTGAAGTCCAGACTTCATCATCTTCTGCCATCAAGATTGCCCAATCCGTCGTAGATGGGCACTCTAAGTTGGCATTCAATCATCGTTTTCATCCAGGTTCCTATTGCATCCCTGAGTTGATGCAAACTTGCTGCGAACCATACCAAGGCGGTATGAAGATGTCATTAATCAACCAGCATATCGACCTTATCGTAGTTACTGCCGTAGCCCTCCCACTGACCCATCTGAGGCTATTCACAGTTTGTCAGCAGCCGCATGCCAACCCCCCTTCGCCCCATCGGCAATGCTTGATAATCCGGCAACTCGCCAACCCACAAACATGGACCTGCAGCACCGGCCCCACGACCATTCCAGAGACGATCGGCCGGCCGTCGAAGAATTTTTACGCATCCTCCACCCAAAACCAGCCCATCTTCTCCGCAGAAATGAGCCGATCGTCACCGCCCTGGCGGCACCTCCTGCCACAAAGCAGGCCTTAACAGGTCCATCCCACTTGAGCCTGTGCTGGCTGTCAGTTTGAATTAATCAGACGAGGCGATATCGCCAACTGCCGCCCCCCTTCAACCACGATCCCCGAGCTTCAATTCCGAACAGGCCGGGCAAAAGGCGGGAGTGATGGGCGGAACGAGGCCGCGACAGGGGGCCGACCGCTGTCGAGTCAGTCAAAACGGTTCGAGCAGTGTCGCATCGCGGGGTCCATAATGACAGCATGAGTTGAACATTGCGTCATGTCGACTCTGCCGGAAGCTCGGAGCTGCGAACCCCACGATTCGCAAAATGGCCTTCAAAAGTCGGCGTCGCCTCATATAATGAGTGGTTCATGAGCAAGTTGAGCCTCCGAAGCATCGTCTCTGAATCAGATCCAGCGGCGTAACACAATCATCAACACTTTCACCATGGCCCCGACAACAACAAACTCCTGGTCCATCACGGGCACCAGCAAGGAAAATTGGGACTCCCTCGAGTTCAAGAAGGACGTTCCCCTCCCGCAACTGGGCGACTACGACGTCCTCGTCCAGATCGAGGCAGTCTCGCTCAACTTCCGCGATCTCGCAATCCCCAAGGTCAGTCACGTCCCGTCATAAGCCGCTGCTTCGAAACACCAACACTAACATCACAATCGCACGCAGGGCCTCTACCCCTTCCCCGTCAGCTTCCCCCGCGTCCCCGCCTCCGACGGCGCCGGCCGCGTCCTCGCCGTCGGCCCCAAGGTCACCCAGCTCGCCGAGGGCGACAACATCTGCACCCTCTTCAACCAGCACCACCAGTCCAACCCCATCACCCCGCTCGCCGTCCGCAGCGGCCTCGGCGGCGCCCTCGACGGCACCCTCCGCCAGTACGCCGTCTTTCCTGAACACGGCCTCGTCAAGGCGCCCGCGACCCTCAACGCCATCGAGGCCAGCACCCTTCCCTGCGCGCCGCTAACCGCCTGGAACGCCCTCTACGGCATCCAGTCCAAGGCCCTCAAGCCCGGTGACGTCGTCCTCACCCAGGGCACCGGCGGCGTCAGCCTGTCCGCGATCCAGTTCGCCGTGGCCGCTGGCGCGACCGTCATCGCGACAACGTCGTCCGCCGCCAAGGGCGAGCAGCTCAAGAAGCTCGGCGCGCACCACGTCATCAACTACAAGGAGACGCCGAACTGGGGCGAGGTCGCCAAGGGCCTGACGCCCGGCGGCGCGGGCGCGGACCACATCATCGAGGTCGGCGGGCCGGGCACCGTCGCGCAGTCGCTCAAGGCCGTCAAGCTCGAGGGCGTCATCTCCATCATCGGGTTCCTCTCGCACGGCGACGCGCCCAAGGACCAGCCGACGCTGCTCGACGCGCTGGCTAACATCTGCACCATCCGCGGCCTGTTTGTCGGCTCGAAGCAGCAGTTTGACGAGATGAACCAGGCGATTGACGCGAACAAGATCAAGCCCGTCGTCGACCAGAAGATCTTTGGGTTCGAGGAGGTGAAGGAGGCGTACCAGTACCAGTGGGACCAGAAGCACTTTGGCAAGGTTGTTGTCAAGATCTAGGTAGCGTGTGTAGCTTTGTGAGTGGCAGCCAGACGGCGATGCCAGCTTAATTAATGCAGTTATGACCTCCATGCAGCTCATTTGATGAGCGCTGCCAAACTTGTGCAGTTTGCAAGCACTTCCTGGGACAAATGTGTGTGTGATGGTTCCGTGTTGTAATCATTGAACCTGCGCTATTGTCGCGCTTAGTATACATCTTTCCCATTGCCATGACTCCGTTCCAAATATTCATCAACCTGTACAGCCCCCGCTAGATTCCTCCCTGGTATATGCAGCGTTCACTCTATGACTTCTGGTCCGACACGTCTTCGATACGGCCGGCTTCTCTTGGGCCGCTCCGCAGAGCGCGGCCGTCTACGATCGGGCGTCCATGGGAATCGTATTGCAAGGTCTCGGTATACATCGGGCCTCCGCCCTTCTGGGACGCGGTCTTGATCGTTATGCCGTCGGGCGATCGCTGTGTCTGCTTTGCGTACCGCTGGCTGTTCTCCTTGCCGTTGACGGAGATGGAGGAGGAGAAGGAAACGAATGAGGAGCTCCAGATGGGCATGTTGGGTATGTTTCGGAGTTCGATTTGGTTCTCGAGCTGAAAATGCTTGATTTTTCTCTGATGGTCTGGTATTAGCGAGTGGCAGGAAAGAAGAAGAGTTGCATGTGAGACGGACGAGTTGGAGAAATACCCAGCCTTCGTCTTGCTTGCATCATGGGCCCACAAAAGCTGCATACGTCATGGCCGGGCCCAGGCGCCATCTCATTGGGAGACACAGAGAAATCATTTGCCTGCAGCATGATAATCTGTGCTGCCTTTGTCGCATGTCTGAAGCCGACTAGTTCAGATGAAGTTGTTTATTCCTACTTTATTTCCTCAACTCTACATGCCCAGGATGAGTCCCACACCAGACTGGACTCTGACCATTGAGTTACATCTCTGATCACATACCTTACGAACCGTTGACCTTTCATCGTCAGGGGCAGTACTAATCCTTTCGAGGGCCATATGAGTCCGTTTTGCTTATTACATGTATATGCTCATTCAACCTAGCAGAGCCAGCAATGGAATCGCATACTCCAGGAAAATGTTCCCTTTCGATCGCAGATGACTACTTGCCAACTTTATCCCTCTTGATCCATGTCCCCCACAAGTCACCTGAGAGTAACGTCGCAGTGATGTCCGACCGGACTTATCAAGAAAAAGTTCTGCATCTCCATCATATCGTCCGTCATGTCGTCCGCAAGTCGCACGCCACGACAGTTCCGGAAGAAGACGGCAGTGGCAAGTCGCAGCTCCATGCGAGCCAGGTGCAGCCCGATGCAAACGCGGGTGCCGGCTCCAAAGGGCGAGAACAGCTGTTTCTGCTGCTTCGAAAGCGACTCCTGGTCGAGGAACCGCCTCTCATCGAACCTGCGACCAAGTTAGAAAAGATGCGTTGTGGCAACATGAAATCAACTCACCTCAGCGGATCGGGGTATACGTTAGGGTGCCGGTGGAGGGTGTACGCTTGCGTCTCAACTACGGTGCCCCCAGGGACGAAGAAGCCTCCAAACGTCGCGCCGCTGGGAGGCACTGATCGAGGAAGATTGCCTGGGGCAGCACCGTAGAGACGGAGGGTCTCATCAATCACCGCGTTGAGAAGCGGCAACTTCTCCAGGGCGGCGTCGTCAAATCCGTCACCTATTCCGGCAAACTCCTCCTCCAATCTCGCCTGTAGATCAGGTCTTCTCAGTACAACCCATACCAAGTATGTCAACGTCACAGAAGTCGTATCGGATCCAGCGACAATCAGATTGCCGGCTTCGGCTTGGACCTTCTCGGGAGTCAGGTCCGACTTCTCCCCGGCCTCGCACTCGGCGAGCATGTTGCCAAACAGGTTGGCGGAGTGGCCGTTCTGGCGCAAGTTTGCAGCGGCTCTGACAGCATGCGCGTCCACAATGTTTTGGGCTTGCACGATGTTCTGCACCGACTGGATTGGGAGAAGACGTGCCAAGAAATACAGCAGCGGCAGTTCCTTGCGGAGCGTGGTGAAGATGAAGACGGATTCCAGGGCTTTGATGTAACTGTTTTTCTGCTCTGTGTAAGTGACGCGAAGGGGATCCCACGAAAAAGCAGCCTTACCTCTCCTAGTTCCAGCATCTCGAACGACTCTCCAAAGGACAGATGGGCAATGACGTCGGTCGTCATCAATGTCCACCATTTCAGGACGTCGGCTTTTCCGTTCAGGGCGTCGGCTTTGATCCGCTCAACAGCCCGCTCGACCTTCTGCCGGACGATGCGCTCCCAGTTTTGGCGCAGCGAGGCACTGGTGAATGCACGAGCAAACAGCTTTCGGCGCGCAGCATGTTTCTTCGGATCGACCATGGCGAAGATTCCCGGCTCGACGCCAGCGGTGACTGTCGAATACCATGGCCCCTTCAAAAAGCCCGAGCCAATCTTGTGAATCGAGTTGAAGCCTTCCGGATCGGCGACGGCAACCTCGGTGGGCGAAATCCGAACGATGGGCCCGTATCGGTGGTGGAGAGAATGCACATAGTGCATGCGCCGGCCGGTGAGAGTTTGGAACTTCAAACCATAGTGTGAGAATCTCGTGTACCATGGGCCAGGAACATGGCTCAAGGAACATGTCAAGCCGGTGAACAGGATCTGTCAAGGATCATTAGTCTTAACCCTCGCGGTGAGTTCATCCAAAGGGAATCTTGTTACTGACTCGAGCAACGAAAACGGCAAAAATGGCCGCCAGGCCGTAGCCAACGGCCGCGAAATTCAAAAGAAGCATGTCGACGAGCTTGAAGAGGCAACTACTGAAGTCAGAACAGACTTTCAACATGGCGTTCAGCGGCCAATGCCTCGCCTTTGAATATCGCTGACGGCCAAGGGAGGGGCCGGAAAACCCGCCCGGAACCGGTGGGGGATCGCCCACGCCGACACCGACTACCGACCATGAATTGAGGCTTGTCGCTGTCTTCCCCGCGTTTCACAGCGGTCAGTCTAACGGACGGTTGAGATTCTAGTCGGACGCGGGGTATCTGCTGAGCCCGATGTGGGATAGTTCCACTTGCAGACCCAGCACCAGGACGGCCCGCGCGTTATTGTCCGAACACCGAAGGCCGCAAAGGCATGTTTCTATTCCCACGAAATATAGATGATGCCCGTAGACGTTCTCTCTCGTGTTCATTCCTTCATTCAACGGTCAAACCATAGGCCGACAGTGGGATCGGAGTTGGCAATGTCCGCTGAGAACGTCTGCGTCCACGACTCATTCACGCTCACTGGACAGACTCAGACGAAGTAATTCATTCGTATTGAGTTTACTATCCGCGCGGTAGTTTCTGGCTAACCAGGCGGTAATCCCACTTATCTCGACCAATCCGACTTCCAGCTTCAGTCGCGTAGCCCATCACGTACAGCGTAACGTTCTACACAATCAATACCGCGAAGTCGTCGATCGCGCGCGCGAAGTTATCGACTACCCGCGCGCAGCTACTGAATCGACTTACGAAGTCCTTTTCGGCTAACCATATCACTGGTTGAGCGGTGGGATACCGCCCGGTTAGCCAGACCACGGGTAGGGGGATTCCTCGTATTTTTATGCTGCTTCATCTCGCGACAGTTGTCGACCCACCGTAGAGGACAGAGCTCTTGCTACGTCAAAGCAAACACCGGCAACTGCTTAACGGGAGTAAGGCAGTAATGAGAAAAGTTTGCGCCGAAGAATGTTGATGCTCGGCGCAAAGAGTTGCACATTGAGTGCTGTGGAAGGCCAAACTGACTATGTTGAGACGCACGCTCATCAGGCGTTCCATTTGTTCTTCTCAGTGTCCATTTCAGGCTAGCGCGCGCCCTTAGGATGACCACGATAGATGACAGGGCGCAACGCTTCGACGTATTTGATGTGATCGGCCTGTTACTGACATTGAACGATTAAATATCATCACATAGAGCTTGGATTGATGGCCAAACTTTTCTTCGACTCAAGCACCACAAGATAGAGATATTGGAGGAAAAGCAACAACCATGCGACACGCCTCAGAAACGCCGACTGCCGTCCTCTTGGTAGACATCCAAGAAGGATTCAGGCACCCGACGCACTGGGGTTCATCCCGCAGCACGCCATCATTCGAAACCAATGTTGCAAGCATTCTCCGCGCAGCCCGCGAACGGAACTCCGCAATCGCGTCGTCGCATTCATCACAGACTCCCATATCCATCATTCACGTTCATCACCACTCCCGTTCTACGACGTCCGCACTGCAACCGTCTCACTTCCTTGAAGGCTCATCGACGCCGTCCGTCTCTCCCCTGCAGTTCGCGGCACCTTTGGACAATGAGACAGTTCTCGTCAAGAATTTCAACAGCAGTTTTGTGGGAACTCAGCTGGAGTCCATTCTTAGATCAAATGGCATCCGACAGCTCGTGGTTCTCGGGCTGACAACAGATCATTGCGTGAGCACCACTGTCCGCATGGCGGCGAACCTGCAGGTTCTGGGAGACGATGGAGGACCGGATGGCAATGGAGAAGGGGTTCACGGCGTTATCTTGGTGCGGGATGCGGTTGCTACTTACGAAAAGGGGGGTTTCGATGCAGAGACGGTGCATGCCGTGAGCTTGGCAAGCCTCGATGGAGAATTCGCTGAGGTTGTCTCTGCGAAGGACGTCATGACGAAAGTAATCCGCGACATTTCTAACAGTTGAATTTGAGCAAACAAGTAATATTCATTCCACGATTTGACTGTGTTGGGATTGAGCCTTGAACCGCTTGCACTCTGCTTGCCTAAGATATTTGCAATCTATCGCTTTTTTACAGAGCTTGCCACACATGGAGGAGTTCAAATACTTCTCTGTAAGTACGCCATATCAATTCCGCTGCGTATCTTGGTAATACTCGAACGATGCGGCCTTGTGGACTCTTCCGTTAATAACGACGATGTTGAGCCGACTGTGGTCCTGCAAAACACCGATGTCCTCGAGCGGATCACCATCTACAAGAATGCAGTCTGCGAGGTATCCGGGCTGAATTCTGCCCAATTCATGACTCCTCATGAAGAGTGCAGCTACGCCGGCGGTCGCAGCAATGATACTTTCATGCGGCGTAAATCCGAACAAGTTGACGAAGTGCTCCAGATCTCGAGCATACGTGCCATGTGGTGTCCACGCAAAGCCATAGTCCCTACACGTGCATGAGTATAGGAATCGTGTTAAATAGACAAACGAGGCTGTACTTACCCTCCAGGCAATATGACGATGCCGCGTCGATGCATCTCTCGAAGCCCAGCAATCGCAGTGTCAAGCTCTCTCACATATCCCGCCTTTTCAGCAGCTTCCTGCGTATATCCAAACGCTTCGGCTTCATATGCAGTTGCCACGAGCCAGTTGATCGCCGGTGCAACAATGCTCGTATGCCTATTCTTCTCCAGCATTATCATACCTACATGTACCCAGTTTTGTTAGGGTTGTGGCAGACAGCCAAGCAAAAGTTCTGAAGTCTTACCTTCGTCGTCAACATAGGATGCATGGAATATGACGTCCACCCCATGACTGACGCACATCTTCACTGAGTCGCGAGCTCGGGCATGTGCGCATACTCTCTTGCCATGGCGATGAGCTTCCTCGACGCACGCAGCCGTTTCTTCAGCGGTGAAGTAGCAATCTTCTGCCGCGCGGTTGCCTGTTATCTCTTCGCCTGACATGCTGATTTTGACGTTATCAACCCCAATGCACTGGATATTTGAGCGAACAACCTGTTGCATCTCTGCGTTTTATCAGCCTAATTCTTTTGGCGTGAAAATTGACGACGACATACCCTCGGGGCCCTCGGCAAATCTGGTAATGGAGGCTACCAGATCGCCTTCTGGTTTCGCGATTTCTCTCGCATTGGCTAGGTATCGGGGACCTGGAATGTCTCCTGAGTTTATGGCATCTCGGATAACAACATCAAGTCGGTCCTTTGCTGCGGCAGCTCCAAAACACCTATAACTCGGGATGAGACCCATCGTAATTAAGCGGCAGGGGAATACTTACATCGTATATCCCGAGTCAAGAAAGCATTTGGCACTTTTGATTGTCAAAAGTACATGCTCCTCTACTGGCAAGTCTCCCAGGCGGGCCAAGTCGCCTCCGTTCCAGGTCAAATGTGCGTGAGCGTCACCCAACCCTGACATCAGCGTCCTTCCTTGCCCGTGGAACACCGTCACGCAAGGGTCTGATTTGAGCTCTTCCTTTCCGGGAACGGTTCCGACATGTGTTATTCTCTCGTCTTGCAATACCATTAGCAAGCAAGAATGTATCTTTCCCAGGCAAATCTGCTCACCTTCGATTAGAACATCGCCTGGGTATGGTTGACGACCTGTCGATTCCAATATTTGGACCTCCGTGAAAAGAATCTTCGAGCCTTTGTTACTTCCATGGATATGATAGTCCCTTGGTTGTAGCTTTGGGTCCAACTTGAGGTTGTCGATGTATGCCACATTTCTCGGAACCGCCTGGGAATTCTTTGTTGGTCCCCACGCAGTATAACGACCTTGCGGCCATGAAACATGGCTTGAAGTTGCCATGGTCTGGGCGGATAATAGCCTGCGGTAGTCAGCCCAGCGCTCAACCGTCTCCTCGTTCGAACGATGCAACCGACCACTTTTAAGCCAGCACTCAAACACGCTCGCTGTTAAAGCCTTGGGTTATCCACAGCAGCGATCCTTCACCTTTGGTCGTCAATGGATTTTATTGGAACCGTTGTTGCTCCTCTGATATCCCCGCAGTTCATGTCTCACATACCCCGCGTGGTTGAACATGAGCTCAGACAGCCGCTCTAATCGACCGCCCAATCAAGATCGCATGCCAACAACTGCCGAGATGTCAGCAGCGCGGAAGCAGCGCAAACGTAACGGCTTGTCAAATACCAATGTTGAGTGGTGGAAGATCCCTTTTTATTATTTTGCGGTACACCCACCCGCGATAGACATAGTCTTCGAAGTGAACAGGCATAAACGGTAAAGAGTGTTCGTATACGGGACCATGATTGAATAATCAATACCACACAAGCCCAATGGTGGCGATGAAGACAAAGCCATACGTTTAAATTCAAGACAGCTAAGCCGCCAAGCGTTTTACTGGAAGGACCTCTCGATCACGGTGTTGAACTCCCGCTCTGCATCTTGAGCATTCTTCAGCGCGTCACACCGTGCGTCGAACATCCATTTTGCCGCCTTCTCCTCGGTGACACCTGCCACAAGTATGGTCTGGAGGTTCAAAGACTCGATCAACGCCGTTATGTTCCAAAAGTAGCTGCTGAGAGGCTTGACCAGAGCGCGCATCTCCATCTCCTCTCTGTCCTCTGCGGGAATGGTGACAAGAACCGGGTCAAAGTCCCCTGCGTTCTCGAGTGTCGGGAAATTCTTCATCCAATTCATGTTGAGTTCGACAAGGTTCCGAAAATCAGATACGAATGCTGCCCCATCTCGCGCGATATCGACCGCCTTCTTCGCCATCTTCTTAGCTAGCTCCGGTTTCTCGGCCATGAGAATGGTGTCGTAGAGCCTGTTGGCCTGAATGCAGTTGTTCATGGCGATGTTGACTTCATCCGTTGCGTCGAGCATCTCAACATCTTCTTCGTCAAGCTGGACTGAAAAGTGTCGCAGGTGCCCACAGGGCTGTTCGTCGCATGCTTTGCACGGCCCGAGCTGGGGAGAGACCATCTCTGAGACGACGGGCTCTGGTGTTGATTCTCCCGGTATGACGAGATTCGGTACAATGCCCTGGGATGCGCTGTCCTTACCAGAGGAAATCTCGTGGGAAACGACTTCGACCGACTGCGTTGGTGGCTGGGTGGACATCGGAGTCGAGTCGGATGGCTGAGGCTCGCGAGCATGCGACCGAGTGTTGTGTATCTTGGTCCACTTCAGCGGCCTGTCTGGTATGATGGAAGCTCCCTGGGAGGCCATGGAGCATCCATTCATGGTGAGAGGACGCGAAGTTCTCTTGGCCGGAGGTTCCACGGGATCATCATAGATACTTGGCCTGGGCCGATGAGGGGCGGTCCTTTTCTTGGAGGCTGACTTGGCAGTACTTTCTTGAGTCTTTGGTACGGATTTAGGGTTGGAGCGTGGACCTTTCTTGATACTACGACTTTGCAGCAATGGCAGTACCGAGGGCTGTGATGGACGGAACGGATCGTGTGCGATATTGAACGTAGCATTTGTGTTACCTGATGCTAGTGTTTTGTTCTTGCTTCGAGAAGATGAAATCGAGGACGATGACGAAATTGTTGATGGGCAAGAAGATGAATCAGTTGACGAGTCAGAAGACTCATCATACGATGAGCGTGGCTGAGCCGGACTGGCGCCCTGTGTCAATGGAACGGTGTCGATATTTCCGGTAATTTCATTGGGTTGAATATTGATTGGCTTGGGATCGTGGTGTTTGTTGCCATCCGTTTCGAAAGATTGGAATGGTTCAGGTTCAGATTTGAGGCTTGATGGTTCACATTTGGAATCTTCAGTTTTGTTGTCCTGGTCTGGCATTGGCTCCACGGGACGATTCTAAAAGATTTAGTGTCGTAATGGGAATATTTGGAGATCTTTGCGAATTGTTGGGGAGAACTCACCGAAAAGGCGACAAAAGCATTTGAGATGTCTGCACACAGCAAGTGCGGTAAGCAGTCTGGCTTTGACTTCAAACGTTGCTCCACCTGTGCGGTGAGCCAATACTGTCCTTCTGTGCCAAGTTCTAGTAAAGTGCATATAAGTGAACTGAACAGCAAGATACGCACCACTGCAGCTGGAGCCAGTGACTCTGTAGAAAGTTTGAAGATAATCGATATATCGGTGGTTGTATCCGATTACCGGAATCCATTCGGGGTGATCGCAGCCAAGAATGTCACTGTGAACAACAGCGCCTACTTTTGCGAAGAACGATTGTATTTTCCGGTCTCTAAACACCAGTGGCTTGTTGAAGACGGGCGGCGGTCTTGCTGGGATCACGTTCGCCCCCGCCATGATGATTGGGCGATCAAGAGGCGATTGTGTAAGAGCCAGGTTGTGTCGCAGCTGAGAGTTCTTCAGGTAAAGAGTTCATGATGAGGCGTCAAAAAAGGCCTGGACATCAGACACAATGTCGAAATTAATCTATATGTGTATTTATTGAGGGCTTCGACATCGAATGTTGTCCATCTTACACGAGCTTTTCGGTGGCTTGTTCGGTACTTCGATTGTCTTGATTCCTTGGCATGGCTGGCCAAGGTGAATCCGAGATGTCTGTGCGAAAAAGCGGATGATCCGACTGTTTTGATTGGCTGACCACTGATGAAACATCTCCCTTCCCGGCTCCCGCAATTCGTTTTCCAGCCCCTGACACTCATCTGATCGACTCTTCAACAAACTTTTCAGCCCTACAACTCCTCGTTCTGAGTCCGTCTCTTGAACACGAACTGCCGCGCAACCATGGAATCTAACAAAAGCTCGGTGGATGTGGTGGATGGCACATGGTCTCATCTCAACGGGCTGATTGCGGATGTGCCCTGCTGGACGTGCAGACGTAGGCGCCTGAGATGCGACAACCTCAAGCCGGCATGCGTCAAATGCACCCGAGCGGGGTTGCAGTGTCTGGGGTATGGTCCCAAAAAACCTCTTGTCTGGGTCGAACATGGCCGCCGCCGCAAGATGGCTCACAAACAGACGCCACATCCACCATCACCAACCCCAGCCCCTTCCGTCGAAATTAGTGACCAAGAATGGCCCAAGGTAAGCCGCTTCTACAGATTTTATTGTATGAATATGACGTTCTCATTATCAAAAGACCCAAAAAAAGCAAGATTCAATACACGAAGACGTACAGCGGGCGCCAGAGGACGATGGTCGGCAAATCGACAGATCGGAGGTTGGCATGCTTCTCAAAAGCCCAGCTGACCCCATCCTCCGCCAGTATGGCATCAAGTCCGTCGATTACATATCGTATTGTGAGTCTAAAATTACGATATGGCTTAACACTGATTACTCATTCATTTTCAGACGAACAACGTTGTTGTATGGAGTGTAGCATCTACGACGAAAAATCTGTAAATCCGTTCAGACGGTTCATGCCAATGGCACTGTCTAACCCACTCGTTCATCATACCATCGTATCCCTCGCGGCACATCATCGAGCACGTTCTGAGATTACGTTGGAATCTCCAGAGAAACATGGCTTGCTGTTTCACAAGGCAATTCTAGACAGCGTCGAGCCCAGTGATACTGCGACATCATTGCAACTCCGCTCCAGGGACTTTGCAGACGCTCTCATGCACAAGCAGCAAGCCATAACGCACATGAGATTGGCATTAACGGGCTCGACCCCTTCGGACGCAGTTATCGTGTCCACACTGCTCCTGATTTGGGTAGAGCTTCTCGAATCTGGGTATCGGTCCTGGAAGTATCATCTTGGTGGCATGCGGGCCTTGCTGGTTTCACGAACAAGCGCTGCCCTAAGAAGTGACGTCGAAGCTAGGGGGGCGGGTTCCACGCTTCATGATGCCACGTTTTGGAATTTTGGTGCTTATTTTGAGGAAATTTATGTCTCGTAAGTCAAGGGCACAGATTGCGCAGACAACAAACTAACCCCGACAGGCTTCAAACATTTGGCTCAACATTGTGTCGCGATAAGCCAGACTTGTCTGAGACCTTCACCGACCCCGGACTTTACACGATCTTGAGACGTGGGGAATTTCGGGGATGGACGGGATGTCCCGCGGAGCTGTCGCACATTCTCTGTGGCTTCAACTCCCTTCTGTGCCCCGCGAGGGCTGGGAATCACCAAGAAGACTTTGCCATGCGCGCATCGCAACTGTTCCAGCGGCTCGAACAGTTCTCTTGTCGGCAGTGGGCAGTAGACTACCCCGAACCACACTATGTGTCTCAGAGAGAGTCTTTGGCGCATGCCTATAAGTGTGCAATTGAGATCTACGGCCGCAGGGCTCTAGCCGAGCAACATTCCACCGAGCTTTCCCATGTTGCCCACGCCGCAGTCGAGTCTCTCCGATGCATTAGCCCAAGGGATTGCCACTTCAAAGGATGCCAGTGGCCGGCATTTGTCGCAGGCGCCGAGGCAAGAGACCCTTCAGACCGGATGGCGGTCAAACAGATCCTTCTCGACATGCACAAACTAGTCAGGACGCGGAACGTGGAACAGGCCATACACATGCTCGAGCGAGTATGGCGCCAATCGGAACTTCCAAACCCCAAAACATGGATTGAGTACGTGTATGATACAGGCGAAGAGCTACTTCTCGTATGAAAGGAGTACAAGCTGGCATGGTCCCATCTGTGTTCGCGGCTGTGACCGACCACCCGTTTTCTCAAATGGCAAACCCGCCCTGCTGTCGCACCTGCATCAAGATGTCGTACATGAGGTCCTTGGGCAGGGTCCGCATGACCTTCTGCGTCTCGGCCTTATCCATCATCTCGCCATGACGGCAGATCATGCCGACGACCACGTCCTTCATCTTGCGGTCGTCGTCGCCGTCGGAGCACGAGGTGTACACCTTCTCCGCCGCGCGCAAGAATTCCTCCGTGTGCCACTGGCTGTCGGCCTCTGCCTGGAATTTGTCAAACGATAGGGACCGCAGGCCGGCGATTCCGTATTTCCTGGACAGCGCATACACATTGGCGTGCAGGACGAGACTCTTGGTGCCTTTGGCTGCGACTGGTTCTATGCCGTTGGTCTTGGTGTTCGTCACGGACGCGGCTGCTGGCTTAGCATCGACGGCGATGTTGCCGTTGCGAGTGGCGGGCGGCTTCGACTCGAGCACCGCACCACCTCCCTCGCTGTGGTTGTCATGACTGAGAGATGCCTCGAGGGCAACTTGAGACGCGAGGGAGTCGCCCTGGGGTTCGGGCGAACCCAGTCCAGCCTTCGCCTGGGCTTTGGCGCGCTTCTTCTGCTTCTTGGTGGTTCGCTGTGGCTGGGGTGGTAGGAAATCATCCAGAGTTTCTCCCGGGTCCTCCGCCTTAATGTCCTTGTCCAGGGGCACGTCGTCTGACTTGATGGATCCGTTGGGACCGTCGTCGTCAGTGGTGTGTCCATTCGCGTGGGCATGGCCGTTGGTCTGAGGCACGTATGTTGAGGGCTCCGAGGGATAGTCGAGCTGGTAGAAGTAGCGAATGACCATCCCGACCGCCTGAGGGTCATCGTCGGGAAGATTCAGGCATCCATCAGCGGCCACCTGCGGAGACAGTGCTACATTAGCATCGAGATGGGTTATCTGTACCGGGACACGGATACCGACCTGGGACTTGGCTTCACGACATTTCTCGGCGAAATAGCTGGATCTTGGGCACACGACCGCCTTGTGAACGTGATACTCATTCTCGCGACTGGCGATAGTGAGATCTGAGAACTCGGGATTATTGTAAAGTCTGTCTTGTGTGAGTCAATTGCGCTTGCGGCTTTTCCGATTCGCCGATGGACTTACTGCTTCAGAGAGCTTCTCAGCTCCTCGACAGCGTCGGTGCTCATGATGATAGGTGTCGAGAGCAGTCCTCCAACTCAAGAACAAGACCGTGAGGGATCTGGATCAACCAAACTTTGACATCGGGGCACGAGGGCAGCTATTTGTGCTTCAGCCATAGCCTCGTCAGCCCTCTACAACACAGCAGTGGCATGACAGCTCCTGGGCAGCTTCGTCCTCGTCGTAGAGTGTCCAGCGCATGCCTCATCTCGCCCACCATCATGCATTCGATCAAAATTCAGGCAAGCCTGGGCCGCGATGAGGCGGTTTGATAACCTCCCCGACCCAATTGAGGGTGTGCAGACGACCTAGTTTACGCTCAGGATGTAAGATGGCGCACACACTTCTGCAGGCAGCATGCGACCGCGCGACGCAGCCTCGTCGTGATGTGCCCCCTTAACGCCTGGGAGCCTGGTATCATTGGATTCTTCAGCGCGGTTTGATGCGGAAGGCTTTCGTCATTGGAGCCCAAACGGCCACACCGTCCGCCCCGGTGGTGTCGGGACGGCGTCGCACGGCATGGTCAACGGCAGCAATGCATTGATACCTGGACAAGCAAACGGCCAGTCAATAAGTCCCGGGCAGCGCCTTGAAGTAGGCTCGGCTCGCTTGGTACCAATGGCAGCGCCGGAGGATGACACCCTCTTCAACGAAGTGCGGGGAACGGGACGCCCTCCTTGAGTGGCCGGATGCTGACCATGAATTGGGCGTCGTGGTTCGCAAGAGGCAACGAGGAGATGAATTGACTTTGGCGCAATGCAGAGCAGCCCGCGTCACTGGACCTATGACTGAGCGCAAATTGAGGGACGGAAAGATTTTGCTGCCAGCTCTGTGGCTTCGGCATCCGCAGGAGAGTTCATGTGCTCGATTTCACAATGGTGGCGGGGAGGATAAGAGTAAAACAATAATCAATATGATCCATCCTCGAATGTTTGCACACCTTGTAACGAAAATTGTCGTATTTCGAACTCTGTACTATACTCTCAATACATGCGAGGTAGAATTTCGGCCGACTTACATTCGTGCACTGGCTCCAAGCCGATGCGCCTCCCGAGTGGCGGAAGAGCCGAAGCGGGGCCATGTTCACCGATCCGATGCCGGTTGCCGCCGGAGTTTTCGCCGTGCTATTTGACCGAAGCTGCCCAACGTGTCATCCGTCGACAGGTCATTCGGTGTACGCTGGTCCAGAGCCAGAGAAAGGCGGTGCAGTATTGTTCTCTGCGAGAAGAAGAAGGCCTAACTAACCACTTGCTCGCACACCGGTTAGAAGAACATCGCTTCCCACATCAGGCTTGGAGAGAGCATGACGTGAGTATCGGCCGGGTCAAACCTCGGTGCATCATCACCACCTTTCGTCAATCATAGCAAATAGAAGTCTCCATTTCAGCTGTTGACATCATTCAAGACACATACATGAGGTTCCGGCCCACAACAATCATGGGTCATCGTGTCAACCTGCTATTTTGCACCTGTCTCTCCGTGATATTGGTTGCATCAGCTGCAAGACTGCCCAACTATGGCGTTTGGAAAGGGACAGCGACGTTTTTCTCTGCGCCTCGGAGCCCTTCAGAACGAACGGCACTTTTGACCATTCGAGACGGCAAGACCTACCACACTGGTCCCGTTCCTACACCCCCGCCAAACATCGATATACTCGCAACTCTCAGTATGGAAGCACCAGACGTTCACGACAACCGCATCGTGTATTGGATAGATCGCAACTTCACAGCCTCTCTTGTGTCAGACAGCTTCCTGTTGGCGAATCTGAAGCCTGGATACCACGAGATTCCATCATCCGAGCGAGACCCTCACAATGCTCCAGGACTTGACATGGTGAAAGGCGGGCTTATTGATATGAGAAGGGGAACATTCAGCATACACAACGTTCTAGAACATGTCCAAGATATTGCCGACATGATGAAGTCCTTTTTTGACCCGGCAATTGAGGCGCAGGCGGATGTTTGGGTCTGGGGCCAACGAGGAGAACACGGGAAAGGACTTGCCATGCATCATGTCCAAATGAATCAAGGGCATTCGGGAATACTCGCCAAAGAGAATGGAAGAAATCAAGACGGCGGTGTCATAGTCAGATACTACGACCACTGGGAGGCGCTTTTCATCGCGTTCCCTCAGCAGGCGGCCAACACGGATGATGCGGGAGAGCCAGTTGGCGATGTCCTGGCTAACATCGCTGGTCGAGGGTAGCCACACAAGCTGTGCACAGCGAGGGGGACACTCATCAAGCACGTGCTTGGAGTCAACACGCAACACATGTACCGGGATCTGTTGCGGAAATCGATCCATCTTAGTTGACGAGCTGATGAGGCTAAAGCAAGGCTTTCCGCGTGCTATGAGCGCCATATCAACAATGACAATGTTTCGGTTCACAAACGGTTATAATAAGCGCGCCCCGTCATGAGAAGTCGTGAGAATAGCAGACCTGAACCGCGAAGCCTGGACATGGGCCAGCTACATGCCAGCCTTCAAGATCTCGAACACATCCTCACGATTGCCCCTGAACCGCTCCTCGGCAGCCGTCCAGTTGATGATCTTCCACACGTTGTCGACGTACGATGCTTTGACGTTCTGGTACTTTAGAAATCGTCAGCCAAATCTTGTCGAGCATACCAAGGTAGTCAGACGTACCTGCAGATAGTATGCGTGTTCCCACATGTCGATACCAATAATGGGCACCTCCCCGCCAACGACGGGGTCTTGGTCCTTCGTCGTGACGATGCGAAGTCCACCGTCCCTTCCAGGAGCCTTGACCAGCCATCCCCATCCCGAGCCCTGAATACCCATCAAAGTCGAGGAGAAAACAGTTCTTAGACCAGCCAGACTGCCAAACGTGGACTTGATTTGTTCCATAAGCGAGGGAGCGGAGCCCTTGGGGTCCGAGGCGTCTTTGCTGTCTGCAGGGGCGAGGGTCTTCCAAAAGAGCGAGTGGTTGATGTGGCCTCCGCCGTTGAACTTGATCATGTTTTGCAGGGCAATTTGATCGGGGATGTTGGCCTCAGCCACGGCTTTGGAGTAATTGCCCAAGGCAGCATTGAGGTTCGTGACGTAGGCCTGGTGGTGCTTATCATGGTGCAGTGTCATGATTTCCGCCGAAATGTGCGGTTCGAGAGCCTTTGTATCATGTCAGGCTGTGATGTTGTGTTGCCATTGCGTGACTTACATTGTAATCGTAAGGGAGGGGAGGCAGTGTATATGTCTGGACAGCCATCTTGGGCGGGTCGTCCTGAATCAGTGAGCGACGATGTTCCAGCGGCGATTACATGCGGTATGAAAGCCCGCGAACGGCGACGGGGACTCTTGACAAACGGCACAGAGCACGGCGTGTTTGAAGAAAAGAGTCGACGCTGGGGAGAACCCACCATCTGCGCATATTGGACCTGTTGAGGGAACTCGCTGGGCATATAGGATGCCGCGCCCGATGAAGGGGTGGCTAGGACTGATGAGACGCTAGTCATGGCTCCCTTGTGATGATTGCGCAAAAGCCAATCGACGAGGGCAGAAGACCGCCGTATGGCTACCTGATGAGGCTACAGAGGGGATCTGGAAGACGAGTAGCCGTTGACAGGGAAGACGCAGTGAACGACAAGCAGCGACAGCGGTTGCCGAGGGGGTGGATCGCCTGCCGAGACGTGTCAAAGGTCAGTGACGCGAACCATGACAAGGTTGACATGTGCTTTATGCTTTGGGGCGGGACGTCGAAGCCGAGATAACGGCTTGGGTCCTTACCTCGCTTGGGGAGTTCTTGCGTTGAGAGGGGGTGCCGTTTGGCTTGACGGGGAGAGAGAGTGAGAGCAACGGCGAGCAGATGAGACGGTGAGGGCGGGCCAATTAGTTTCCAGTCGGGCCGTCGCGCGAGGCAAGGTTCATGTTCTTACGGACAGAGTTGAAGCAATGGAAACAAACTAATTAAGATACAATGTGCACGGCTCGATGGCCACGTTGCGGTTTCTCCTCGCAGGGCGTCGATCGCCGCGTCCGGGGTCTTGGGGGGCCGCTAAAGCCGAAGGCCTGGAGCTTAATAATGTGAGGTGCCCCTGAAGAGCACTGCCCTGGACGTTGCCCATCGCGAAAGCGAAAGGCACCAACACACACAGGGGCATTTATTTATGCTTATGTACCTTACTTCAACTATGCTTCCTACCATACCTACTCGAGCCATCAACCAAACACAATGTCAGAGTTGCATGGACTTTGACTTTGTCCTTTCTCGCAGCTTTTCTCTCATTCGGCCTTGGGCTCACGAACCCAAATCTCGTCAATGGGGTCTCCTCTGCCCTGAACACACTTCCATTTGCCCATGCCAAACTCCTTGGGCGCAACTCGGCACCCTCTGCCACCGCCTCCCACGATTAGGTTTCCGGGACGGTATTTGGGATCCCTCTCCATCCTGCGAATAACACTTCCGTGAACCCTCACCTTATCCGGCACATCACGCACCTCGCCCCTTGGTAGAGGCCAGCGGATGGGCTTCCAACTCCCATCAGGTCTCAGGTCCAGCCGACGGAAGGGGAGATGTTCCATCACGCGCCACATGAAGACGGTCGCAGGGTGCATCCCGCATTTGAAGTCCAGAGAGTCGTGGATATCCGCCTCGTGAGCCGTATCAATCATCTTGCCGAACACAGTTGTTGTCTCGGCATGGGTCATCCCGTCGGCCTCTTCGTCGGCCTGCACTGTGGCTGATCCGCTCGGAGACGCGCTCGGAGACCCGACCGGAGATGGAGCGTCCACATGAATCTCGGGGACTGGAGACGGCGCACGTGACCTTTCAGGGGTCTCGTCTCCCCAGGGGATGGGTTGGAAGCCAGGTCCAGCAACCGACTCAACGCATCCCAGGTTCTCGAGCTGGTCAATATCAAAGGTCAATCCTGCACGGATGGCCTCGCGCACCATCCAGACCAACGGGATGTGGCTGGCATTCTTGCTGCCGGCCTTTACATCCCATCCTCCGCCAATGTCGCCGTGGCCCCCGGCAAACCACACCTCGTCGACGCTCTGCTCCTCTTCGTCGTCCGAGTCGTAACCCAGATCCTCCATCGGCGGTTTGGAGTGGATTGATGAAGCATCATGTTCTGTACCGCCCGGGTAAGACCGGTTCGTAGTCCTCGACTTGGATCTAGAACGGGAACGAAAAGGCGCAGGGTGGTCTGCGTCTTCCCCCTGAGCCCGGGACTGGCGTCGACCTCGGTCTTCCGCAGCGACAATGTCGTCGGGCGCGAGGGTTGATCTTCTGCCAGGCCTGTACTTCTCCTGGAACTCCTGCACCTTCTCGTTGATGGGGTGGTGGTATTCCATCATCCGCTTGGCAGCACTCTTCTTTCGGCACCTGTTGGGTTCCTGGTAGATGAGATCCTGCCGGAACTTGGCACGACGCTCGTCGATGCTCACGGCATGCCTGATGACCTTGGCCGAGCTACGAGCGGTGTACGGGAACTTGCTCCGCTGCATCCATGCCGTCTCGAATCGTGGCACGCTGTTCACTGTGTCGAAGAGTCCGAGGAACCGGATCCTCCGGATTGGTCGCGAAAACGTCTCGCGGAACCCCTTGAGGAACTGGTACATCTTCTCGCGATCTTCCTTGCCCTGAGGCGTGGAGTTCGACCTGCGGGCCTGCCACTGGGAGAAAGAGTTCCACGCGAACGACACCATCTCCTCATTTCCGTGGGCAAGCAGGCCGACAAAGTCCAGCATCTCTGCGAGGAACCTAGCCACGTAGGCGCCTCGTGAGAAGCCGAACATGTAAATATCATCGCCCGGTGAGTAGTATCGCATTAAGAAGCGATAACCGCCCACGACATGCTGGTCGAAGGATGATCCCACGGCGGAATCTTTGGCCATTTGGTAGTATGACTTGCACTTGGCCCGCAGGCCGTTGTGCGTCAAGTTGTCGGAGACAACATACGTTCCGATGCCAGCTGTGACAACGTCAACAGTCGCACGTCGACGTTTACTCGGGACGACTTACGTTGGTAATAGTGAACTATCGCTCGGGTTAGCTAGCTGGCAGAAAAGAAAGGCCGGCTAAGTGCAGAGGACGGAGACTCACATTGATCGTTTGCATTGCTGTCTAGCATGCGAAAGATTTTCAGGATATTGCTGTCGCTATCGTCCCCCCGGAACTTGTTTCCGGTTCCGTCAAAGCAAAGAATCAGCTTCCGTCGGGGACCGCACACCTGCCCGGTCCGGAATGCGCCGTTGTCGAACGGGCTGACATCCCTTGATTCTCTGATAGCCGACTGGCCGTTCTGGGCGTGAGGATGCTTGAGAATATGAGGATGCATCGTTGACACTGGTGTTCATATGTGAGAATTGCCTTCTTTTCTCAGCTCTTAACACTCATAGAGTGCCAAGTAGCTACTTCTTCGTGCGCGGGCGTGGGCACTTTTCCCTTATACGGGTGGTTACGTTTCGCGATCTTTCGGCACCCCGTCGCATTCCATATGTTTCTCAAGGGGGCACGGCGGTCTGGCAAGTCCTGGTAGTCGGTGACAGGTGATATGCAACCGGTCAGATTTGGACTGATGTGCGTCACCGAACGGCATTCCTATAGACACTCGTCTTTTGCATGGGCCAGTCGTTGCTCATCAGCGGCGCCGACTTTCCGCTCGTGTCTTACACCATCTGCAATGCATTTCTAACCCAATGTCGTGAAATAATGCCAGAATTGGATCAGCAAGATCGTCGGCCTCGGTCACGACCGTGAGCTTCACTGCACCGGCGGAGCCACCGCGACTCACACCGTCCATGAGTAAAACATCTTTGTGAAACAGATCTACACCTAACAGTCACTAGTAGGAGCATTGGAACTGCAAACCCCTCTTTCTAGCAAACTAAGTCATCTGTGGTATGAATGTTTTCGGACAAGAGCATCCTCAGCTTTGAGCCCAGAGACAAGGTAAAGAGACATGTCTCATGCCCAATCTCGAAAGATGCCCCTTGTTAAGGAATGGAGTTGGCGCAAACCGCTCCTTTGGGCAGTCGCCCAAATCCGCTTGACCACTAGCTCTTCAGAAGCCGAGATAGCTCGCAGATGTGCGAGGGACTACTGGCACTCGGAATGTAATACAATAGTAGATCACTGTGAGACATACGGCAGAGCTAACAATGCCACCAATCACCAACTACCACGGAGTGACATCATCAATGGCTGGAGGCTTGTCTTGCAACTCTTGATGCCCATTCGGGAGCGTTTTCATCGTCAAGAGATATGACCCGCAATGTGCCAAGTCCTGTCGGAACGGGTCGATCTCATCCAGGCTAGGGCGCGGGGATCTGCGAGCCGTTTGGCTGGCTCGACGGTTACACAAGATTCTTATCTGTCTTTCTGGGATTGCGGAAACATCTTCACATGAAGGGGGGCTTGGCCTTAAGCGTGTAAGCGGATTGAACCCACTGGGCAGCGCAATCAAGACTGATTCCCATCGCACAACATACACGAGCCGTGAAATGCATGTCTTGGAGCGATGCTGTTGATCAGGAATGCCGGCGCTCAGCCGTGTTGCAGATGATTTCTTCCCAAGAGGGCCGACGGCAGCTCGCATTGCGTGTGTCCCTGCCGTGAAAGTCAGTTCGGCAGTACGGCCGCATCCAACGGTCACAAATGATTCGTCAACGGCATCCCGGCGGTTGCATCGCGCGGGCAGAAACCGCAATTTTTGAGCAACCTCGAAAGGAAGCATGGATCGGCAGATGGGCTGAGCGATGATCTTTCCCTAGTGCTCCCGGGAGGGATCGCCACCGATGGTTGCAGGGGCACATCCGGCCGACATGCCATCCGCGGTGGGGTCTAGTCCCAGACAGCATCTAAGACAGTCGAGCGCTATCGTCGCGGTCTCACCCGTTGGCATTCGTGAGTGTTTTCACGTGCCTCAGCATGAAGTGGTACCGACGGAGAGAGACGGCCTGAAACCCAATTGCAATGGAAGTCACCTCATTTGCGGCCGAGATGCTGTGTCCCTGATAAGAGTGCGAGAATACCCAGACGTAGAGAGGGCTTGCTCGCCTCCCGACTCTTTCCAACGGACGAACGTAAAGGATCAACAACACCTACACCAATAACTTGCCCGTCATGAAGCGAGGGAGCCATTCGAGCGGCGTGGCAGAGCATGAGCACGTCGAGCTGCATTCCGCTAGACACGACCATGGCGTTCGCCCCCACGCAAGAAGCGTGGACAGTCCGAGCAAAGGCGATCCAACTTATGGCAAGCATGATGTCAAGTTGAGTGGTCTCCGCAAGGCTGTTGCCGAATCGAAGCGACCGCTGCCAGTCATGTTTGGTGACGGGTCATACCCCGTGGACCAATCTCGCCCAGGAAAGCGGCAAGAATTCAAGGCTTTGCAAGCTCGAGGTATGAAATTCGATTTCCAGCTCAAGGAGGTTCATTTCCTAACAGTTTACCCCAGACTTCAAGACTTTGTACGACATTCTCAAAGGAAAAGTCAAGGACCACGGGATTCAGGATGACAAGACCATGATCATGGAACGCACCATTCAAATCGTCGCGAAGCTGCCGCATAGATCCAGACTTCGAGACATCCTTACCAATGTCTTCATCGAGCAGCTTTGGGACTCTCTTGAGCACCCGCCACTGTTGTACTTGGACGGCCCTCCGGAAGATTCCAAGTTGGATGCTGGAAGACGCGACAAACTCGGCAACCTTAAGCCTGTGAAGTACATGTACCGCACAGCTGATGGATCTTACAACGTGAGTATTGTCTATTGCGGAAGTGGGTGGGCATACTGACCATCTCGAAGAACCCGTTGTTTCCTCTACGCGGTGCTGCGAAACAGCCGTATGCTCGATCTGTCAAGCCCCGTCATGTCGCCTTGGGCGCCCTACCCGACCCAAGCTTGGTCTTCGATTCAGTCATGGGCCGGCGCGAATTCAAGCCACACCCCAACAATGTCTCAAGTGTTCTATGGCACTGGGCCACGATCATCATCCACGGTAACTCGCCTTCGTCAAAAGTGCAACTGGCTCATTCTGACAACTCCTAGATTTGTTCTGGACAGACCGCCAGAACTCCAACATATCGAACACGTCGGCTTACCTCGATCTCTCCCCGCTGTATGGAAGTGATCAGATAATGCAAAACGAGGTGAGGTCGCACGTGGACGGGAAGCTCCACCCCGACGCGTTCGCCGACGCACGACTGAACATCATGCCCCCCGGTGTCTGTGTCCTCCTCGTCATGTTCAATCGTTTCCACAACCACGTTGCGGAGAACCTAGCCGCTATCAATGAGAACAATCGCTTTCCGCGTCCGGCCGATGGCGATACGGAGGCAGCCGAAAAGTACGATGAAGACCTCTTTCAGACCGCACGACTGGTGACTTGTGGGTTGTACATCAACATCACTCTTGTCGACTACGTCCGCAATATTGTCAATCTCAACCGCACCAACACGACTTGGACGCTGGATCCACGCCAAGAGGCCGGCGCGGGTGCTGGCACTCCGAAGGGTGCCGAGATCGGCACCGGAAATGTCAACTCGGCTGAATTCAACCTCTGCTACCGGTGGCACTCCTGCATCTCCAAAGAGGACACGGAGTGGATTGACCAAGCTTTCACAAAGAAGCAACTCCAGCATGTCCTCCCGAAAAAGGAAACAGATAAGATGGCCTTCCAAGAGTTCGCGGAAATGGGCAAAACTTCCACCAGAGAACGGACTTTTGGAGGACTTAAGCGTGACGAAAACACCGGCAAGTACAACGACGATGAGTTGGTCCATATCATTACCAGCGCTGTGGACTCGGTGGCCGGCTCTTTTGGCGCGCGCAACGTCCCTCTGTCGATGAAGAACGTGGAGGTTGGAGGCATCAAGCAGGCGCGCGAATGGAATGTTGCCGGTCTGAACGAGTTCCGCAAGCACTTTGGTCTTAAACCGTACGACACTTTCGAAGAAATCAACCCGGATACGGACGTGGCGGAGGCTCTCAGACATCTTTACCAGCATCCAGACAACGTTGAACTCTACCCGGGTCTCGTTGCGGAAGACTCCAAGAAGCCAATGTCGCCTGGCGTTGGAATCGCGCCGACTTACACAATCTCGCGCGTGGTTTTGTCTGATGCAGTGTGTCTTGTCCGTGGTGACAGATACTATACCATCGATTACAACCCACGTAACCTCACGAGCTGGGGCTTCAAGGAGGTTGAGTACGACCTTGACGTTAACCACGGCTGTGTATTCTACAAGCTTTTCCTCAGGGCTTTCCCCAACCACTTCAAGGGGAACTCGGTCTACGCCCACTACCCCATGGTCACCTCGGCGGAGACGAAGAAGATTTTGACGGACCTCGGACGGCATGACCAATTTGACTACCAGAAGCCGCAGCGTTACAAGACTCCTAAAGATTACACCACTCAGCAGGATTACGTTGAGCACGGAGAACCCTTCCGGCGAAACGTCAACGTTCTGTCAAATAGGGCAGCCGAGCACATCTCCAAGAGCGAGAATAAGTACAAAGTTACCTGGAGCAACGGCTTCAATCGTATCATGGGTACTTGGAACAAGTATTTGTCGTCGAGCGACAACGACTACCGCAAAGCACAGGCATGGATGGACCATGAACTCCGCAAAGACAACGGCCAAGACAACATCAAGAACTTCTACTTCCAGATCACCAAGAAGTTGATAAACGAAAAGTCGTACACCTTGGGTTACCATAATCCAGACATCCCCTGTGAGTTGCAGACGCACGTTGATATCATTCGTGACGTAGGCAACATGGCGCATGTGCACTTCGCTTCTCATGTTCTCAACTTGCCCCTGAAGACCAAGGAGAATCCAAAGGGTGTATTCACCGAACAGGAGATGTATCGGGTTATGTCAGCCGTCTTTGATTCCGTTTTTCTCAACAGCGACCCGGTCAAGGCCTTCCCTCTTCAGCAGGAGGCGCAGAGGGGCCTGTCGGAGCTCGGAGCCTGGCTCGAGAAGAACGTCAAAACGCGATCCAAGCTGCCCGTTGACAGAGCGCCCGGCTCGCATCTTGCATCGTATGGATCGAACTTGGTCAAGAATCTGTCGAAAGATGGCGTCAGCACTCACGACATCACCTGGAACTACATCCTGCCAACGGCCGTGGCAATGGTGCCGGCACAGGCGCAGATGGTAAGTCGCATTCACGTCACGATTTGCTTGATTGCTAACCGCGCGTAGTTTGCCCAAGCAGTCAACTACTACCTGGACCATGCGAATCTTGTCATGAAGATTCATCATGTTGCGGTACAGCAGCAAAGTAGGGAAAGCGACGCTGAGCTGCTAGGCTACGCATTGGAAGGTATCCGCCTAGCAGGCGGCTTCATTTCTTGTCGCGAGGCAACCGTCAATGAGACGATTGTGGACGAGCGAGTCGTCGATGGCAAGGTTGTGCAGGAACATGTGAGGATTCAGCCAGGCGACAGAGTCTGTCTCACCTTCGTGAGTTGCCCTTCAATTGACCTCATGGCCAAAGACTAATATGCAGCGCAGACCGGCATGGCTGGCTTGGACCCGACGCACTTCCCCGACCCGCAGAGGGTCAACCCGAGGAGACCGTTGGAGTCGTACGTTCACTACGGTTTAGCGGCACACGGCTACCTGGGCACGAGTGCTACTCATGCAGCGCTCATTGGCATGTTCAGAGCCGTATTCCAGTGCGAGAGGCTGGAGCGGCTGCGTGATCAGACCAAAACAGAGCCTGAGCGTTACATTGAGCAGCCCCAGGGAATCGTCAAGAAGGTGACAAGATCTGTGACCTCGGGTCACGTATTGCAGCGTTCGGACAGCCACGGGGAGCCTCAGGGAATTATCCAGAAGGTGACATCTGTGGCCTCGGCCCACGTGTTGCAGCGTCCGGGCAGCCGGGAGGGTGTTACGAGAACAGATGGCGTCTCGCAGTACCTGACGGAGGATTGGGGAACACTGCGACCGTTCCCTGTGAGCATGAAGGTCAGATGGAGACCTACATGAGGTTGGCTTGAGGTTGGTGAATACCCCGGATGAGATAGTATCGTTGCGTAGTCGAATCAATTGGTTTTAAGTGTGTTGCTCAAGAGCTTGCAGTCCCCCGAGTGTGATAATGGTGACGAGACTGGCTGGTGACTGGCTCGTGAGTCTTGATCACTGAACAATGCGTGGAGTAAGAAATGACCATACTTTTAGACCATCGTGAATTCATTTCGTCGCCTGAGACGCACCCCGATTCGTACCCAGTAAAAGTTGGACCTCAGACGTTGAATCAATGGAGGCACGTTGATAAAAATTCATTCAATCGGTGCTCGTTGGTTGCATTCGCTTGCGCTACAAGTGGCCCGACCATGACCGTCGACGGCACAGGAAATCCGAACATGGGTCATTCTCCGCCATGGTCGGAGGGGCCCGACAGGGGGTTCCGATGTGGGACGACCGAATTGCTGAGATGCCCTGTGATGACGATCATTTCTCCGCCCAAGACATGGGCGGGGCTGCGGTCTTGCCCTGAGTGCCAAGTCGCAGAGACATTGATTGCCACGCGTCCAAGGCCAATTGCAAAGGGATGAATTTCTTTGCAAGGGATGGGATTGGCTTCGACCGACTCTGACAGGTCTTGGCCTAGATATTGCGACCGAGACAGAGCTGACGGTGATGGCGGGAATGAGGGGTCTTTGAAGGACAAGAGGAAAGAAGAACAAGAGAAGAATTGGATTCGCATAGTCTGTGCCCCGCGGATCCGCCCTCGCTGCACCAGAGGATGTGCAGTGGTAGTGATCGATCAACAACACTGTTCGGCTTCGAGCCGAGTTGTCGAGTGCAACGCGGAGCCGCGTGCGCGTGGGATGTCGCATTCGCATGCTGCATCCCAGGCCATATTTTCACACAGACATCAATAGAAAGCACTTGAATGGTGTATATGTGAGTCTGAACGGTCATCCATTCATCATCATGATGTTGATTCCATGATACGACATTTACAGAAAACAGTTTGTGGCTTGTATGTGGCTGATGTGTGTTGTGTGTGTGTGTGTGGCTGGTGTTGGATTGAAAAGAGCGGCAAGGCAGCCGGTGACAATTTTGAGAATATTCTTTCAGATACAAAGCAGACGGCTGAGCGTGCCGCCGATATTGTTTCAATGTGATTGCCAGTTGCAGAGAGGGCTATTCTGGTTCCGCCAAGAGGAGACGGCATGAGGGGGCGAAGACTTAACAACGGAGATTAAGGAGGATAAATGACGGTAGCCCCGTTGTGCCTGGCGGCGGATGGGTCAAGAGCCCCAAGAATACAGATTCTGGAACTCACTCACCTCCGGTTCTGGGCCACCGGCCGGCGCACGCGAGCGCTTCGGGAGGGCTTCCACGCTGTTCTGTCGGGTCGGAGCAGCTCCTATTGATCCATCTCATGGGAGTGAGAGAGTCCCATGTCCGGGTCCGACATGCTGTGTGGGTTCCATGTGGATAAGTCTTCTTCCAAGCCGTGGCTCTCATGCCCCCCCTCTCGTCGGCCATATCTTTGTAACAGGCTCAGCCCAATTGGACAGGCAGTCTGTTTTTGGTCCTCGGATGAACAAGCTCTCCACACTGGCCCCTGCGGCAGCCAGTGACGTTGGGCTGAGTTTATTAACTTCGGACGACCGTTCGTTTCCTGGCGTTTCGCATGTCGACACAACCCTGCCCGATTAATATATCCGCCGTCAAGCGCCTAGACCATCATCAAGAACGGGAGCGCAAAATTGCGTGAAAAATCCACCGAAGCGCCCTGCCTGCCCACGATTGCTGTTGGCTGACCGATGAACCCATGCCTTTCCGAGGGAAACTTCCCTACCGCCGCATGCCATTCCATCCCTTCGCAAGCAATCACCACGCTCACATCCTCGACTGGCCTCTGAGTACCGGGCCCAATGTCGGCACTGCTTGCCTAGCTCGGCCGGGCTCTGGACTCTGTCCCGGGGTCCCCTCCGAACGGACGTCACCCGACAGACCCTCACCTTTCATCTAACTGACTCGACTTACTATTGTGCGTTCCCCTATTCGTGCAATGCCCGAATCACAACCGCCATCATCGTCCCACGATGCGCCACTATCCACGTTGCCGGAACCCGACAGTGCCAACGTCCTTGGATGGATCATCATGGATCTCAGATTGTTGGCCCCTCGATGGGGCTGACAACCAGGGACGCGGGTGCATGGCCGTCGCAGTGCGTCCCAATTTGGGTCTTTCGCAGCCAGGGGGGCACCATGGATCACGATAGATATAATACTGCGACCTAATCCGGCCCCAACACCTACTGAGTTTGCTCTTCCTCCTCATCGTTGCTACAAACTTCGTTTCTCTCTCTTTTTTGCGCTGGTTGCTGCTGTCTTTCTTCTGCCCTCTGTGACGGGTGTACTCTCTCTTTGACACTCTCGTGTGCCATTCATTTCTCCATCACAACTTTCAACGACGACTTACACACAACAACACTCACACTCTCTTTCAACCAACGACACCAATACAATCCTTCACCATGTTCAAGTCCCTCCTCGCCACGGGACTGTTGGCTGCTGCCGCCACGGCCCAGCAGACCACTGCCTACACCGACTCAACCACCGAGATCAAGTTCCAGCGCTACACCGAAACGACCGGCTTCTCCTTTGGCGTCGCCCTTCCCTCAACCGTCGGCAAGGACTTCATCGGTCAGATCACCGCCCCCATTACCGCCGGATATGCTGCTGTCTCGCTCGGCGGTCCCATGACCAACAAGCTCCTGGTCGTCGCCTGGCCTAACGGAAAGTCCGTTCAGACCTCGCTCCGCAAGGCCTCCGGATACACCAACCCCGAGGTTGTCAACGACTCCAGCATCACCCTGAAGCCCATCGAGTCCGGCATCTCCGTCAACGAGACCGCCTTCACTTACACCTTCCTGTGCGAGGGCTGCATCACCGGCGACACCACCTCTTTCACCGGCACCGCCGACACCACCACCTTCGGCTGGGCTTACAGCACCACTGCTCTCACCGACACCACCAGCTCCTCCGTTGCCCTGAACTACCACGGCGCCGGCTTCGGTCTCTTCGGTGCCAACCTCGCGGACGCCAAGTCTGCCGACTACGCCACCTGGGCCGCCAAGGCCTCCGACGCCGTCACCTCCCCCGGCACCGGCGGCAACGGAACCACCCCCGCCACCCCGGCCAACATCACCACCACCATCTCCAACGCTACCTACGACTACATCGTCGCCGGCGGTGGTGCTGCTGGTCTGATCGTTGCTGAGCGTCTTGCTGAGTCTGGAAAGAGCGTCCTCCTCCTTGAGCGTGGTGGCGCCTCTCTTGCTTCCACCGGAGGCAAGGCCACCGTCGACTGGAACAGCACCGTCACCCAGTACGATGTCCCCGCCATGGGCTACTACCTCTCTTCTGCCAAGGAGACCAGCGAGTACTGCACCGACACCGCCAGCATGGCTGGCTGCATTCTCGGCGGCTCTACCATGGTCAACGCCATGATGTGGGTTAAGCCCCCTGCCCACGACTTCGACGACAAGTGGCCCACCGGCTGGAAGTGGTCTGATGTCGAGTCTTCTGCCAACAAGCTCTACGAGCGCACCCCCGGTACCATCCTCGCCTCCAAGGACGGCAAGCGCTACGACCAGGGCGCCTACGATGTCATGTCCCAGTGGCTCACCGGCAACGGATTCTCCGAGGTTGATGCTCTCGCCGAGCCCGACAAGAAGGAGGCCGTCTTCACCCATCCTCCCTGGTTGATCGAGGACGGTCTGCGTGGTGGCCCCGTCAAGGACTACCTTCCCCTCGCCCAGGCTCTCCCCAACTTCAAGCTCCAGCTCAACGCCAAGGTCATCCGCGCTGTCCGCAACGGCACCCACATCTCCGGTGTTGAGATCGAGACCGGCACCAACTCCCGCCAGATCATCAACCTGAACGCCGGTGGTGCCGCCATTCTCTCTGCTGGTGCTCTGTCTACCCCTCGCATTCTGTTCAACAGCGGTATCGGCCCCAAGGAGCAGATCCAGACCGTCAAGAGCGGCTCTACCCAGGTCACCCTCCCCTCCGAGGCCCTCTGGATCGACCTTCCCGTCGGCAAGAACGTCAAGGACCACCCCATCTTCACCGTCACCTTCAAGACCAAGTCCACCCTCAACTCCCTCGCCAGCACTGCCTTCACCGCTCCCGATGAGACCGATATTGACCTTTTCGCCAAGGGCTCTGGTGTCCTCGCTCAGGCCGGCCAGCGTCTTAACTTCTGGACCAGCGTCGAGGGCTCCGACGGCAAGAAGCGCTACGTCCAGGGCACCGTCAACTCCCCCAGCAACGACACCGTCAAGGCCAAGGTCTACCTCACCCACGGTCTGACCTCTGTCGGTGAGCTCGGCATCTCCGCCGACGGCTCCACCAAGTTCACCACCGAGCCCTACCTGACCACCGACGCCGACAAGGACGCCATCACCTCGTTCATGCAGCAGCTCATCGACTACGCCTCCAAGTCCAACAGCACCCTGACCATCTCCGGCAACGCCACCGCTGCCAGCCTCATCTCTGAGCACACCACCGGCAGCCACTACGTCGGTACCGCCGTCATGGGTGCCGAGAACGACGGCAACTCCGTCGTCGACACCAACACCAAGGTCTGGGGCACCGACAACCTGTACGTCGTCGACGCTTCCATCCACCCCGACCTTCCCACCGGCAACACCCAGGCCATTGTCATGGTTGCCGCCGAGCACGCCGCCGCTCAGATTCTGGGCGGTGCTACCACCGGTTCTGGCTCCGGCTCCGGCTCTAGCTCCGGCTCTGGATCCGGCTCCAGCAACACTGGTTCCGGCAGCTCCGGCTCCGGCAGCAGCAGCAACACCGGCAAGGCCGGCTGCAAGCGCTCCGCCAAGCGCGCCGAGAGACAGCTCCAGCGCCTCCAGCGCTTCCGTCGCGCCCACCACATCTAAGTGGACCAAACAAATATCTTCCTGTTACTATAGCTTGTCATTTTTGACTTATTTTGTATGTAAATAAAAGCAACGGCCAAGCCCGAATTGTATGTATTAGTTCTCAAACCCGTTGAAGCTTTATGTGATCCATGCATTGTGCCAGTGCCAGGCCAGCACGTGTGCCTCCAGGAACGACATCCCCCGACCCCAAGGCACCGGAGATTTTCTGCTCCCCGTCTGGAAATGAAAGCGAGGCTTTTGACAGGCTCCCATGTCCGTAGGTCCCGGCCGTTGACTTCAGGCAGCCGGGGTGCGTGCGGAGAATTTAAGCCCTGGGCATGCCAAAAGTGGCCGTCAAGTCTTTCCCGGCTGGTAATTGACTCTCGGCCGTGCATCTAGCATCGCGTCTGCACAGATGTTCCTCCAACAGGCGAAACATCTTGAAGGGTGGCACGGCCTACCCAAAGACCACGGATCCAAAATTACCTCACTAGCCAACACTCTATCTTGAATAGAGTTCGCCAGCTTCTCCGCGCAATGATGGCATCCCTTACGAGTCATTGCATCTTTTGCTTTTTCTCCCCCGTCTTTCGCACCGTTTCGGATGATTGGTGGAGTCTTGTAGGTCGTCGTCGACCATGAGAACTGGTACAGGGAGGTTTTGGAAGTCCTCATGACAAGAACATTCCGCGACTCGTTCGCTCTGTGCCGTCGAAGCGGTCTCTTCGCTTGGTGCTCACGATGAGGCCAGTCACCTCATTGACAGCATCTCTCGTTCTTGCGATCTTCCTTGCAGGATGCCGCGGAGAAGTCGACCTCTCAGCTCGAGACAGTCGGATGCCCGACTGCGCGGTATGTATGACTGCAAATCATCGACCGCCAAACCTCGCTAACGGAGCAACTGTATCTAGGTCGCTTGCTGGAGTAGGGCGATCCCATCCGTCTGCGGCTCATGGGACAACGCACAATGCATCTGCCAAGATGCCGATTTCGACCTGGCCGTGACGCAATGCATGGCCAAGTCCTGCCCTCGCCTATCCACGTTTGGTGTGTTCCGCCCGACCCTACAAAGCAAAGTGGCCGGTTTCTGATGACGCCGTAGAATCATTGCGAGAATGGGACACAATGTGCGACAAGCCTCGCCGTGACCGAAAAGGAGACGTGTGGCCCTTTCTCCCGATCCACCTCTTCACCATGCTCTGCGTTGCGGCGCGGCTATACTCGAAATCTTGGGTTATTCGCAGATTCGGCTCGGACGATTGGGTCATTACCATCACCTACATCTTGTACATTGGCTGGTTTGCAACTGGCCACCATAGTCAGTAAGCTCCGTGCGGCAGATGGACTAGCTGACGGGGTAAAAGTGTTCCAAAAGGCATTCGGGACAGACATCTGGTGGGCCGATGCGGATACGCTCACTTGGGCGCTGAAGGTAATTTTGCAAAGTCGCGCTTGACAGGGTATTCAAAGCGCTGACACTGCGTCAAGATATTCTACATTGACGCTCCGATATACCTCTTGCTCCTTGGACTAACCAAGATCTCGATTCTGTGTTTCTACCTCAGGCTCTTCCCCTACGAGCGCTTCTGCCGGTTGTGCTACGCCATGTTAGCCATCGTCATCACGAGCACGACGCTGTGGGTGATACTCGCGATCGTCCAGTGCAGACCCATATCATACAACTGGGAGGGTTGGAAAGGCGACTTCAAGGAACCGGTGAAATGCCTAAACTTGAATATCCTGTCATGGACCACAAGCGCCGTCAGCATCGCTCTCGATACAATCATCCTCGTCATGCCCATGCCACTGGTCGTCAAAGTCAAGTCCACGCCCCGGCGCAAGATCGCCATCATCTCCATGTTCAGCCTTGGCGTCGTCATCGTCATCGCGAGTTGTTTGCGTCTCCGGTTCAACATCCTGTACGGGGACTCGGTCAACATCACGTGGGATTACGTCGACCTCATGATCTGGACAGGAGTGGAGGTGGCCACGAGCATCACGGTGACGAGCCTGCCATCGATCCGACTGATGATGCATCGCCTGTTCCCTGGGCTCTTTGGCCGCATCTTCGCTTTTGGAGGCCATGTCGAGCAAGACCGCGAACACTATCTCGAGATCAGGAACACCCAAAGTCGGGACGTTGAGCACCTCGGCGCAAAGGGAATCATGCGCCGCTTCCGACGAGCCCAGACGGAGACTGAGCCGCCCCCCACAATCGGAGGTGGACCGCCGAAAGATCGGCGGGCGAGCAAAGCACAGCGCGACTCGGAGAGACTCGCGAAGCCGATGCCATCCGAGGCAAGCCGTGTTTTGGCCAGCATCATGGGCAGTCTGAGCGGCTCGTCGAATCGGCCTTCCATCTCCATCAGCGAGTCCTCGACCGAATCGATTACCGTCACTACGGAGATCACCATTACATCTGAAGACAAGCAGTGTCATTACACCACTCCAGCTGCCTGGGAGAGTGACTCTCGCAGCAAAGCATCGGACGGATCATGAATAAGGCCGTGGCTGGGATCTCAGGCTCCATGGAGATGATCTCGGTCTTGCCCCGGTTCGCAGGTGGAGGCGTCTTGGGGGCCAGTGTTCTGGTTGGACAGATTGTCCGGAACCCCTTCCATTTGTGTATCGCCCCGAGAAACCCGTGTTGATGCTCCATTCAGTCCAAATTGGATCGGAGCCGGTCCGTCCCTGACGTCGACGCTCCGGAGCGCTTGGCAAAGTGGCAGCGACATCAAATGGCGCCGCTTTTGAGCCAAGCACCACCCCACGACAGCATCGTCTGTCTGCGCTGAAGACTCATGCCTCCATGGCGAGGGATCTGAGTGACACAATTCGAAGCTTTCGCGACTTGGCTCGACACTCGTCGTCATGTTTGTATGAGCATCAAGAACACTAACGACTTGAGCGAGGTGAAGACCAATGAAGTAGCATGTTTTGGGAAGACGCAAAGGTTCCAGTCTCGCGAGCGAAAGACGACTTTAATATGAGCACATGAACCACACTTCAACAGGAGAGATGAAGCTCAATGCAAGTGAGCACCAGCATCATTGCCACACAGATATTGGCGACTAATGACCCTTCGAGGCGGCCTGCAAACAAGAACTTTGTCACATCGGCACGCAGATGAGCCGTTTCTATTGACTGGTGAAGTAACAGTATCCACCACCACTCTGCTCCCACTTCCCGCAGTCGGGCAAACTCCGACCAATCTTCATCATCGTATGCCGTGCGGCATGCGGCACTCGGCCGGCCGGGAGGCCCGTCATCAACGACCGATTGCCGTACGAGCACGGCTCGGGGCATTGCGGAGCTTCTTCAGCGCACGATGTGGAGGCTAATCAACATTGGCTCGGGCGATGTAACGACATATGCAGGTCGATCCTCCACATCACGGCAGTTTGCGGCAATTGATGGTCAAAAGTTATCAATCTCATCTTATCAGATGTAAAGATATGGAGACGCGCCACACCGATCGTCCAGGGAGGCACACGGGTTCCTTGGAAGAATGCCTGATCTCATTCGTTTGTGGTGTGGAAACGTTCACGGAAAATGCTGGAAACGGAAGGCCAAATGCCGAGGGAGGCCCAAACCCATGGCAACGACGATGAAATTTTTTGGATGAACCTGTGTTTAGTTTGCCGATGTCGGGAACCATGACGATGACTGCAACGTCGGGATGAACGATACAAAATGCTGGGTCGTCGCGCTCTCTCGTGGCATCTTGTTCTCCTCCCCTCCAGGCTTCCCTCCACCTGACAATCGTTCACCAGCCTGTTGACAACCATGGCGCGTCTCACCTCCTTCGCCAGAGCTACCGCTCTCCTCGGCCTCGGCCGCGTGGTCGCTGCGCAGAACAGCACCGCCTGGCCCTGGCAGACCTACCGGTCCGAGCCCTCTCTCCAGCCTCCCTCGCTCAAGATCACGCAGACCGGAGAGATCGCCGACGGCCACCTGTTCTTCGACCAGTCGGGCAACGGCGCCCACAACTACTCCGTCTTCATCATGAGCAACGAGAACGAGCTCATCTGGGAGGGCGCATACGGCGACATCTCCGCCTACCGGGCGCAGTACCTGGACGGCGAGCCGGTGCTCACGTACATGACGGGCATCACTTTCCCGGAGCCCTTTGGCTGGGGCTACGGCGCCATCTTCATCTTCGACCAGACGTACAAGAACATCATCAACGTCACGCTGCCCCAGAACCGTGACGACCTGAACCTGCAGACGTTTGGCGGCTGGGACTCGTCCGGCCTGGCCAACGGAAGCTGGATCGACATGCACGAGGACCTCATCACGCCCGAGGGCACCATGTTCATCCCGGCCATCAACGTCACGCAGACCGACCTGACCTCCGTGGGCGGCCCCGTCGACGGATGGATCGCCGACTCCTTCTTCTTCGAGGTCGACGTCAAGACCAGCGACATCCTGTTCCAGTGGAACCACCTCGACCACCTGGACGAGATCCCCCTCGCCGACTCCGCCGAAGTCTACCCGCTCGGAGACATGGGCTTCAACTCGTCTGAGCCTTGGGGACCCTTCCACATCAACTCGATCGAGAGGTTCGCCGACGGTGGCTTCCTCATCTCCTCGCGCCACTACTGCTCCATCTTCAAGATTGCCAAGGACGGCTCGGTCGAGTGGACCCTGAACGTGAGTTTCTTCCTCTGATGATTCAGCGAAAAGCAAAAGATACTAACAGAAAGCCCAGGGTCGCACGGGTGGCTCCTTTGCTCTGAAGAACGGCCTGTCCTTCTGCTACCAGCACGACGCGCGCATCCACGCCGAGGGCAACGGCACGACGCTCATCTCGCTCTTCAACAACGACAACAGCGCGGTGGAGTCGGGCGTCAACGAGACAACGGGCATCCTCCTGACGGTCAACACGGCGACGTGGGAGGCGACGCTGACGCAGGAGTTCATCGACAAGGACGACACCATCTTCGCCGTGTCGCAGGGCAACGTGCAGGTGCTCAACGACGGCAGCGGGCACGTGGTGATGGGCTACGGCAGCGTGCCCAAGATCAAGGAGTTCAACGCGGAGGGCGAGTGCGTCTTCACGGCGCAGTTCGGCGAGGACCGCGTCGTGCAGAGCTACCGCAACTACAGGTTCCCGTGGGTGGGCAAGCCGTACTACGCGCCCAAGGCGTTCGCGTGCAGCGCCGGCAACCAGACGGAGGTGTACATGAGCTGGAACGGCGCCACGGAGAACAAGAGGTGGACCGTGTTTGCGGGCGACGCCGAGGACTCGTTGGTCGAGAAGGTTGGCGTCGATAAGACCGGCTTCGAGACCAAGGCGACGTTTGCCGGGTCTGCGCAGTTTGTCAGAGTCGAGAGCGCCGGCGAGGGCATCGAGACCGGTGTCAGCGAGGTTGTTGCTGTTGAGAGCCAGTGCTAGATGGCTACTTTAGCTTCACCTGTAGATACATAGCCACGAGACATTAATTTACATACCATCTGGCCAATCCAATGTCTGTTGATGAGATGAACCGACGGCCTTTGCTCAATGTCAAGGCAACGATTGGTTATTGCTGTCTTGTCCATTGATTACCAACACCAACAGCAGACTCGTCAGCAAACGCTTGTCTCGGTGATGCATGCTGCGGATCATTGACATGGTCAGTGAGACGGCACAACAGATGCGGTGCGCTGTCCTTCGGAGGAGGAACTGCAAAGCTTACAAATGCAGGCAAACCTCATCGGCCAGTGCAAACGGCTCCACAGAACACGGGGGTGTCTGTGGCCACCGGCCCGTGCCGGAGACCTTGCTGGAGGATGAGCTGGCCGCACCTAGGTATGCAACATGGATTCGGGCCTGGTAGAACCGTGCAGCTGTTCATTCGGAGTATTGGTCAGCATTTGATCATTACAAAGCATTATCTCACGACTTGTCGTTTTCTTGTCTCGGACATGATGCAGATATGAATGTGTAAAAATAAGGAAAAGATGAACAGAGAGGTGATTGAATGATACCGCCAAGACTCAGGTACCTATCTCCTCCCCCGCACTGCACTATCTATGCTTAAGGTAGTGTCAGGAACACCCGCAACCATGCCTCTTTGCGCTCAGTAATCAACCGTCACGCCAGGAAGAAAGCACGCAATCGCCCTACAGCATGACGAATGGATAATTCCTCCGAAATCTACCCCCAAAGCCCTCTCTGTTCGTCCGTTTAAGCTTCTGGGGTAGCGGCGACGGCAGTGGCCGATTGGCCATGGTGACGTTGACAGGAGATCAATCCCTCCCAGCCCGCGAACTCAATCTCGCGTCAACTGTCGACCCCAGATTTACCCCTGAGATGGCGTGTTGTTGCATTAATCTCGGTTCATCTCGGTTCATCTCAGTTCTCGTCGAGAATGTCTAACCTTTGGTGAAGAGCAACATCGTGGACTTCATCGATTAGCAGCCCCATTGAACACCCCTGTTTCCCCCATTCGCACCACATAACACAATGTACATGGATCTGACCTGGTCCGCAAAGGCTCGGATGCAAATCCGCCCGGGCCGCCTGCAATGCTGATTGCTGAATTCCCCGCCAGCAGCGACTCGGACCTCGTGCGGCGGAGGAAACACCACAGCAGCGTATTTTCCATTTGTCAGCGCCCACCGGGAGCTCGTGTTCCCCGGCAGCCACTTGCTGCCCTTCGAACCACAGCAGCGACGATAGAGATACGACACGGTCGGAAGTCGCAGTGTACCTCGCGCCGCTGCTTGATCACCTCAGGTACGTTGGTCATTTTGCAGTAGGCATGGACCAGGCTGGGGACAAGCAGGCAAGTCCCATTGAACAACAACAGCAGCAGGAAGCATACAGCCACCAACAACGGGGCACAACCTGCCCAGTGAGTGAGCACGGAAACCAGTGTTTCCCTCCCTTGTCTGTCCACGGTCATCCAATGACTCTTTCTCTGCCTGCTTTCTCTGCTCTCTGTCCAACCCGCAGTGGCGCATTAGTCAACCAGACCCGCTCGTCGAACTTGACAGAAACGCCCGATCACCACCTCCTGGTTCCCACCGCTAGTTTGAGGACAGGTGGAAGGTTGCATCCTGTGTCCGTATCTGCTCCAGCTTGCTTTCCAGAGCCTGCTCCCAACGTCTGATGGACAAACATATAAACCCTTCGCCGTGACCCGAGACTCCATTGACTTCCCGCTCGACAAGTCCACCTCCAAGCATAGACCTCTTCATCTTTCGATCAACGACAACAATACCAACTCTCTTCCACACCCCAATAACCAATCTAAACCGCCAAGATGACCTACACGCTCTACGACGCCTCCGTCCCCCTCCTCACCGCGGGCCTCAACACCCTGCTGAACCTCCTCAACAAGGCCGAGGCCTACGCCGCCGAGAAGGGCATCGACGTCAAGACGCTGCTCGAGGCCAAGCTGGCCGAGGACATGTTCCCCTTCACGTTCCAGTACCACGTCGCCACCGACAGCGCGATGAAGATCATCGCCCGCGTGCAGGGCACCGACCCCGAGGCCTTTGAGAACAAGTTCGACAGCGTCGCCGACCTGCGCGCCCGCGTCGAGCACACGCTCGCCCTCGTCAAGGCCGCCGATCCCAAGACGTTCGAGGCCCGCACCGACGCCCTCGTGCCCCTCGGCCTCGGCTTCGGCAAGGGCGAGATGCAGATCCCCGCCCGCGACTACCTCGTCGCCTACGGCATGCCCAACTTCTTCTTCCACATCCAGGCCGCCTACAGCATCCTGCGCAAGGAGGGCGTCCCCCTCGGCAAGGCCGACTACCTCCAGCCCTTCATGGGCCCTCTCGTCGAGAAGCACCAGAAGGCGCAGCAGTAAATATGTCCCAGCAGTATAGAAAAGGTGATGGTGTGAGGAGGAATTCAAACGTCACAGGATGGATGGCGCCCGGCATCATGACAATGGCCGGGATTGAGCACAATCGGATAGGAAAAGTTGTCAATTGAAAGTCAATAATTACGCGTTTTGCCACTTGTTTCTTGTATGAGACAGTGAATGTAGCATTACAGCTTTGCACGAGAACTGCCACATGTGAAGCAGCCATTGATTTGGTTCAGGGATTATTTCATGGGCTCTCAGTAAAACGGCACGATGTCGCCAGATCCAGATGCTTCTTTTCCCCTCCATGACCCCTCCACGACCCCTCATTCCCTCAATGAGGGGCTCAGGGACCGCTGACTAACCACAGCAAGCCTCCACTCTGCTCCGCTCCTCACCAATGGGATGAAGCCATCTCCATCGTCGGAGAACAATCCGAACAGCCGCCGCCGATGCCGATAGGCGATAAGCTGCGAGGACAGGTCCCTGCGCGACTGACTGATTTCCCCGAAGTAACGTGACCTAGCAAACATGAAGCCGATCTCCCTTGGCGTATCAGGGCATAAAGTTCGTGTTAGTCTCTCCCAACGTAGAAATCACGGCACACAAGATATGTGGAATAGAAAAGGCGGCTGTTGCGTAGCAACAACACCCGTTCGAACTAATTCCCAAGTCTCGGCCTTATTTCAGCGGACAGACCTTGTTCCTGCGTCAGAAAGTAGGGGTCTTTCAACGGATTGAGTTTCTCTGGATTCAGCAGGCCAGGGGATTGTGTAGTGCTGAAATATTGCAAGCTAAATCGACAGTGCCCTCGTGGCTAGAACAGTCAAGGCGGTCGAAGGACGGACCCTCAAGGCCCGAGCCCAACAGTTTCGTTCCCAAATCAGCAGTCAGGCAGCCACGAGGCAATGGCAATTCCGGGAATTAAGCTCAGCTAGTTCTCCAGACTAACCGGATGCGTTTTCCTACTCTCCATTTGTCGATGCTGACTTTGACTGTCGTTAGGTTCACAGATGCTGGGCATTCTGTTTCTGAGCAATATTGATTATGGCAGTGATGACGGTTTGCAACTTTGCAGTGTGTAAATGGCAAAACATCTACAGTCCACGTCTTGGCCAGGTCAACAAAACTCACGAAACCCGCTGGTCATCTCTGCAAGCTCAGCATGGCTTAAGGGGCAAACGATCACCTGAATCAATCCTTGTAAGCCGCAGAGGCATACTTGCATCTTTTTGCTCGTTGCCTCTAGTAAGCAGTAAATGTGGTCGGATAGACCACTTATCAGAGCGTCGACGATGCGTCTTTTGAGGTTGTTCTCGGTCATAGCCAAATTCTCCAAGATAGGTGAATTCCAAGTCATAAGCCAAAACTGATAAATACTGCCGTCTTCCTTCGCTTTATACAAACAGTCACAACCATCACCACTCACTCTCGCTCCTCAGCCGTGCTCGTTTACATCCAACGGAACTTCAATTCTATCGCTCCCAGGCAGACCTTGTCAACCCTTCATTTTCGTCGAGTCTCACATCCAACATGAAGTTTTCCATTCCCGTCATCCTGTTCACGGCTGGTGCTGTTGCTGCGCCCTCCTCCGTCACGCTGAACGAGCGACAGCTCAGCGCGCTAACGCAGGTCCTCACCCCGGTTCTCCAAGGTCTTCAGTCCTTCGACGTCACCCTCAACGCCTACACCGGAGGACCTGGTCAGGAGCTACTCAGTGTCGCCAACAGTGTCATCGCGGGAGTCCGCGCTGCCGCCAACGCCGTTGCCCCCATCCAGCCGGTGTCTGAGGCTGAGGCTGGTGGTTTCGTCGGACTGGGCCAGCAGCTTGACATCGCCGGTTACAAGTTCATTGCCGATCTCAACGCCCAGGTTCCGGTGTTTGCCCAGAGTGGCATCTGCCCCGAGACTCTCAATTGGGTCACCCAAGTTGGTACGTGACTATGGCGGGCTCCTTCTGTTGTACGCGAGGGAGGTAGCTAATACTATACAGGAGATGGAGTTCTTGATCTGAAGACGGCCGTGTTCAGCAAGTTTCCCAACAATGGTGGGGATGCAAATGATGTTGAGGAGTTCAGGAAGCTCTTCTCTGCTGTTGAACAGCGACTGAAGAAATGCTCTGCTCCACCTTCGGCGGACTGTAGTGCGTATTGCGGCAAGGACCATCATGATTGGAACAAGGGCGAGGATAAGAAGGGCGAGAAGGGTGAAAAGGGAAAGAAGGGTGACAAGGACGACTGCAAGAAGAAATACTAGGCAACAGTAGTAGATAGTACTTAAACAACGGGGAAGAATGGTAGCTTAGTCAGGATAGTAGGGTAGAGAGAAACAAATATCGTGGCTAGCCTGCGTTTGTCAAGGTGACGATTGTTGCAGCAGCTGTGGTGAACTGATCTATCAAACTATAAACAGAGTACCATACGCAGGGTCAGCATGTGAATAGGGTATGAAAACAATTGAGTAGCAACAGGATGCCGAATTGCATACACGGCGGAAAAAAAGAGGAAAACAAGAACTCACCTTCAACTTGAGGCCGAAATCACTGTATCCTGGATGTGTGTCTGGAGTGTGAGGCGCTGTGGAGTCGTATTAGGGGAGGCATTGCCCCGCCCCCACCATCGTCGGACCCTTCCAAGGTTTCCTTATTTTTTTTTTACGGAATTTTTCAAGCCCCGCGGCGGCATCACCACCTTCACCAGCCACACACCACGGTATCTCAATCCACATCGGCAGTCATACTCACTCACACTCAGCCTCACCTTCACATTCACCTTCATTCTCACCACCTTCAACCTGAACCAAGAACACACTCACAATGTCCGCCGATCTCAGCGAGGCCGAGGCCCTCGCAACCCCCGAGTTCTGGAACGAGCGCTACACGAAATCAGACGGCTCCAACCCAACCCACGAATGGTTCCGCACCTTCGCCGCTCTCGAGCCGTACTTCCAGAAACATCTCTTCACACAACGAAGCCCCGAGACGTCGCCGCGCATCATGCACCTCGGCTCAGGCGACAGCGTACGTCTCTCCCCCCACACCCCGCGCGTAATCCCGCTCACACTCACAGACAATCCCCGCCGACCTCTCGTCCCGCGGCTACAAGAACCAGCTCTGCCTCGACTTCTCCCAGGTCGTCGTCGACCTCATGAAGGCCCGCCACGAGCCCCTCGGCGGCATCAAGTGGCGCTGGGCCGACGTCCGCGACATGCCCGACGCCGCGCCCACCCGCTCCGTCGACGTCGCCTTCGACAAGGGCACCATGGACGCCATGATCCACGGCTCGCCCTGGTCGCCGCCCGACGACGTCAGGGACAACACCGGCCGCTACCTGCGCGAGGTCCACCGCGCGCTCAAGGACGACGGCGTGTTTCTCTACATCACCTACCGCCAGCCTCATTTCATGAAGCCGCTGTTGAACTCCGAGGGGCTGTGGGATCTGGAGATGGATGTGTTGTCGGGTGGCGAGAGCGCGTTTGATTATTACGGATTCATTCTGAGGAAGAAGGCCCAGGCATGATGCGCGGTTGTTGACCAGGACGAACGGATAGACAAAATTGCATGGGCGGTGTTTGGTTTGCTTTAAGATAGATAGACGTGTTGAAACCTCACGAGACGAGGATGCCATTGTGAGTATCGATTGATATACGAAGATGATGCCATTCTCATTGGCTACAAATTTACAAATATTACACCCCTTCAAGCTTCACCTTCATCATTCTCAAAAGCCCATGTACTCGTTGGCCCGCTTCAGCAAGGCCCTCTCCCCCTCGCCCTCCCCAGCAACCTGCAAAGCCTCGAGACCCATCGCCCTCCGCGCCTCTGGTGCGACAATGGCATCCTCGCCAGGTCTGCCCACATGATCTCTCTCCCCCTGGCCGCCAGGGAAGTCTGGCCCAGGCAGCCCCTCCAAGAACGCTTCCCTCTGCCTTTTAAGATACCACACGTTCTGGTCCGTCAGGGGACACACGGGGATGTACAACACACTGGAATCCCCCTTGCCCTCGTGCACCATGTCAACAGCGTGGATCTGATCCGCATGCCACGCCACAAAGTCGCCCGGCTTGATCTTGGGCATGTGCACCATCGTCCGTCCCAGCTCCAGATGCGGGTGCAGCTTGCCGTTTAGCTCCTGACAGTGTCCCGCCGTCGCCCCGTGCAACTCCGAACTCATGCCCTCGCCCGCCGTAAACACCCAGTTCTCCTCCCTCAGGAACTCCGCCCCGCTGACGTCCTCCCGCAGGGGCTGGAAGAACGGCCGGAGCAGGAGGTACGCCGTCGTGTGCTTCACCAGCGGGTTGACCAACAACGTCCCCTCCCGCGGCCCGGCGTCGCTCATGCTCAGCCACCCCTGGAACATGCGGAACATGCTGCACGCCCCGGCGCCGTTGTACAGGTCCTGCACGGCGTGCACGCGCGCGCTGACCTCCCACGGGTCGTACCCCTCCCAGTCGCCGCGGAAGATGGCGTCGTACGTCCCCGTCTTGCCGTACCCGTCGCGCTCCCAACGCTCCAGGGACCCGCCATCGATGTGCGGGCCGAGGGCGAACGTCGCGTCTCCGGGCTGGCGGATGCGCAGGCGGTCCGCGTATGTCAGCGGCTGGAGCGAGATGGCCGCCGAGGGGGACTTGTTCCAGAGGTCGCGCATGAGCGCCGTCTGGACCTTTAGCAGGTTCGGGTGGCCGCGGGCTTTGAGCTGCGGGAGGGACCAGTACAGCTCGTAGACTTGCGGGTTGTCGGCAGGGAAGGCTGCGCTCGTGTTAGTGGCCATGTAGGTTCCATCCAAGACCGTCGAGAGACCATACCTTTTGTCGATGGGTTTTTGCGGACATATGCTTCCACCTCTTCTTTGTAGCCCCGCGCTTCCTTCTCGTCCACGACGCCTCGAACAACTACCGCGCCGCGTTTCTTCATCTCGTCTTTGAGGTGGTCAATGTCGCTGTCCAGGCTGGAAAATTCGACGCTGGGGATGATGGCAGGGCCCTTGGCCGCGATGGTCTCGTTTTCTTCTCTCAGCGATTTCAAAAGTCTGGACCACGACTTTACCACGGCGTCCTCATGTCCGGCCACCAGGTTCTGCTTGAGGGTACGGAACCGCTCTGGTAACGGTTCCCGCGTCTCTCCGGAGAGGGAGACAAAGACGGACGAGATGTCGCCCTCCTTCTTTGGCGCGTGGGCGGCTGCCGCGCCCATCATGACAGTGCGTCGTTGTAGGCATGTTGAAGGAAGCCTAGTCCGCGCGTTCCGAGAAAGACTTAGGAGGCGAGACATGGTGGACATGTGGCAGTTGCAAACGTCGCTGGCTTTTTGAATGTTGAAAAAATGCGGCTGATGCCGTGTAAGTCGCCCATTCACAGGAGATATCCAAAGACTCGAGGGCAAAGAATGATACGCCAGGAAGTAAACAAGATACGGTTTATATATGCTCCAATAAGCCAATACTGCTGATTGCCGCCATCAACATCAAAGTCGTCGAGCTTCTCTTATACCTACGTGACCCAGCACCCGATCCAGTGCGACACTCCGCACCGTCGGCCTTTCCCAAAGCGGAAGCCCGACAGACTCCGCCCGGGCTCGAAAACGCGGGGCCCCGCCCGACAGCGGGGCCGCATATGACACGCAGGACACCTTACCTGCGTGCATCCATGCGTACATCCCTTCTCCCGGACCCTGACCGAGGTGCTGTCGTCGAATAGTTGCGGAGCATTTGGTCATTGGTGGCTGTCTAGGGAAGTCCGACGACGGGGGGCGAATCCATCAGCAGAGGCTTCGGATTGCCATACTAAGTAGATGTCGGTCAGGTTTGCTCACTCAAATTCTCGCAGACAATCCACACACGTTTCACGAGCAGTGCGAGCATCTAATGCCGTGGAGAGAATGCTGGCAGGCGTAATGATCCATATTAAAGTATCCCAAAAGGCGGCCGTTCTCCTCAAACTCCCCCAGATCCCCAGCTTCCACCATACGTTGCTGGTCTGACAGATGCACAAAACAAGGGCGCAACGAAAGGTTATCCCGCTCCAGTTCTCCGGGCTCTAGTGATACAAAGGGTGAAATAGTACAAAAGAAACTTGGTTGGTTCGTGATTCGCCTCCGCCGCCTCACTCCATGGCCCCGTTGGCCCGGCGGATCCGCGCCACCTCGCTTTGCAGCGCGCGGTTCTCCGACTCCAACCCGCCGAGTCTCTGTCTCGCGGCGCTGCGATCTTGTGACCGTCCCTCGCGTTCCGCCTTGAGCTTGTTCTCCAAGTCGCGCAGCTTGAAGATCCATCGGTTGTCGGTGGTGACTTCTCGCTCCGCCAAGGCTGTCTCGAACGGATTGTGGTTCGTCGAGCCTGGCGTTGTCACCGTGTGGCTGGATGCGCTGCGCGTCATTGTCGACGTACGCTCGCCCTTGCGCGGCTTCCGTTCTCGGTCGCGAGGTCCGGTGGGAATGGACGGAGAGGGGCTCCCGCTTACAGGGTCCGCGGCAGCAGCATTGGGGTCGTTGTTGGCTGAATACGCGGCCCGGCTTCTAACGTCCTGCGCGGTTCGAAGTGTCGCATTTTCCACCTTGAGCTGACGGTATGCGTCTTCAAGCCGCGCCATTCTGGCCTGCTCGTAAGCGCCAAGAGTCCCGGACGCCATGCCGTTGCGGACAATCGTCTCGAGCCTTTCCAGCTTCTTGTTCTTCGTCTCGAGGTTTGTCTCCAGGGTCTGATACTCGCGCCAGAGATCTCTCTCCACACCCTTGATGCGGGAGGAGAACCCGCCAATCATGCCCTCGATCGTCTTCACTGCGAACAAGAGGTTCTTGCTGAAGCCTGGAAGCATCGTGGCAACCGCCTCTAGTGACGGCAGCGCTCGGCCGTTGATGAGACTGTTGTCGTGGGCCCAGTCTGTGCCGCAAAGCGCGGAGAGGCGTGTCCACAAAACCAACAGCAAGTTGTTGCGTTCCGTCAGCTGATCCTTGAACGTCGACTCCAGCTGAGCAATCCTCTTCTTGTCCTGTGTGCGCGTGGATTCGAGTTCCGAGATCCGGAGGTCCTGCGTGCTGACGGTCCTAGTGACGTGCTGATGTGTCTTTCTGAACGTCTCGAATTGGTTCTTCGTAGTGCTGTGTGCCTGAATCTCCTTCTCGAGCTCGACCGCGAGTTTGCGCGATTCCAAGCCGTGCGACTCCAGCAGAGCGTCACGCTGCTTGATGATGCGATCCTTCTCCACCAACGATGCCTTGGTCGTGTCCAGTTCGCGGACGGTGTTCTCCAGCTCTCGCTGAAGCTTTGCAATCGACTGCTCCTGTTAGCGTGCGCATCAGTGTGTCCGGATCCCTTGCTCACCTTGAGGAGACTGGAGCGCGTCCCGTTAAGGTCGCCCAGTGCCTCCCTGAGATTGTTCTCCAGCTCCATGAGCCGCTCCTTCCACTCGGTGGCTTCGACTTCGCGAGAGGTAAGATTCTTACGCAACCTACGCGCTTCGTCCTTGGCCGCTGACATCTCGCGATTGAGATCGTTGACAAACTGCTGCACCTCTTCCTTCTCCTTGTTGGCCACAATCTCACGTTGCCGACGCTCCGTCGCAAGGCGCTGCTCCAGCTCCTTGATTCGATCACGCTCATCACGTAGACTCTGCTCGGTGTTGGCGAGTGCTGCCTCGAGGTCGCCGATGCGAATCTTGTCGCCCTCTTGCTCTTCTCGCAAGAAGGCAATCTCGCCCTGGCTGGACTCTTGTTGCACACTGAGCCGTTGGGCCTTGTCGTTCGACTCGAGCAGCTTGGCCTCCAGTTCCTCCGATTCCTTATTAGCGTCCGCGAGTTCTTGCTCCAGCTGCTGAATCCTGCGAATCTTAGCCGCCTGGTCGTCCTCGAGCCGTACGAGTGCCTCGCTCATCTTCCGCATTTCCTCCTGCAGGGCGTCAAAGTTCTCTGTCCGATCGTTCAGCTCCAGCTTGAGCCTCTCGATCTCATTCGAATGCTGATCGGCTTCGCCCTCGAGCGCGTCAATCTCCTCCTGTGCCTCTTTCCGCAGCGACTCAAACTCCGTCTCCATGTCGGCTTGCTCTCTCAACGCCTCGTCCCTCTCTGCCTGTAATGCCACCAAGTCGTTCATGGCGTTGTCAAGATCTTCCTGGAGGGCCACAGCTATGTCTTCTGCCTGCCGCTTGGCGTCGATTGCGGTTTCAAAGTCGTTCATGCATCCCTCGAGTTCACGCTGGAGCTCCTGGTTCTGGAGCTTGAGCTCGTTGATCTTGTCGCGGGTTTCAGCAAGCTTGCTCTCCAGCTCCTCGCGCTCGAGCTCGTCGATTTCCGTCATTTGAGTTCTGCCGGCACTGACACGGGACATCGACCTGTGGTGTGCGCCAGCTCGGGATGCAGACCGCTCCAGGAGCGAGTCTATTGTTGACGGCGCTGGACCGCCGCGTCTCTGTGCCATCTTCAGATCCTCAATCTCCTGGTACAGACGCTCCTTCTCGCGGTTTCGCGATGTAAGCATGGACGTCTGCGCTCCCACCTCGCGCCGCAGCTCGGCGTTCTCGTGTCGCAACTGCTCGCTCTCCCTACGCAGCTCGTCCACCAGGGTGCTAGCAGCACTGAATCCGCCGTTCGTTTCGATGTCACCCGACAGTCCCGAGACAGGCCGGCTTGGTGAAGTCTGCCGTTGCTTTTTCGTAATATTGTAAATGTTGGTCGTATGATGCAGGCCGCCGTGGGCGCTGGACATCTCTTGCTTCAGTCGGAAAATCTCATCGCGCAACTTGCGATTGTCTTCGTCAGACTGTTCCCGACGTGCTGTTTCTTGTTCGAGCAGATCCTTCCACACGTCCGCCTCCTCCTGGCTGCCGAGATTGCCGCCTGACCTCTCACCCAGCGATTTGACCACCTCTGCGAGTTTGCGCTTCTCAGCCTCCTTGGACATGCTCTCTTTCCTGAGCCTCTCGAACTCGGTCTCGTAGGCTTCCATGCGCTCTCTCAGGTACAGAAGCTCCTCTTCACGCTCTTGGGCATCTTGGTCGGACGAGTCGTTAGATGATCCGCCACTCCTCGCCGTTCCGGGTCGCTCGTGGTCGTCCTTGAGCTGCTTTTCCAGCTCCTTGACCTTCTTCCGCAGCGCCTTGTTGTCGCGCTGGATGACGGCCAGGCTTGTCTTGAGCTCCACATTCTCCGAGATCATCTCCTTAACACCCTCTTCGGAGAGCTTGTCAAGTCGGTCACTCAAGAACATGACTTTGAGCTTCAGGTCAAAGTTTTCCTTGGACAGCCGTTCGATGGTGCTGCTCTGCTCCTTCAGCGTCAGGTTCTTACCCGACCGCGTGGAGGCGCCGAGCGGTGCTTCCGAGGGCTTGCGAGGCGTGACGAAGCCACTCTTAGATCTGTACTCCTGCGCCAGCGACTCGGGCACCTGCACATTCCTAACATGGCGGGCGATTACTGTGTCGGTTGGGGCGGTCAGGTTTTCCTTGGATGGTTTCGGGGTGGCGAGGAGGTCTTCGTTCCTGTTCGGTCGACGAGGGGTGAATCCGGTCTCGACCTCGTCGAGCGTCTCCAGCTGGCTTGGCAGAGACTCAGGGTCGTCCATGCCTGAAACCATGCTGCCGATGCTGACTGATCGTGACAGGATGCTGCTAAGGCTGCGGGGCAGGCTCGTGGTTGTGGCAGCGCCACCAGATTGGAGGGCGAAGTCGACACCGAGATTGGCCGTGGGTGGATCGCTTTCGAGATCGTCGTGGGAGTCGGGATTGGTGACAAAGGAAGAGACGGAAGATCTCTGGCTGGTGCCGCGGCTTCGCAGGTACTTGGGCCGTGTGCCGTAGCGCAGAGCGTGTCCTGGCGTGCTGCCGGCGTCTACGGAGCCACCGCGCAGGCTACTGTCAGATCGCTTGCTCCGTAACGTCGTGGAAGTGGACTCGGCCTCTGATTCGGCGTGAGCATGCGAGCGCTCTTCGTCCATGTCTTCGGCGGCGGATGGCTCCTGTGGTTGCTTGTCTGTCCGGTTGCTTGCGCTGGACAGGGCCCGCGAAATGGTTCGTGCGGCGGCCGCTGCGGCTGGAGATGACGACATTTGCTCGAGAGAGGAGGTCGTGTTGGAGATGTCGACGGAGGCAGAATCCTGTGGCTTTAGCTCGGTGAAGTCCCCAAGGCCTGACTTGTCGGCGGGTTGGACGCCGGATCTGGGGCTGGGACTAGGACTCGCGGGGGGCTGGTTGCGAGCGGCAGACTTGGCGGAGGCAGCGCCGTCAAACAGGTACGTGTCGTCGGCGCCCTCGTGGGTTATCGTGGGTATGGGGGACAGGCGGGAGACGAAGCTGGACTCGACGTCCTGCAAGTGGGCTCGGACGGCGGATTCAGCGATAGAGTCGCCATGGCGGGAGTCGTCGTAGGCAGGACCCTCGACGAAGCTGCTGTCGAGGACGGCGTTGGTCTGTGGCCGAGGGGGAGGCAACATGGAGTCGTTTGGGGGTTTGCGGTCGTCTACGAAGTTGGATGAGGAGTGGCGGTCGGGGGCAGATTCATGATGGGAATTGGACTTTGTGGGAGTGAGCTGCGACTCGTCCGGGGTCGGTGTGGTGCTGTTGTTCGCCCGGTAGTCTGAATGGTGTTGCTCGGGTTCGGGCTCATGGATGTCGATGCGCAAACTGTCGTCGTTGTCGCTGTCGTGATTGACACGGCGGGCGGTTGTTGGGCGTGAGGAGTCGTCGAGGCGGCTCCGGGCCCGACTCGCCTCATCGTCCATGGTGGAGTGTGGCTGGGCGACTCTGGAGATGCATTCGGCCGGTCGAGGGACCGTTTTCTTTGTTTGAGTGTTGCGCAGTCGGTGATAGGTCGTTTGGCGGTCGAGGTCGAGAAAAGGTGGCCGGTCGGGGGCGGTTGTCCAATGCCGTCGAGTTGTCGGGTTGTCGAGTTGCGTGGGCTGGGCGCGATGTTGCGAATTCGCTGACAGGGTCAATGGGCGAAGCAGCGACGGCGATCAAGCTAGAAGGTGTCAAAACCCAGATCTCTTTTCCTTTTTTTTTTTTTTTTTTTTTTCTCTCTTCCTCTCTTTGCTTCCTTCTTCTCCTGACGACCCAGTCCAGTGTCTGTGGTGCTTGTGGCACTGACTGCAGCGACGCGGCCTGGCCTGGATTGACTGGATTGGGCTGGGCCGGGCCACACACACCTGCCTGCTGCTCATTTGGCTGCATGGAACGGGAGGCATGCGCACGTACCTCTTTCTTTCAGTGTTTTTTTCTTCACTCCTGCATCCACCTTACTCGATGGCTCGAGTTTCTGTGTTCGTAAATGCCGTGGCCAGTGCTAATGAAGGGTCCCTGTCACGAACCATTCAAACAAAGTGCCAAATCGCGATTGCATCGGCCGTGGTCCCTGCCTGCCGTGCCTGGCTGCCCGCCCATCTGTCTGCCCGCCTTCTTCTTGGCTGAATCGACTGGTTGCTGGGGCACCCGCACTAGCCCGAAATGAGAAAGGTGGGGGACCAATCCCCCTGAGTAAGATCGCTGGATTGGTCGATTGTGTGATTAGTCATTCGCCGGGTCGGAAAAGAGTGCTACCGGGAAGTGATACCAGACCCAGTCCTTCGCCCCGCTCGAAGCCACGCGCACAGACCCTCTCAGCCGCCGGTGCCATCCCACGTCGCGCATCTCGTCGTGATCCTGCCGCAACCAGCTGCTATATGCCATTGGTGGAGCGGCACTACTTCACTCGTGGTGGCAGATGCAGGCAATAGGGGAAGCTACGAGCCACATCCGGAGGGCCTTGTATCCTTGAATACTAGTGATACATAAGTAGTATTCATATGTACGATTGAAGTTTAGGCATGATCCCATCGTCATACTTACGACAGACATAAATCCCAAATGAATCCAGCTCATGATGGTTGTATTGCCATTCTTCATTGTATAGCAGTTAGTTGAAAATTCAAGACTTCAATGCAATATAGTATTACTGATCTCGACAATTCCGGTTGTCTATTTATCCATATCCCATTTCACATTACAAATCATGTCCATCGTACATCATCACCGTCTAGTTAGAAATCTTGGGATTGACCTTCTTGCTATACACCAACAACTGTCAGCGAAATTCTGCCAGAGTGCTACGTTGGCCACTTACCCAGTCACCTTCTCGTACATGTTGCGACCAGCATCGGTGATCTTCTCATCCGTGCTGCGGGGCATGTCGTGGCCAGCTTTCTTGGTAGCGAAGTCGAAAGCTAGATGGGCTGCGTCAGTTCTGCTGTGGACAATGTGGACGGCACCGTATCACATACCCTTGTCGACGGGGTCCTCCTTGGGCTGACCGGCAGCATTGGCCTGGTTGTTGCTGCTCTTGAAGGGGTTCATTTTGATGGTGATATGTAATGTTTGGGTTTTTCAAATATTGGGTCTTTGTGTTGTTGGTCGTTGTATCTGGCTTCGGCACTGAATATTGCAGGAAACGCCCCTTCTTATGTACAATTCCACCACCCTCGAATCTGGACCCAAAAACCTGCACCAAAACGACCTTTCATCATCGCCCCTCCCCCGCCTTCCCCATCGAACCTTCGCAGTGTTCCCACCATGACGCTAATCGCCTCAATCCCGGGCCCCCTCTAGACGCAGATTCCCAGTTTCGGAGCGCCGCCAGACCATGCAGACCACTACGTCATCGCCAAACTACCGTCCGACCGTCGATCCTCCAAACCAACGCACTTGGTCGGAGAGAACAAGCTTGATCAGCCTCATAATGCATGCATGCCAGTCCCTTCCTCCTAGCAAGCCGCCCGCCCCTGGACAATGTCTGTCACTGCTTCTATGTAAAGAATGCCAAGACCCAGGGTCCTCACCCATCCACGCTCCCTGCTACGATGAGCGCAGCGTGGATGGACGCAGATAACAGGATCGCCGTGTGCCGTTGTGCATCTACTTGGCCCGGCAGTTCGGCATCCCTCAGGTACGCCCCAGGCCGGGGAGCGCCGCCGGGATGTGAGACCTATCTACGTCAGTCGGGCCGGGCGTAGGGCCCCAACATGTGACGATGATGGAAGTTAGTCGTTGATCCAGACGGGAACGGTTCATGCGCTGACGGACTGTCAACCGACGGTCTTTCGTCTGATGCTACGGGATTGCGTCAGTCGTTGCCCTTTGCCAGGCAGACGCCGGCAGGCTCCTCGTTGAAACCCAGAAAGAAAAATGTCCAGTGCTCGGAGACACCGTATATGCAGTCGAAATCAAACAAAACGCCGCCGCCATTAAGCCGTCACACATGTAGCCGCTGCAAATGCTTCCGCCGTCAAGCAGACTCACTCCATCCAAAAACTGTCAGAAACCGGCCTGGTGACTGCGTCCTCCTCACGATGCGGCAAAGACCTGGAACGCCATCACCATGATCCAGACCAAAAACAACGCCCCGACAAGCGCAAACGAAAACACCGCCTGCCAGGCTTGACCTACACCACCAGTCAGCATTTATCCAGGCGAGACTTGCGCACGCTGGAAAACCTACATATACTCCTCTGCTGCAGCCACGCAAGGGTATCCAGGCTCTGGCCCGTCGGGTTGCGATTGAACACGGCAAGGTTGCACGTACTCGAGACCGACCCGTCCGGCCCCCAGAGCTGGATGCTCACGACCACGAGGCCGACAAACCACAGCACGAACAGGATGAACGCGCCAATCATGACGATGGCGGGCAGCAGGCGGCGCTGGTAGACGAGATAGAGCAGCAGGCCGATGAAGATGATGACGAGCGACGCGACGGTGATGTAGTAGGGGAAGTACCTGCTATCGTCAGCATTGCGCCCGCAGCAGCGCATGGGGGGGGGGGGGGTTCCCGTCACGGACCATGGTATCGGCAGGAGCAGCTGGTTCTGGATCTCGATAAAGGACGCAAAGACGCCGATGATGAGGCACGACGCGACGAGCATGATGAGGATCCAGAGGTTCAGCTGGACGCCGGGCCATTGGTAGCTGTGAACCCGGCCGACGACGCGGCGGTCGTAGTAGGAACTACTCGTGAGTGTTGATGCCGCCATCTTCGCGGTTGCCTATTGGACCGTTGCGCTTCTTCGTGCGGTGGTCGTAGGTCGGTCTTCGGGGATCGCGTACGTAGGCAGTGATTTCCGCGCTCTTGATCGTGATTTTGGACGTCGTTGCTTCGTTGCTTCGTCAATCGGGTGCGGTTCGCCAATCCGTTGCAGACTTTGAAAATAGTCCCGTCCTTGCCGCAATTTGCGCAGTAATGAAACGCGCAGGCCAAGTTAAGATAAAATCGGGAGGATGCGACCCAACATACCCTAAGCCTCGACACAAGGCAGAGCGACGCAATATGGAGCGATGCGATGCAGTCGCAGCGTGGTGCTCCTGGACGTGCCACGTCAAAAAGAGAAAAAGAAACGGCCGACGGGAGCGCGGGCTGCTGCGACGGCGAGGCTCTATTCCAGTCTGGGCTGCACCGCTGCACCGCTGAACCCCCCCGGTCGCCGTAGTGTTGCGTTGTGTCGGGCTGCGACGGCAATTCGTTCGATCAGGGTCGCTCGCGTCTCGCCTCACCTAGGCGAGTGGCACTCGTAGCTGCAGCCCAACGCAGGTGAGATGCGGCAGGCTTCGATGGTGATGGTTTCTTGCTCGGCTTGGCTGGATTGCGGCGAATGTCTCGGGCAACGTCGCGTCGAGTCGCGTCTCCTCAAGCCTTGAACGGCGGGGCGGTTTGAGGAAAAAGAGGTGGTGAAGTGTAGGTAACTTGGCATTTACCAATTTGTTCGGTAGCGCTGTTGCAACCCGAAATGACTGCAAAACGGTCACCGCAACAGACAACCCAGAAAGTTCTTCTATCTGCACTCGAACATCATTTGATCCCTCTCTCGGAATGTTTTCTCCCCTATCGCACGGATGCTGCAAATCAGGTGGCTGGGCAAAGGACCACCTACAAAAATGGCGATGGCTGGGCGCCCGTACGGATAAAGCCAGTCGGCCGCCTGGAAGCGGCACCCGACAGCGCACACCATCAGGGCCAATGCCATGTCCGGGCCCGAGACCCACTGCTCCCCGCAGCCGGGGCGCATCCGAGCCGCTGCCACCGCTGTCACCGCTGTCACCGCTGCCTCGTGAGTGGGTTGGGCGTGCCGGACAAGTCAAAAAGCTTGGTAGACACGCCCTGTCGGGCTCCCATACATCTGTGGAACTCAAGTCCATGGAGAGACGGATGAATTGGCATACAATTTGCCTGTCGCGTGGTATTATTGATACTCTTCTGTACTTCCACATCTCTGTCCGTTCATCTAAGGTGTTTCTACCTTGTCATAGACCATGTCTGCAGCCGACTTTGGCTGCCATCTGTTCTTGCTCAACAAGTCCTCCTCTATCTTATTCTATCGCTCTCAAAACAACAACCCGACGCCTACAACAACGACTCTCCCAAAGCACATCTCACGAGCGAGCATCCTGCCCGAATGGTCTCGCTTGCACTGTCGGCCGCCAGCTGCGGGTTGACTTCCACCAGATCCACCGCCACGAGGCTGCCCGTCTCATGCACACACTCGCAGATGTAGTCGCCCTCGCGCAACGTGAGGCCGCCGCGGACGGGCGTGCCCGTGGACGGCGCCCACTGGGGATCCAGCGCGTCCACGTCGAACGACAGGTGGATGGGCGTGTCGGTGCCAATGTGCGCGAGCGCCATCTCCATGACGCGGCCGATGCCATAGCTGTACCACGACCAGTCAGTCAATCATCGCCCAATCTTGCTTCACAGCCTGCCGGAAGAACCTACCGGTCAATATCAAACATGCTGAACGCCTTGATGCCGTTTTCCCTCAGGATCCTCTTCTCGCCGGCGTCGACGTCTCTCAGGCCAATGTAGACGAGCTTCTTGATGTTGAGCATGTGCTCCTCGCCGAGCCAGCCAAAGTATTCGGGCTTCTCCTCCTTGGCGAGGCCCGTCACGAAGGCGACGGGCATGCCGTGGATGTTGCCGCTGTCGCTCGTCTCGGGGGTGTTGATGTCGGCGTGGGCGTCGACCCAGATGACGGCGATCTCGCGGCCGAGACGCTCGCGGGTGGCCTTGGCCGAGCCGGCAATGGTGCCGATGGCGATGCTGTGGTCGCCGCCGAGCGTCAGCGTCAGGCGGCCGAGGCGCGACTGCTGGTAGACCTGGTCGGCGATGCGCTGGGTCACCGAGGAGACGGCCTTGGGGTTCTTCATGTTGCGGAACGGCGGGTCCGACTCGGGGATGACGTCGGTGTACGAGTGTACCTCGTCGTCGCCGTGGAGCTTGTAGCCGAGCTCGTCGCGCAGCTGGGTGATGAGGCCAGAGTCGATCAGGGCCTTGGGACCGGCGTCGACGCCGAGTTTTTGCTGAGGCGGGGTTGTCAGCTACCGGAGAAACGAGGAGCAGAGACGGGGAACAAGCAAGCTTACCTGGCCACCCGAAAAGCCCACAGCGACGATGCCGAGATCCTCAGGGTGGCTGAGGAACTTGGACTTGATCATGGAGGTGTGCATTGTGACGGGCAAGAAACGACAACTGGGTATCAATGGAAGAGGGACGTCTTGCAAAGGACAAGAAGAAGAAGGAGGAGGGAAAGGATGTGAATGGGAGCAATGCGTTTTGGGCGTGGAGGGAAAAGGAAGAGGGACAAGAGAAAAGAAGGTGGCACTCGAGGCATCTAAATCCTTTTCCGTCGTGCCCTCGGCGCCGGCGGCAGCGCGACGACGGCAGCGACGACGGCCATGAGACCTGACTTGGGGCTTGACTCGGCTCGTGGCGGTTGCGGAGATTCAGAAGGCGCGTGCCATGCATCCATCCCGGACGCAGGTGGCAGAGAAACAGCTGTGCTGGAGACAGAGTGTGTGTGCCTCTTACACGCTTCAGTTCCAATCCAACGCATTCGGAGCGGCGGCGACGGCGGTGCGTGGTGGATGACACCAGCCCAGCGTTCCAGCAGTCCCTCAGGTGGGACCCTCGCCGAAACCCCACCGCGGGTAGACCTGCACTTAGGGGAACATCAGTGGAGCTGCCTCCGTGGCTAGCGGCGCCGACGGGCGACGACCCCGCTGGGGGCCGCTGGAGACCGCTGGGGCACCTGCACTTAGGGGTCTGGCGCGCCCGGAGCTGTGCCACTTAACGGCAGGTGAGCCCCGAGCGTGCGTGCGAGGCATTATTTAAATAGGCCCGGCGCCCCCCGTCCCACGTCCATCGCGAGTTGGTGATATCCCTAATGGCAGGGCGACCCGAAGTATTACACTCGATAACTTTGCGCACACCGTCCGCCAGGAATCGTTGGGAGCACACGAATCAGCCGGCCCCCTCCCTCCCTCTGCTTCGTGTTCCCGTCTTCTCGTCCTTCATTTTCTCTGCTCGTCGGCTCTGTCGTCGCGGTTGGCGAACCGCTGCTGTTCGAGGCTGCTCATCGACATGCCTCCAAAAGTGTCGATTTCTCGAGGTTCGCTCTAGGATTCGTTATCGCCAGCCTTATCTTATCGATCTCCAAGCACCTGGATCACTCGCTCATGTGGGATTACCTCAGCAATCTGCGCTGTGCTGCCCAGCAGATTGAGGCCCTCCACCACACCAAAACCGCATCGCGAGGCCAGCCCCACCAGCCATGTACATCACACATCACACACTCCACGTTCCCCCCCCCCCCAGCTCCAAGCAACGACGGGCTCACATCAGATTGAATCTCACCAGGCCGTCGGCTAGGCCGTATTCATCCAAGCGGCCACACCGCAGCTTTCAGTCTCGGCATTCACGCCTGCATGCCGTTATCAATCAGCTCCACGGCCAACTCTCTCAGAGGCCCCATGACGATGACGCCCATCCTCATCTCCCGGCACAAACCGGAAGCCATTGCAGTTCTTTTTCTTCTTTTCCCACATTGTGACCACCTTCTCGTCTCTCTTGGATCGGATCTGTTCCCCTCTTCTCATCGGATAGGGCCTGGCCATCACATCTCTGCACGTCCATATAACGACATGGCAGTATCCCTGGCGTTTACGTAAAACTTCGCATTCTCGAAACTAGTGCTGCTGCCTCACTGCCTCGCAAGCGCCACGATCCTATTAACCCCGTGGCCTCGCCGCCGGCGACTGCTGTTTGAAAATGCATCAAGTGACTGTCAACGAACAAAGCATACAACGCGGACCCCCGTCGCTCACGACCGGCTTCGCTCGGCTTCCCTCGTCCTCCCTCGTCCGTGTCGGCGGCTTCAGCCGGCATCTGCGGATCAAACTCCGAGTCGCCTCTCTTGATCTCAATGGTGTCACATACGTGAACCAAACGCGAAAGAACACCAGACATGGTTTGTTGCTGTCTCTGTTGTACACTGTACCTGATAACGTGGCCCATAGCCCTCTTCTGATTCCCCATTTTGTAATGCCCTGGTATCCGTAAACAAACCCGCACTTGAAGCGTACAACTACGATCGCCCGTTCCGTCAACTCCCAAACGCCATTCCCAAATCCCAGCTCATGAAAAAGTACCCGCGCCCATATCTTGCATCATGTCGCCGTGCTCTCCGCCAGCAAGTCGTGGACCCAGCCCATCCTCTCTCTTCTCTCGTCCGTCACGCGCGCGTACTCGAGAAGCAGCCGCAGCGTGTAGATCTGCATGTCCTCCTTGCGCAGCGCCTTCTCAGCCCATGCCTTGCCGTCCATCGCAATCTTCTCCGCCTCGGCATCGTGCGCGGGCCTGTCGCCTCCGTAGCCCAGAAAGTACTCCATGATGCCGTAGTAATCGTTGAAGCGACTGTCCATTGGCACGAAATGCTTCCACGCAACCAAACGGCTATCGTGCCACTCGCGCCAAAGGGTCGCCTTGATGGGCAGACTCGTGCTCCCCAGGAATGCCAGGTACCGTCCGGAAAAGCTGTTGCCGTCAATGTCGGGGAGGTACTTTGAGTCGTACATCTCGGTGAGCATGACGCCTTCCGTGACGTTGAAGTGCGGGCTCGTGTAATTGCAAGTGCCGGCGGGGCCCTGCGGCTCGCACATGAGGTCTGTAAAGCCCACGTCTGCCCAAGAGCCAATCCACTCGCCGAGACTGTTGATGGCCTGGGCCGCGAGGTTGTACATCTTGTCCGGGAGCGAAAAGTTGACGGGGTCCATGGTGCCGTCCTCCGCGCCGGCGACCTTGGTCGCGTTGTTCATGGCGACGAAGCGGTGACGCTGGAATCCCCTCCAGTTACTGACGCGGTTGCGCCCGCCAGTCGCAACGCCGCGCCACATGACGGCGTCCTTCTTCCTGCTCCACGGCCCACCGTGGTACCCGCCGCCACTGAAGCGTTCCTCTTCGGTCCAATACATGGCTGCGGGGAGAAGGATCTCGTTGTTGATGGCCAGCTTGGAACCCCCGAACATGGGGAAAAGGACGGTTGTGGCGGAGGTGCTGAGGGGTTCGATGAAGATGCCATTGAGGCCTTGGAGGTCAGGTTGGTGGCAAATTTCGGTCGACATGGTGTAGTTCGCGACGAAGCCATCTCGCATGTGGGCTTTGGAGTATTTGGTGCCGATGCCTGGGGTATGGTCGAATGATTTTTGAGTCGCTGCCAGCCGGGCAGGGCTGTCTGGAGGACATCCGCGACGGGCAATGAGCCAATACTGTTCTGGAAAGAGTTAGTCCGAGACAGATCATCGATTCGATTGCCGAGGGGCGGCACGTACTTGTCTCTTCCCAGTGCTTGCTCTTGACCTTTACGTTCCGATCGAGCTCCTTCTTATTGTTCGGCAGCGCCTGGAATGTGTTCATGACCTTTTTCGGCTCGGGCATCCCCTCCGTTAGGGCAGCGTCACGCATGTACTGGGCCATGTCCTCGTAGGGCACTACCATGCGGGGCTCGTCCATGGGGTTGAGAGCAATGTCCATGTCGGGAAGCAGGTGCTCGATCGTCTTGATCATGTTCGTCCAGTGGACGGTCCAAAACCACTCGCTGATGCGGGTGGCGCGACCCTTGCGTACCTTAATGGTCATCTCGTACTCGGCCGCTTCCTTGCGGATGCGCGAAGGCTCCATGCCCCAGAAGGGGCGCAGGTCGTGGTAAATTTGATCGAAAAAGTCCTCGACGATGACGGCCTTGCGCTCCTGGGCGAACTGGAACCAGGCGTCGAAGCCGGGCGGGGGGTGGCGGCCACGGCGGTCGCGGTAGGCCTTGGCGGCTGCTGTGAGAGTCTTGGACTCCTTCTTCAGTAGACCATTGAACCTCTCGTCGGCTTCCTTGATGAGCGTATCGATAGGGTGCGACCCTGTGGCGGCGGGATGCGTCTCGGCGGGCCTCTTGGGAACGGCGCCCTCGGCTTTGGTGGGCTCGTCGTCGATGGGGTGGACAGGCTTCGGCGCGGGCTCGGGGATAGGCTTCTCGGCGTCATGTTGTGTGTTAACCGGTGGGATGGAATCTGGTTTTTGAGGAGGTGTCTGTGGCCTCTCGGGCTGAAGCTGGGTCGTGGGGATGCCACGGGAGCGAGGGTCGAAGTAGTAAAAGAGGGCCAAGACGAAGACGGCGGCGATGGCGTATCGTAAGAGGCTCGAAGGGCGTCGCGGCGGGAAGGCCGCGGGTGATAGGAGCTTGACCATGGTGGGCTGCTTCGCGGTCGACGATGTTCTTGGTGAAGCGAGAGCGCAAATTGGTTGGCGCCAGCGTTCGTCAGGTTGGTGACGTACGAGGTGAGCCCGGTCGAGGGGTTGTCCCTGGCGGCTGGCTCAGCCAGGCCAGCTTTGAATGCACCTCGCAGCAAAGGGGCTTGACCGGCCTTGAGGTCGGTGAAGGCCTTGAAATTGAGTCGAGATGCTGGGAAGGGACGCGGCGGAAGGTTGTGGTTGTAGGATCGTTTATTTGGTCGGGTCGTCGGAATGCGGGCGTCGATTCGGGTATGGTGAACGGATGACAGCAGGAAGCTTGGCTCGTGGGAGGGGAGGGCCTAGACGAGAGAGACGGCAGGAGCGGCAATGACGAGCGCGAGGAGAGTGGGCGCGGAGGTCGTCAGGTCCAGTCGGAGGTCTGGGCCGTGCCAGAGATGTGAAGGAGGAAAAAAGCGATCAAAGAGCGAGGAGGTCGAAGCGGAGAGCGCGCGCGAGAGAGAGAGAGAGAATGAGAAAACACGATCGGCGGACGGCAGGTGGAGTTGTCAAAAAGAAGGGGAGCCGTCCATGCGAGGACGTGACGAGCAAGATGCAGGAAGGAAGATGGCCGCCAGATACAAGACGCGGTCTTTCTCGAGCAAGCCTAGTGTGGTCTGGGCGGTGCAGATGACTTGAGGTGATTGATGATGGAGGCGCTGCGTCGGGAGCGTGAGCGTATGTTCAATTAGACAGATACACCACTGGCACCACTGTCCTGTCACATCTTGAGATACCTTACCTTACCGTACCTTACATGGCCTCTTTACTGAGTAGGTACCGCCTCCACGTCTTGTCGCTGCGCAGTGGATCCTGCATAGCGGGAAACCCGCAAACGCCCACGCCAGTTTCATCTTGGATGCACACCAACTACTGCATAGTACAGGCACTTGAGAGCCACAGGAGTTGCTTAGCGGCTTATCTAATCAACTGAGATTCCCCAGGCCCGGGAGGAGGGACTTGAAAGGGGCTACATCACGATACCTTACCTAGGTCTCTTAGGTACATCAGACTTGGTTGTCCGTCTGTGTCTTTGTTCTGGGTCGATGCCGCCTCTCCCTGCCTGAGATGAAGTCTGGACGGGGTGATTGGTGTAAGGCGGTTCAACTTACCAGACCTTACTTGCCTAGGACATAGGACACTGCCTGACAATCAAAAACTACAGGAGCCAAGCTTCAGCCACAGAGACGGACGGCAACGCGGACGACCATGCCAATGCTGTCAGAGACATGAAGAGCTCAGGGGTTACCCGACCTGCCTGACTACATAGCACCTACATAGTACCTACACAGCACTGAACCACCTGCACTATTGACGCTAGGCCCTTGCAGCTCTCGTGGCGGTTGTCCCAGCCCGCACAGGCGTCTGTCTGTCTGTCTCTCTGCAGGTCTCGGATGGTCTGGGCTCTCTCTGCTTGGTCGGCTCCCCAACGAAAGGGCCTGCGAAACAGAACATTGTCTCTACCTACCTACCTGCCTGTGTGCCTATGCCGCTGTTTCTACCGCCCTTGGTGGTGGTGGTGGTGTGCATGTGCATCTCTACTCCAGCATTTGAATCTCGTGAGACTACAAATCTCAACTCTGCCTCCCTACATCATCAGCCTCACCTCTCCTCTCCTCCCTCTGTCTCCGGCTCACCCGACTTGGACACGCAACGTGGCCATTACCATTGGATGATGGATGGATGCCCGTCGACCCTCTGCCCTCCCGCAATGCGCACAGTCTCAGAGTATTCTGTCACTTGTACCTATCTTATCCCATCCACTCCTCCACCGCCATCACATCAAATCACCTCACCTCATACAGATGAACATGCACATCGCCCGTCGCGTCCCCCTTTCCCCATCCATGGCTTCTTGTCCATTCCAAGTCATCAACCTTGGCTGAAGCAGTGGGCCCTGCCCACGCTCCCTCGCGACCTCCAATTGAGATCCAACAGTGAGCCGAGATTCAGACGCCTTTGCACCGCTACCCCAGTCTTTTCCCCTTCCACCGGCAGATTGCCCCCGCCGCAGACCTGACGGAGCCGTGCCTTCAAGTTTGAGAACCATCTGCCGTCGCAACTTGTCGTGGATCCCATCATGGCTGTGCTCGTCCAATCCTTGTTCCAACCCTCATTTATTGCGCAAGCCCTCGTCAATCTGCTTCTTGCTCAAATGTATTCAACGCTTTTCGCTTGCAGATGAGCCTCGCCGCACCCACCGGAAGTCGAACCCTCCCATCCATGGAACATTGCTCTCATCAAACCGAGAATCCTCTGCTTCGCACATACGCGTCCATCGCCCGTCCGTTTTTGACCAGAGTACCCCTGTTCCGTTTGCAGATTATGTCGTCATAGCCTTCGAATCCTTATCCATCCTGTGACTTGATCGCATTGGGCTGCCACCGACAGATTTTGCAGAATGTGGAAATAATTTATTGATTGGCGATCTCATTTGGGTATGTGCAGTCGATCGCGTCAGTATCCCCGTGCGAGGAAAGTGTGTCTATCGTAGTCTACGTTGTATCTCGGCTTACTGCCGCGTCTCCGAAGCCCGTCAGTTCAGAGCAGCCGCAGCCGAGAAACTACTCCCAGCTCCGACGTCGCCATCCTCATCCTCCGGCTCCGAGCTCTCCGTAAGCCGGCCGATCAGCTCCTCATACCGAGGCCGGAAAGGCCATGACATGAAGGCCTCCAGCAGCTCTGCCCACTGCTCCTGATTCATCATCCGCGGGCACAATTCCGCTTGTCCCGACCCGGGCAGGCCGCCCCGCGCCGGATCCCGCAGGCTCGGGCAGTGCGGCAAAATGCCGTCCGACGCGCCGGGCCAGATCCGCTCGAGCGCCTTGCTGACGGGGTCGAGACTTGCACCCATCATCGACCGCTGGATGAGTTCGAAAAGATCGCCTGCTCTTGACGACTCAGGCCCAATCTCCCTCAACAGCGGGTGCATCGCCTTGGGTTGAATGTCAAGCAGCGTGCAGCCCACATTCGGGTAGAACTCGTTTGCCTTGGCTGCTATGGGCTCGTATGGACGCTTGTCCCAGAGCAGCACCGGGGGGTCTTGAAGGAAGATGTGCGCATTGTCCTTGACGAGTCGAAAGTCGATCTTTTCGTTCTTGTTGAGAGCCATGACTTTCTCGTTCCACGCGCGTTCACGCTCCGAAATCTCTTTTTCGGGGATACCCTGCTGGCGCAGATGCCCAAGGTCGTACAGCTCATCCAGGAGGGCCTTGTACACCTCAGGCTCGGCAGAGTGCTTCTTCGCCATAGAGCGCAAGGTCACCAGCCGCTTGAATTTCTTCAGGTCTGACTCCTTGGTGATCTTGCCGCTCTTCTCCTCTGCTGCCAACTCTTCCAGCTCATCGAGGTATGGTCGGTAAATGTCTGGCGGCATGGTCCCTGCGTACCGCTTGCCACCGGCAACGTACGGTTCCGCCCGCTTGGTGCTCTCCATCTTTCGACCCTTGGGAATCGCCATTCCATTTTCCTTCATCCGCGCAAGCGTGGCCGTCGTGCTGTCCACATCGATCCATCTGTCTCTGGCGTACCATCCCGACTGCTCAGTAACGTCGGGGACGGCCACTGGGGCGATCCATTCGCATGTAGCTTCAGCTTCCATAGCAACCTTCTTCCTCGCCTGTATAAACTTCGGCAAAATGGACTGGTAGTCATCTGATCCGGTCCAGACAAGCATTCGCACGAGGCCGTACTTTTGGAACAACTGGCCGGTATGTATGCTGTTCAGCAACTGAAATAGAACGAGTCCCGCAATCGACTCGAAATTTCCGTATCGCTTCTTCGGAAAGAGCGACAGATTTGCCGTGACCAGGAGTGTGTCGTTTCGCTCCGGCGTTATGCCAGGCCCCTTGGGTCGCGGTGTCTGGTTATCAACGTGTGCCAGAGCAGAGCCCAGCTCATTCCATAGTAGCCCAGAGCTCGGTATCAACTTCGTGTTCGGTCGCGCGAGGAGCGGTTCGAGGAAAGACGTGTAAAGGCTCGCATCCGGTTCCATTAAGATGTGTTGGCGAGGCTTGAGGACGTCGTGGAGTTTGCGGCTCCAGAGGCCTGCGCCAGGGTTGATGTCGACGAGGTCGCAGCCTTCATGGCGTTGGAGGGTCGGGCCGATGTACTTGAGAATGTCGTCTGCGATTGCTCGGGTTAGAGGTAAAAGATAACTGACGTCAAATTTCCATACCGCATAATTCATCGCCGACAATGTTGACGCGTGCCCTGTCAGCATCGGGAAACTGATCTGGCGGTCCCCGTGCCCCGCGACGACCCTTTCGCGTCGCCTGTGTTTCCCAGACGCCCGTTTCCGCTAGACGAGTAGCCGCAGGTGATGTTTCTTTGAGAATAGAGGCCGATAATTTCGATTTAGCGGTCACTCTCTTGGTCTTCTTTGTCGCGCTCGAGGCGGATCGTCGAGGAAGTGTTCGGTCTGGGTGGATGGACAACCATGGCGACGCAGCTGGCCGATGACGCAGATGCCGAAAAGTGAGTAGCATCGGCAGGGGAATGCAGGCACACGTTTTGTTGTGTTGGTAGAGTTTGTCCCGGAGAGCAACGATTGTTTGAATGATTGATTGATGGCTGCGGGGCAGAAATATTCTCCAGCAGGTGTGCTGATAGGCGATAAGCGACGCCTGGCCGTGCGGTTGCATTTCTTGCCTTGCTTTCCCTTCAACAAGATCACCCGTGTCCGCGTGCATTGACACGTTCCGGCGGCGCAGAAAAAGTTGCCGTCGCTACTCGCATGATACGTTCATTATTTGAGATGTCATTTCACCGTTGCATCAACGGCTTTGAAGCCCATTGATCCAAGCGGCACAGTTTCATTGTCATCGAAGTTGCAATGCATATAGATTTCCATCTTATCAGACCAATACAGCTTCGTGATACCCAATCCAAAGGATGCAGGGACACATGTACACTTTGACGAGGAGACTTGATAGGAGACTTTTTGATACCTTTGCCCA